AGAATCTTTGTAACTCATATCAGATGCACAAAAAAATTACTGATTTTTAAAGACAATGGAGAGTTTCGCAAACAGAAATAGACATAAGGAATATGAAATTACAAAAAGTGGTTAAGAATAGAAGCAAAAGAGACAAAGTGCTAGTGTGTGGAACTGCAACTTTAGTTCTTTTGGTACTTACAAAAAATAATCTGGAGTCTTGCGAGTGGTTTCAGGTTCGACTTGACGTGGGGCTGGATCAAACTGAAGGAAATTCTGATCCATGTTCTCACCGATCTCTAGAATCGCAGCCATATTGCCACAACGGTAGCAATAGTTTGGGGCACTAAATACAGTCACAACATTCTTTTCTTGACACCAATTATAACCTTCCATGACAAGTTGGTGTGCTCTTGAAATCAGAGAGAGTCCATTGGTGTGGTTAAACTGAGTAGCGATATCTTGTCCAAAAGTGTAGCCTGCACCACGAGGAGATATTCCCCAACCGCATCGATCATCTGGATCAGACCATAAGAGATCACACATTGGTCCTTCATGTGGAACCTAGAGGGAACACATGGATTTTAGTCTCGTTATGTAAACATCAAGTAAGGTGCAGCCTTTTGTTGGTTTGGATTCTGGAACTCACCTCTTGAATTCGATCTAAAGATCGGATGTTGTCAAGTGTATCTAAAGAAGGTGAAAGTCCTCCATGTAAACAGAAAACCTAGAAAAAACGAATCTTGTAGTTAAGTTTAAAAAACGGCAGAAGCAGAGAAGAGATTGTCTAAAGTAAGTGAAAAAAGCTCATTAGTTTAAATACCTGACTCTCAATGAGTGCTGTAAGAGGAAGATAATCAAAAAGATCAGTGAAGTGCTTCCACACATTCGCATTCCCATATTTCCTCAAGCACTCATCATAAAATCCATACCTGAGAAAAGGTAAGCAATCAGCAAGAAGCTTACCAAGAACTCACAGAAGCTGTGAATACAAAACTTAGTAAAGAAACTTCATACACTTGAGTAATTTGACGGCTTTCATGATTCCCTCTTAGGATAGTAAGTCTATCTCTGTAGCGAACTTTCAGCGCTACCAAAAGCGAAACCGTCTCCACAGAATAATACCCTCGATCTTCACAAGTTTAACAATTATCCATCAGTTAGCTAGTTGAGCAACTTAAGCAGCGAAAAACTGGCAATAGACACTTAAATCTGACTACTCGAACATGGAGCTTCACAAATTACATAGAATGTTCAGGTTACTCCATTGTATGATCCCTGAGAATAGTTAACTGCTAAAACAAAAGCTTGGCCTTTTCAATGACAAAATTTTCCAAAACCAAAACTTTTTGATAAATAAACAAAACCATAACAATAATCTATCCATTTTTGGTAAACACTTCCAAATAAGTTTTCATTAATCCAAATGGTCAATAAAATCAAATTATGGAAAAATCAAGAGATGTGAAAAATGTAGAAACCCTAAAAAAGCTATAAGGTAAAGAGAGACTCACCAACATAATCGCCCATGAAAAGATAATTAGTATCAGGAGCAGAACCACCGATCCGAAAAAGCTCAATCAGATCGTAAAATTGGCCATGGATATCGCCGCAGACGGTAACCGGACATTTAACCGGTTGAACATTATACTCCTCCACAAGAATCGTCTTCGCTTGCTCACATAACATCTTCACCTCCGTTTCAGATAACGGTTTACACTCCATAAGTTGCTCGATCTGACGATCGATATCTCCGGTCGCCGGCGGCATCTTTCTCCGATCTAAACAATCCGGATTCCTCTTTAACCTTTGATCCGGTTCGTGATTGGATTCACTCTATCTATCATCATCACTCCATGGATTTAGAAGAAGAAGAAGAAGAAGAAGAAGAAGAAGAGAAATTGTGAATTTCGATTTTCGTTGGAACTTTGTATTTTGTTTTCTTGTCGTTGATGAATTTTGTTGGAATTGATTATTTTTATTTATTTTTAAATTTCATCGGAATTGATTATTAATTATTTTCTCCGGCAGCCGCACCGAGTAGGGGTGTCAAAATGGGTAACCCGATCCGACCCGACCCAAATCTACATGGATTCGAGTGTTTAATGGACGGGTTTGACCCGACCCATATATTTATATGGGTTGAATTTACATACCCAAACCCATTATTGTAGAAATTTATTGGCTTAATGGGTTATATGGGTACCCATATATATGTATAATAAAATATATAAATAATAAAAATCCAAAAAAATAACATAAAATTGTAAACCAACAAAAGTTTTTAAATAATAAATTAAAAAAATCTAGATATTAAAGTAGAAAAACATCCTAAAATCTTAAAACCACAAATCCAAAGAACCATAAAACCAAATAAAAAAGATAGTTGTAAAGAAAAGAAGATATTTTACATATATTTATATAAATTTTACATAATATATTAATATAGATATATATAAATTTTACTTTTTAGTTTTGGTTATGAAACTCATAGGTAACCCATGACCCTAATGGGTTTTACCCATTAAACCCATAACCCTAATAGGGTAACCCACTGAAATCCATATATATATATGGGTAAAAAAATTCTACCCAAACCCACTAAAATCATGGGCGGGTTCGGGTAACCCATGGATATTAACCGATTTTGACACTCCTAGCACCGAGTCAAAGTCCAGGGGTATGACACGTGGCTTTCATTTTTTCTGGCCCATTCATAGGTGGGTTTTCTTCAAATTAGCCCATGTGGCCCAACAAAATGGAAAGAACAACAATTTAGTTCCTCATATGAATGGTCCAAATTTTCATCTCTAACCATCGTTTAAAGCTTCGTCCAAACTCATAAACCTTTAACCGTGAATTTAAATCCTAATTCCAAATTCCGAAACCTTAATCGCCATTTTAACCTAGTCGAAGCTCACACTGCCGAACCTTATCCCGACTTCTTTTCACCCTTGTCGTACATGCGAAAGTGTTCGCTCAAAAAATATGTGGCAAGAGAAAAATGTAAAGAGAATTATTTGTTAACCTTGTCGGAAAAGTTAGCCTCTATACTACTAACACCCTAAAAGGCTAAAACTACGGTTCTAGCATAGTAACATGTGTTCTCTCCAAACCAGGTTACTTCTTATCAATAGTTTTCTTTCTTATCATTTCCCTTAGATCTAATATGGCTCTCTAACTATCATAGTTAAAATTTTCCTTTATTCTTTCACTTTTTTTGTTGTCTTTCTAATTAAGTAACTATGAATAATTGTTGTTGCATTTAAATTTTCTAGAACGATAGGAGCCGTCATATATATGTATAGTTCAAATGTTCCTGCTTTAAGACTGGTCTTCAGTTACTTTTGATTCTTGAAGACTGGAAGCCAAAAAAAAAAAAAGGACAAAAAGAAGTTGATTGATTATTGTGTCTGTTAAGTCTGTCTAATGCGTTTGGTAACAATTCAAATTAAAGATATTCAAACTCTTTAAATTGTGAACTTTTGAAATGAAAATTTAGAGATCATGTATATGTTTATTTTTGCTCAATTAATTCAGAAAAAAAAGTGATGATATTTTGCTTGACCATGCGCATGTGTTCGAGAGTTACTTGTAAACCATGTTATAAGTTGGAACTCATGTTTCCATGGAAGAAGACATTTCATATAATCATATATCAAAATGTATCGTGGATGTTTAAAAGTAGTAGAAGATTTTATAGAGCCGAGCCAGAAACTCAATATTTTGCTATATATTCCTGCTTTTCTTTATTTGCAAATAATTAATCTACCGGTTTTGTTATTTTAGTAATTCTTTTTTCAAGAACCTTCTCATCTCATAATAACTAGTCACACACTACGATAAATGGAAATACCTAATGGAAAATATTATGTTTTCATTTTAATACATATGTTGTGTACGTTGGTGATGTAGTAAATTAGTAAGCTAAGTATGCATACTAGTTTTTTATATTTCAAGATTACTAAAATTAATTTAGATATATATCTATGGAAAAGAAATGAAAAAAAAAAAGAGAGAGAGAGAAAGAGTAGTGGTAGAGTTAACCCCACAAAAGAACAAAAGAATAAAAGATGGGGAAAAGCATAACACAAAGAAGCAATGTGGTCTCCTTTATTTAGAAGAACCATTACACACATTCTCCTTTTAAATTTCGGCATTTGGAGCTCATAATAATTTTTAAAATGTATGTATATATGCCAATGCATTTATAAATTATTAATATCTTATGTATACAATCCTTGTCGACATCGCTTTAATTTCCCCCCTTTGCAAGAATATATGCTTTCAGAATACATCAATAATAATGGATTCGACATATATTTTTTTAATGATTGGATAAGACTCTTTCAAAGTACAATTGTTCTTTACACAAAAAAAAATCCATCTTCATTTTTTGTTCGTTCAAAACATGTGATAAGAATCATATTTTGTCTATAGAACCATTTTGTTCGTGTTATTGTAATCTACGATTTCTAATCGTGAATATACAAGGGTCAATCAGGTACAAAATTATGATGTTTTTATTTGTTATTTAAAAAACTTGTGCTATCTCTAAAATACCATGTCATTCTTTATCAGAAAAAACGAAAAAATACCATGTCATTTTGTCTATCAACTTAGCATGTTATTTAGAACAACATATATAGGGTACTATATTAAACATAAGAAAGCATGTTAGTTAGAAAAATATATAGTACTCATTTTTGTGTTTTTGCTCATAAAAAAAGTCTATAATTATTTACCTAATTAAGTTAATCAATGTTCACGATCATTTAGTGCAAGTACCCAATATACAATGTGAGTAAGGAAATAAAGCATCTAAACGTTATTTGATGATGCATGGATCAAATTAGAAACAATCCAATAAAAGTCGTGCAATGTGTGAGAAAACAGGATTGCATTGCATGTACGTACGTATACTTCTTCTTTTCTATCTTGAAATCCTTTTAATAATCAGTTTTTTTTTTTTCATTTTTAAAACCTAGCTCCCCTAACTAGCTCAATATAAATTTCTTTACTAGGAACAAAACAAACATTAAAAAAATAGAAGTGTAGGGTCACAAATATTTTGAGCATATTTAAGAGATTCGATCCCAAATGAAAGGAAAAGAGAATCTAGCAGCATTACAAGACCTATATTAATTTGCCAACAATTATACTTCTCTCTCTCTCTCTCTCTGCTTCTTCCCTAAGTTTTCACCGTACTTATGCTCTCCCCGGTGGTCTTCTTGAATTCCCTGCTCTCCTGTATTAAGACAGAACATAGAATTACTTAATTAATCCAATTCGTTTTTTATTGATTTTCTTTACTTTCGTATAAACGATCTAACAAATAAAACAACTGTTGGGTACAAACCAACGTCCCACATAGGAAGTTTGGAAAAGAAGATTCTAATATATAAGTAAAGTCCAACTCCAATTAGTATGAAGTTTTTTTGGAAGGAACCCAATAACAAATTCGTGCGGACTTGAGCATGTATGCCCAAAGCAGACAATATCATATTAATGGAGTTGTTGGAATGGGCTTATAAAACCCAATAACAACATTGATTGATATTTTAGTCAATTGACTACTTTAATACAATCTACATCATGAGTACTTCGTTTTAAAAAAATAATCAATTGCGATCATAAGTGGGTTACCTATATAACAAAGAAAAAAAAATAGAGGAAAAGAGAGTGTTCAAAGGGCTAAAGCTTCCATAAAGGAAAAAAAAAAGTTTTAAAAAGAAGCCATCTTATAGTGAATAATTAAAAACAGATTGTTAACGTAAAGACTGAATAAAGCTAGCAGACAGCCTTTTGCGAGCTTCTGTGATATGTCTCACCGAATCTGAGTTAGTTAAAAGAAACAAAGTGTTTGTTTTTATAGTAAAATTGTGCTAGAAGTATATATATGGTGACCAAATAAAAACTTAATTTAATATGCATATAGATATATCAACGAGTTAGCTTGCTTGATTTCTTCTAATATAGTCTCAACATCGACTTTAAATCTAGACCATATCCCGGTTTGTGGAAGCATCCGACTAATCACGGGGATGATCATGCCCTTGGTAAGGATTTTAACTCAAACTCACCACATGTTAAACACATCAGTCGAAAATGCAAGTGACCAAGTGGTCCACTCGTATAGTTTGAACACAACACAACGGAATAATATGGGGTTGTTGCGAGTTTTAGCCCTTGACCCTAGACCTAGTTAATATGAATCTTAAGAGGAATACAATACGCTTAAACGAAAAAAAAAGTTAATATGAATGTGGATGTTACCACACACGGGTTTATAGGCCATATATTATTATAATGAAAAATCATACAGAAACATGCAAGACACATATATGTAGGGGTGATGATTTCTTGAAAGTGAAAAATAAAACAAGAAATTAGTAAGAACCTGTTGTGTATAGGATCAGGCCCACGAGGCACTTTTCTTTTGCCCGCTACGTAGCTAAGATCGCCGTTTCCTGAACCATCTTCAAGCTCTTGTTGTATATCCTTGGTATCGGAGTTTTTCATGTTCACAGCTGTAGTAATCTCTTTTGTTTTGTCGCCCTCCTTGTTGTTTTGTAATACAAACGCATCGATCATAAGTAGAGTACTGACTAAACCAACCGTAAATAGTGTACGGAACAACAATTGGAGACGAAGGGAGTGGTGATTTCGCATGGTTTCAGGCCTTTGTGGATTTAATTTTTATCCTATCTTCGTTGGTTGGTTGATATAAAAACAGATATTAACATCGATCGAAGTAAAATAGGGTTTATATTCGATTTTCTTGAATTGAAACTATAATAGAGAACAAAGATGAGCTAGTGACAACAAAAGCAAGAGAAAGAGAGAGAGAGAGAGAGAAAGAGAGAAAGACAGAGAGAGTCTTATCACATTGATGAGTTAGGATGGTTGGTGTTCTTTATATGTTCGATGGCTTTTATTCTGTTCAATATATTTTGCAAACTTTACTCGAAACATTAGGATAGAGAGAGAAAAATAATTTCTGCTATGAATCTTTGTATATTTCTGTGAGATACATAAATAGTGTTATCTTTAAGCATGAATCCGTATTTTTATGTCGTCTCTTTTCGTCCCAATAATCTAAATATATATACCAGTGGAGATAATTATATCTATTAAACGCAATATTCTTTTTTTTTTGAAGGACCAAAAATACGACCAAAAAAGAAAGAATGAAATATAGAACAGCTGGTCCAAAACGTGACATGAAGGGAATTTATTTACCAGCCTTCGCTTTATATATATCAAATGAGTATTTTAATTCTTCATGCAGTTTTATTTTCTTAATCACTCAAATTAATATACTCATATGATATTAGTACGTAGTACACGTGACAAAGGGTTCCCTCGTACTTTCCTCACGTACAATTCATCTCTTTCGTATCCAAAAAGTAAAGCTAAGCACATATACACATATGACATAACCATGCCATGGATACCTAATTTGTAACCATATTTTATAAACATGTAACAGTTATTGGCAGGTATATATTATTCATTTCACAAAATTCAGTTTCTATAATAATTTATTGTATACGCATGTGTCCATATGTCGAATTTGCACAATACATAATATATAGTATCTAGCTACCTAGTTCCGATCAAGCTAGCTTATTATATTCCTCACCGTATTTTTATTTTTATTTTTATGTATCTAGTTGTCTACTACCATTTTGAATACAATAATATCGTTATAAGAGTTCCCCTATGCAAAACATCGAATAATATATGTTGATCTGTCGAGATATTAGCAATATTCTACACTAACAAAACATATTAATTATGCGTTAATCACCTTAACCATTCTTTATGTATCTTAAGATTTGCATACTTTAAAGGTTTCTGAAATAAAGATGAGAGTGACAAGATTGACTAGACCCATGATTAAAAATTGTTCCTTGCGAATATATTTTATAGCACTGTCACATAGCAGCCATAATTGATCCCATAGTTTTATATAAATATAGGGCCAATGAAGCATATGGTACATAATTCATCTCATCGATCAGATTTGCTACGATTTTACATGAATCCCACTTCAAAACAAATTACCTTTCCTAAAAGAGTTTATGTATATTTGTCCGAGAATCTTATGCCTTTGTGTTACTTACTAGCTTCTAGTCGAAGTAACCTGGAAAATGGCACTTACATATTCATTTTTTCATATATAAACCATATTAAAATACTAAAAAGGTAATTTATAAACAAGCTCCATTGCTAACGTGGTGACCACTTCCGTCTATAGGATTCTATATCCTTCGGTTCTCTACAGTCTCTACTTGTATGCGGACTTCAACATTGTCCAACGAAAAAATTCGTTCGAAGAATTTAGAAGCATTGTTGAGTAATATACGGTATATATTTTATTTTTATCGTCGCTCACAATTTACATATACTTACTTTTAAATTTCACGATAAACTAAATATAATTAAGATACGTTTTCATCAAATCATATCAATTTTTAAAAAAACTTTTTTGCATGCAACATCATTTGTTTTGTTTAAATATTCCCACTCACAGCAAATCAATTCTTGACGGTGCGACACTACCCTTCATAGTATCGTCTAAGTTTAGTTCTGATATGACTTTGTTAAACTTTGTTGAACAATTCTTGGGTTCACCCTTAGGGGTGAACCCAAGTATTCACCTCCTTTGGTTTTAACCAATGATTATGACATGTCATCTAGCATTTAACTAAAAATTAAAAATTAAAAAATTAATAAAATAAATTAAGAAATAAAAATCATTAACCAAAAGATTATGTTAGTTAACGGATACGTCGTTGGTGTTAGTATTATACGTTAGGGTTTCAATTTATTCTACAGCCATTGATACGTCGTCATCGTTCGAAGAAACGTGAAGACATGGGAAAGACGACGATGACGGTTTTCCTTGGCAATTTTATGATTTCCATCTTCTAATGAAATTTTATGATTTTATGATTTGTTAATAAATGATGTATACACATGACGAGAGAGGGCTTCTTCATTTGGATACGGTGAATTAAAGAATATACTTGTGTGTATCATGCCTTTTTCTTTTATGTATTGGCTAATACGTTACTTCTATGTGACTAGGATGCATCAAATGAAAATTCTGCAGAGTTGCAGGGTGTATCAAATCTCATCATTGGCAACTAGAGTGATGGATTGGAAATCTCGTTGCTTCTTTGTTAGCTAATAAGCTAGGCGTGATACAAGAGCAGTGTGACAGACTAAAAACTAAGCTTTCACCCATATACTACTTCAAACTGATAAGCAATTAGATGAAAACTAATAATTGTAGCTTCATGCAAAATTAAAAACATTTGGAGAATTGTGATCACAGAAGATTGAAAGAGGAGAAAACTTTGACGTTGTAGCAGAAACAATTCCAAGATTATGAAAGTTCTAATACAATAGAAGTGCGTGAATTAGTAATGCTAAGTATCAATGGCCATGGAAAAAAAAATCGAAACCCTAACACCAACGACGTTTTTAAGAAGGTGATTTTTATTTCTTAATTTATTTTATTAATTTTTTTAATTTTTAATTTTTAGTTAAATGTTAAATGACATGGCATAATCATTGGCTAAAACCAAAGGAGGTGAATACAAGGGTTCACCCCTAGGGGTGAACCCAAGAATTGTTCAACTTTGTTTGTCGTTGACCGTGACTCCACATTTCTTCGGCACATTGATAAGTGTAAGTTTTCCTCGGTGCAAATTCAATGTATTTAGGCATTTTGGTTCTACGACCCCAAGTTCCGGTCATGCGGACAGACTGGGAACCGGGAATTACCGAGTTTAACCTTTTGTACGGTTGTACCTAATCAGCTAATGATGAGAAGCCATGAACAAATCTTAAGAAAAACCATGAAACTGTTCGTGGGGCGACTGATTGAGGATGTCATGAGGACCCGAACCATATACAACTTTTAGCTCTAATGATCGTGGACAAGTCAACAATCCACAAAGTCAAACTTATCAAACCGAATGCCCAGGGCTACTTGGTAAGTTTTATGTACTGAACAAATGCACAAGATCACATTGACGTAGCAAACGAGTGTTGTCCTTTCACTCCAAGATCTGGAGATTTTTGTAGGCGCCATCACTTGACCACGCTCATTAACCATATCATCAACCATATCATTCAGGACTATCACTTGACGTGTAACCGTAAAGGGTTTTAACATCAATCTAATTGTTTCTGTATGCGTGGTTTTAACATTAGTCCGACATAAACAAAGATTTCAAAATTTTCCTTGGGATTAGTTTTAGTGTTTGAACAAATATGGCGCGTCATATACGCAAATTTTGTAAAATCATGTCATTAAAGTTTGCAAACCCTGGTTTATTTCTTGATGCTAATACTTTGTGCAAATCCTGTTGGCCTCAAGGATGATATATTACTTACTTTAACTAATATATTGCACAATTACACTAACCTCTTCCTACCAACAAGCTCATCACCGAGGTTCAAGACCAAACAATCATACTATATGGCAAAAATCTAAAGGTAAGTGAGGACCTCATTTCATTGTAATCGATATGTTTTCTCTAAAGACGGTAAGCAAATTTATACTATCAAGACAAAGATGTTTGTCAAATATGAAACAAGTAGTCCCACCCAATTATATGAAAGCCCCTAAAGCTATTCTATACACTCAAGCATATTCTCGTCTTTTCAACAGACAATGGCAAGTGTTAAATCTGTTTCTGAGTGAGTAGATGAAAGCTTTACATACCGAGAAAGGGTTCTTTTAAAACCGAGAATTGCTTTTTGATCTTCCACTTGACACCCCAAACATCGGTACTGTCTGTCTCTTTCTGATGTATATAGCAGCTCCGCTTATAAAAAACAGTCCTAGCATAATCGACTGTTGATTCATTCAAATGATCTACGTTAGCCCAAATTCTACAAGAAACGACTTGTTGAAAATTTAAGTGTTTCTCTGTACCTCAAAACCAAGAACTGATAACTTCTCTTCATCTGCAGAAGGCACACAGCTTCGATAAGTTTTGTAAGACTGAGACTTCACTTTCGTTGCCGGTGAATCATCCAACAGATTCCTTGTTTTTGCCTCTTCGTCATTGTTCGATTGATCATTTTTTGTTTCTTCTTCTCCATTTTTCTTGTGTGGATCCACTTCTTCTCTCATCTCTTTACATTTAAATGGAATACGATAACCAGTTTCACTACAACGATACTTCTCTTTTCTCTACAAAAGAAACCACACCAACACAAAACAATGAGACTTCACAAGAGAAGAGATCATATAAAATGTTCTTCAGATTCGTAATTCCTAATCCAAATCAATTAGGCTGATAAATCAATGATTAAGCTAGTTCTGAAACCCTAAATCACCAAAATCCATCTAAATCATATAGATCCGATAGCATAACATAGCAAAATCGATTGAATTTGATCACCAATTAGAGAGGAAATTTGAGAAACCTTTTCGGAGGAATTGCAAGAAACACAAGGACCTGAAGGAGAACAAGCGAAGGTGATATTACTTCCTTTTGGAGTTTCTTTGAAACTTAGAAGTAATCTCCGTCCAACGCTTCTGATCTCTTCATCTCCGTCACTGTCAAGATCGATAAATCAAAAACGAGTCAGATCAATAAGCGAGATCGATCATCGTCAGATTCAAATTAACTTGGAAGGAAATTGTTAAGTACGAAACTGTTCATGTGCTCTGGCGAGAAGAGAGGATGAAATTGAAGAAGCGTAGATGAAGATGAAGAAGGTGACCAGAAATAGTGAAGAACTCTGAGAAGCCATTTTTGCTGTTTCTTCTTCTTCGTGTTTCGCCGTCTCCGTACAAACAAAAATAACTCGCCGAAGAGAATATGATTACTTACAGAAACGCCCTGATATTACTTACTATTTATCAGTTAAACCTTTCACTTAATAGAATTATAAATTGAACCCGATAGTTTCAATTGATACTAACGAAACCCACATAAGCAATGTGGCCGATTTAGTTACGGTGATCGGTCTACCAATTAAAGTGATTTCATAACATTGTGATTTACCAACTATTATGATGTGATCAGTTTTTCACTAATTCTAAATAACTCAAAATCATATTGTAAAAACTACAATTGTGACGTGGTTAAGTATTCGATGTCTATACCGAAATTTCGATGGGGTGAAATCTTCATATTTTGGAATAGATTTATAATCTAAGAAATCTTTATATTGTTGAGTGGATAGACCAAATTTTAGTTATGGTTTATACTTCCATGTTTTTATTTTTTTGTCATGGGACTATAGTGTATAATCATCGATTGTAAACTTCAAATCGTTTTTATTTTTATGAAATATTTACATTTTTAACCAAAAAAAACAAAAAAAAAACTATCTCGAGTTGCTTCCAAATCAAGAATTTACTTTTAATTGTTTCTTTGAACACGTTCAACTTTTAATCAGAGTTTTGAATCTCCTTTCTTTGTGTGAATAATATAACAAGCAGAAACTTTAGTAATGTAATCAGAATTGTCTTTGCCCACAAAAAAATAAAATGTAATCAGAATTGTCATGTAATCATCCACATCATGCTGAGCATAAACGCTCTTGAATAAATTAAATGAAAAAAATATGAATGACCTCATACCTAACATATATATAAAAAAAAAAAAAAAAAGAGAGATGACCTCATAATAATATGGAGCAAACACAATTAGTATATCAAAAAGGTTTATATAGTTTCATCGCAACACTCTAATAAGACAGAAAAAAAAACTATATAACCTTTTTTTTTGACCTTTATATTAAACATCCGGCTTCTCTTCTTGACCGTGCTTCATAAATAAGTAGCCCATAACAGCAATTGCAAGGATTAAAAGGAGAGCAGATACTATGAGGACCAAAATCTTCGACATTGTTTTGTTTTTTAAATATTTAAAGATCCAAACTTAGCTTCTTGTCCTGTGTGTTTTTACCATTGACAGAGACAAAAAAAAAAAAAAAAAAAAAGAAAAAAAAGAGAGCGTATATATAACTAGATACATAGAAATAAAAATTATTGAGATTTACGGAAAATTTACTTTATGGAGGATTGGAAATAAAATATTGTGTTTATAAACATGAAATAATTAATGTAACTTCATGCATGCCAAAATTTTGATATACATATATACAGTTTCCAGTTTTTCTACTTTGTATCATTTTCCAAATTTTCTACTAATATTTTACCTTTTGATTTCCATATAGTTCATATTTTTTAAATTGGAAAGTTTCCTGTAAGAATGATTAAGATGGTAAACATAAATCTAATTCCCAGCAAAAACACTAATTATTTTTTCTCCTATGATCCTATCAGAAAAAATTATACAGTAAAACCTATATAGATTAATAATGTTGGAACCATGATATTTAATTAATTAATAATAATATTAATTTATCTATAGATTAATATTTATTCATTTATAAAATTAATTAATATTTATTAATTTATAAAAGTAATTAATATTTATAAATTTTATAAAATAACTTGAGAGAATTTTATCTAAATAAAATTAGTGTTTTGGATATTATAATTTTGTAGTTTTGGACTTGAAATTTTAATAGTTAGAAGAAAAAAAGCTCTTTTAACAGCAAATTACAAAAAATTAGATGAATTCACTTATACAAACGATAGATTAATGGTTAAGAAAAAAAAACTATAGATTAATGGCATCAACGTTGTGTTGGCCCAGTGGTAAATCTCCCAAGTGGAGGTACTGGGTTCGACGCCCGTTGGAAGGGATTTATTCTCCAAAAGAGTTGAATTTAATCTGGTGTGAGTTCTGTCTCTTGGAGATGTAGGGCATTCGGGCTTGAACTTCCAGATATTCAAAAAAAAAAAAAAAACTGTAGATTAATGACTCAAATTGTTGTATTTTAAACACCTATCAGGGTATCACACTATTTATTAGTAATAACCAGCGCGATATCGTATTTTATCATCTATAAAACTATCAAAATGAAAATGATACATATTAAAAATTTGAAAACCTACTGAAAATTTAGCTATTTTTATAAAATATACTACAACACTATAGTTTGACAACACAACATAACAATAGTCTTATATAATAAAAGTTAGAGATGAATTCTAGCGAAAATTTAATTTTCTTAAAAACACTAAAAACATACATTATTATATCAACTTATATATAAATTTATATGATTATTATTTTATGATATTAATAGAACCATATATTTATATAGGGATTCCAAAAAAATTATTATTTTATTATCTTATCGATTTTTGCTAATTTTAAACTGCCCCGACTTGGAACTGAAGAAAATTTATTATTTTATAGTGTCTATTAGACTATTAGTTTACCGAGTATTGATTTATAGAGGTTCTACTGTAGTCTGTAATTTTCCATATGATCATCAGAAAAACAGAAACAACGTGTTATAATGCTTTCCAGGATGAGCTTGAAATCGAATTTCAAATCGTTAAACACCAATAATCTGCAACTAACAAGCTCAAAGAATCACTTGATAAACTTTTGGATCAGAATCTTCAATGTTTGATCTATACAAAACAATTCTTCTCATTTTCATCGGATGTTATGTTAATGTTACAACACTCTTAGAGTACCACGATGCACCACATGATGTACAGAATTATACAGCACACGAAAACAAAACAGAAAACCAAAAAAAAGCGCGGTTAAAAGTGAGAACGGGAAATAATTAAGTCGTAACGAATTGGAGTAAGAAAGTAAAAAAAGAAAAACCTTATTCATTCATTTTAAGTGTTCTTGTTTGTTAAAGATGAGTGGAAACTCATCGCTATACTCAGAGAAGAAACCATGTTGATCTCCCAAATTCTTTAAAGATTCATAAACTTGGATCATCAACGGTCTTTCTTTAGGCCTCGATACAACGCAGCTACACGCGATTCTCAAAACTTGCACTATCTCATCATCATATCCTTTACCACAAATCCTTCTATCAATTGCATCTTTGCTTCTACCATTACTCAAATGCTTACTCACCCACTCCACTAAACTCTCCTTAAACCCTTCTTCGCCGATGTTAATCGAAACAGGCTTTTGTCCTGTAACAATCTCAAGAAGTACAATCCCAAACCCATACATATCTCCACTCAAAGACGCAACCATAGTGCTTGAATACTCAGGCGCAACGTAACCCAACTCCCCTAACTCGCCGTTACTAAACGAGCTATCTTTAGAATCCCGAGAACTCACTAGCTTCCCCAAACCGTAATCAATAACACGAGCATCGAAATCTTCGTCAAGAAGAATCACATTTGAGCTAATGTATTGATGCATATACGATGGTTGACATCCATGGTGCAACCAAGCTAGCCCTCTAGCCGCTCCAACAGCGATTCTAACACGAGTTGGCCAATCAATGTCCCGTTGCTGAAGCTGAGAATACAATGTCCCATTAGCCATATGCTTATACACCAACAATATCTCGTCTTCCACAACGCAAAACCCGAGAAGCGGAACCAAATTCGGATGCCTGATCTGACCTAACTTGTTAATCTCAGACCTGAACTGTTTCTCACTAAGCTCACAACCACTACTAAGCCTCTTAACCTCCAATGTAGACCCATCAGGTAAATCAGCTTTGTAAGAAACCCCAGTCCTCGACGAAACAACAATATTATCTGAATCGAAATTGTTCGTAGCTACAATTAGATCAGCCAACTTAATCTTCACAATTGGCTTCTGAAACAGAGTAACCTGAACAAGCTTATGTGATCTCAACAAACCAATCCAATCACTATCATCCCTAGATTTTCCGGCGCCATAACCGTAACCGTAACCACTCTTCTTCCTCCTGTCTCTGATAAAAAACCACCAAAACATCCCAAATCCAATACACAACGACCCAACAGCCCCAATAACTCCAGCAATTACAATGATCGTTAAGTTTTTACCGTTCAACGAACCGCAATTCTGTAACGGCTTACCGCAAAGTCCGCCATTACCGCGAAAACCGTCTTCTCCGAAATGAGATAGCTCGGAGGGAATCGAACCAGAGAGATCATTATCAGCTAGAGAAAGTCGCCCGAGACGGTTTAAACCGGTTAATTCAGAAGGAATCGAACCGGTTAATTTGTTGTCATTAAGAACTAAACTGTTTAAGAATTTACAGTCAACGATCTGAGACGGTATCGAACCGGAAAGTTTGTTACCGGAGAGATCTAAACTAACAAGATAAGGAAGCCATGAACAGATTTGTGAAGGAATCAAACCGGAGAAATCGTTATCGGAAAGATCTAAAGATTGTAAACTCCGACATAACTTAAGAGATTCAGGAATTTGACCAGAGAGTTGCATTGATTGAAGCTGAAGAGAGAGAATCCGATTCTCTTTAGCGTTCCAGCAAGAAACTCCGGTGAGTTTGCAAATCGGCGATGATGATGATGAGTTAGGGAAAGACCAAGTGTTGAGTTGATTTGAAGGATCTTTGAGTGAAGATTTTAAGCCTTTGAGACAGAGTATGTCGTCTTCGGAGTAAGAAGATGAGATTAAGATGATGAAGAAGAAGATTGAGATCGTTTTCATGATGGGTTTGATTTTTTCTTAGGGTTTCATGAAAAGAGCGAAGCTTTTTTTTTTGTTGCTTCTATGGCGGAAGGACGGCCATTGACTGTGTTAAGCTTAAAGCTTTGTGGATGGCACAAATAAAAATTCAAACTTTTGGTGACTTTAAAAACAAGTAAAGTTATATGTAACTAAACGGTGTCGTTTCAGAGCAGTTTTAGAGTTGGAAGATTTTAGTAAAAGTAGGTACCAAAGCACTTTCTGCGCAAGAATCAATTTTTATTTCTTGTTTTGTGAAAGTATAGATTATTTAGAAACTTTAGTTATTGGCTAAGATCAATAATTTACAATGGTGTACCAACGTTATTTTTAATTTGACCAAACAAATAAAAAACGTGTTTGAAAGGACATTCATAATTGTTGAAAATGTTTTCTATCTAACCTTTTGATATGATTGCATTTTTGGAATATTCTTTGTTAAAACATGTTCTACTTCTATCTAACCTTGAAATGTTTTTTTTTTTTGGTAGGAACCTTGAAATGTTTTGGATATTGGAATTTGGAAGTAGTAATCCGAGAATATCTGACTATAGTTGAATTTTGTTGTGTTTTTGTGTGGAGAAATTCAGTGGCATTTTTGGTCTTTAAGGGGAATACACTAAATTACAATAAGCCTTCGTAACTCACCGATTGAGTCCATGGGTTACACCTTATCTAGGCCCATTATTACTTTACTAAATGTATGTAATGGGCATTCATCGATAGAATAGAACTGTTATCGCATTGGGCTCTAGAAAGAACTTACACAAACTTTTGTTTTGAAAAAATTATCATGAAGAAAGAATTCTAGACTAAAGATCATGCGATAGACATGGACCATTCTACAAGACTTTAGTTTTGTTTTGTAAACCATGGGGCGATTCGTAACGACTGTTACTTTCGGCTGTAGATACTTTCGTTGTAAAGACTTTGACTGTGTAAACTTTGACTGCAGAGACTTTAACTTTAGAGACTTTAAATGTTAAAATGTGATTGGTAACAACAAATCTGTAGAAACTATGGTTATAAAAATTATGATTGTAAATAAAATAAATTATAGTGAATATAAACCCAAATTGTGATATAACAGCGAATTTCATACAAAGAACTTTATGAAAAGTTTTTATACATTGATATTTCTCTATTTTTGTATCAAATGTAATATCTGATTTTTTTTTTAATATACATAAATGGATCTTAAAAGAACAGAAAAAAAATCAATTGTAAATTAGTTAATATTTTTTTAAGATTAATTTATCAATGAATTTTATTAGAGGTTTTCATATAATGGGAAAAAGAAAATAAGAAAAACTATTAATTTTTGGAAAAAAAAAATTGAATATAAAGAGTAAAGAAAAAAAGAAGGATTTTGAAGGTTTTAAACTTATTTAAAGCCAAAAAAATTTGATTGGTAAAACAAAAGTTTTAAAAACTTTAAAACTTTTCTAAAGCCTTAAAAGTGTTTACCAATCACCTCCCATATTGTCGAAAACCTATCACTACTCATAGTATCATAAAGTTTGATGAAATTTTCGGCTTCATTTGAAGTTTTTTTTTCATTTGAAGGTGAAGGTACAGCATAAATAATTTAACAAAAAAACATACACATAAATAAAATCGAATGACGTCAAACATAAAACAAAAATACGTACTGTTAGTCTGTTACTATAGTAATATAACTGTGTTTGGTTCATGAATGTGACATTTTATCAACAACACACACCCCGATAGAAACGGCAAAGAACAGGAAAAAGTCTTACAATAAAAAAAGCATTCAGATACACTTAACCTTAACTCAATAAGGCAATAACCATTCTATTTTAACTTTTCAAGAGACTGACACAATTAAATTAAATTCCATATAACTATTTTAAGCTTGAAGTAGTCTTCACTTCTGAATCTGATGAAGTCTTGACCAAAACAACCCAGAGACTACCTGTTGTTTTACAGCATCTTCCATATAATCATACAACAACAAAAACGACAAGTAGTTTCCTTCTCCCTTCCCCCAAAAAGAGCAAAAAACATGTACACACTAATTCAAACCTTAAAAACCTCACTGAAGTCTGATCATCAAAGTATCTAATTAGCCTAATTCTCAAATTTCACATTAACCATCATTCAAATCTTATCTTATACAATATAAATTAATTAAAACATTATCTTCTTCATCAAGCCACTCCCATTATACTATCTCCATTACTCGACATCGCCTTGAACCCCGAGGCACGTGCCTTCTGTTCATTGGATGATGCCGGCAACGGAAACATCTCCGTTGTCGGCTGAGTTTTCTGATTAAGATTCAAATCTGCCATTTTCCGCGACGGAGGAATCGGAATCGGAATCGGAACCGGACGGATTAGTTTTGATCCATCCAATGGAGTATGCAAAAGATTCTCTTCTTTTGGAGATCCTGTAAACTGTTGACAATTGAACCGTATGTGTTAGTTGCTCTCACAGATTCTTGATTTTTTTAATTCAAGATTTTGAGAATGAATCGTTATTTTACCGAATCGGGAGTGATGTCGAAGAGGCTTGATCTACGACGACGGCGATTCTGATTAGTCCGCCGGAGAAAATATTTCTGAGCATGACTCGCTACCTGAGTCGGTGTTCGAGTTTTAACAAAGTTTCTTGAAATGCCTCTCCAATCACCTTTTCCAACTTTATGCAATCCAGTAAGAAACAATCTATGTTCTTCCTCTGTCCATGGAGTTCCTAAATCCAAAATTTCAAGAAAATTTCAAAAACAAGAAAAAACAGAGATGAGATTTTTTATGTTTTTTTGCTAAGAAAGATTTTTTATTAACCTCGTTTGCGTTCGCGGTTTCTACCGGAGGCGTGAACGACGTCGTCTGAAGCGTAACCACCGTCATCGGCGGGATTGGGATCAGGAGTTTGATCGAATTGAGAGAGATTGTTCATACTAAGACTTTTTCTAAAACAAGATGATGAAGCTTCCGTGACGCGGACGCCAAAAAGCATGATGGCTTTCTCTCCGCCGCCGCTGCCGCCGTTGTTGTCGCCGGTGGTGGTTATCTCTGTTGGACATGTGCGAGAGTTGTGGGCGTTGTTTCCACACTGTGAGCAACTACGCGACATGGAAGCTGCTCGCAAAGAGAGCAACACTTTGATCGGAGATAGGGAGAGAGAGAGAGAGAGATATTTTGGAATGAAAAAGGTAAAGAGAAGAAGAAGAAGAAAAGAGAGGTTTAGGTTTGTTTATAAATGGGAATGATTCTTTTATGTCTGCTTTTGAGAGCTCACCACAAAAACATTTGACCCTTACTTCTCTGTTTTAATCAAATTACTCTGTTTTGTCCTATTCTTTTATTTTCTTTTCTCCACCTTAATTTATTTTTTCATAGGCCCAAAGAAAAGAAAATGTCCCTTTTCATTGACCTTGTTTATTCAATTTTTCTTTCAATTGTAACCTCAAATTGCGGTGGTTAGAATTGGAATTCAACCGCCTTAAAAATTAAGCAAACATTCACATGAAACGATAAGACGAATGTAACGGGTAGATGGAATGAAGCAATTGAAAATAGCGGTTAGAAGAAAATAATCGACGGTTATTCTTTGTATTTACCACTTCTAATCACTTTTTTTTGGCTTTCATATTTTTTTGTGTGCTTTTGGTGGTAATTTTTAGAGTTTTCTTCTCATTTACAGTGCAAAGAGATCGGATTTCTCTAAAAGGCTTACAATATTTTGTACTCCAGCTATTTCACCAAAAATATTAATTTTTATCATTTTTTCACACATGTTAATAAGAAAATGTTCTCTTCAACCTAATATGACTCTCTCTATCTTATTCATAACAAAGTTACTCTTCTACTAGACTCGCCTAGTGAAGTAGATGTCGAACCAACTTTAGTAACGCTCAATCTCAAAAAAACCAACACTGGAATATCCAACCAAACAAAAGATAAATCGAATATATTTGTTGTAAGTGAAACGTGCCAAAATCAATGCAAACTATAGGAGTTTCATTTAGTACTATTTTCCTAAATTCGTAAGATAAAAAAAATTATAATAGCAAAACTTGTTACTATTATCTTTGCCATTCTCCATTTCCCTAGTTAATTTCACCATCGAGTCCAAGTGTTAAGCGTGGCCAGTTTTTGATCGTTAAAGAAAATTATGGATACGTTGTCGTTACGTACATAAGTATTTTAAATTTTGTGACCAATTGCAAGGTTCGTGGACTTTTGTGAATAGTTTGATGAAATAGTGCAAGTTACGAGAAATCCGAGTGGATGAAGTTTTATTTTGTCGGCGAGTGTATGAAGTTTCAGAGAAGATTACTCAGCTTTGTAATTTTCAAGATAAACAAACAACTTTGCATCAAAACAATAAGCAAAAAAGAGGAAAGCTGGACCGTTCGATGTACTCTGATATTTGGGGATGTGATTTTAGTCAAGTGGTTAAGTCCATTTGACTCCGTCTTTTCCACCGGAATTCGACTCCACTAAGTCGCGTTACCCCGCGTAGTAGGGATTGGCTATGGATCGGGCCTTGTCGATCCAAAAATGTCAAAAAAAAAAATATATACTCTGTTATTTTCCACCACTCTATTATAAAAATATACTTAGGGTATATAGCAAACTACTAAAATTTTGAATTTTTTTTTTGTAATGCACTTTTAAAATAGAAATTTGGTATTTTATATTTTTTTATCGCAATAAGTAACGATATAAAACTCAAATAAAATATAATCCAAATCGCTTTGATTATCTGGATATCTACATATAAAAATACTATGGTTATATTATTATGAGTAAACTCGTATAAAAATTTTATTTTCCAAATTATATGTATATACAGAAAATAACATGTTACCAAAAATAAATAAAATTTTATTTTATCCGTTGGGAGAAGAAATTATCTTGTTATTCATTTATTTTAATACTGTTTTCAATTGTCATATATATAGTACAATTTTTTGTTGTTTTTTTTTTGGGGCAAAGTTTTTTGTTTTTATAATCCAATTTATCGACCGTCCACGTAGCTCTGAGTGGATGATAGATAGGCCTGGGACTTATTGATAGATTAAAGAATCTTTGGTTCCAACTACGATATAAAGCTATGACCATTCAATTTTCATTAGATGTTTCTTATTTACTGTTTTTTTAAAGCGACAAACTGACAATTATTGATAGAGACGAGTATAGTTAAATATTCAAATGCAAATTAGATACTTTAATGAAATTACTGATTGTGTAAGCAACTGCGTGTCAAATTTCAATGTTAGTTTTACCAAGAAGGCACAGACACGTTTTCCTCACTTGAATTGAACTTGTCCCAAATTTTATCATTATTAATCGAAATCATAAAAAAGATTCGATGCGTTTACTTTTTGGGTTAAAAGCAAACACCCAAAAATTGCTATGGTTGGTGTACACATGACCTGCTTGAGAGCACTAACCCATGGTATAGGAGCATTACGCCAAACTTTTTTTTTTTTTTTCTGTTTCATAAGCAACTATGGTTAATTAAATTATAAGTGTTTAAAGGCAGCCTATCTAATTAATTTTTTTTTTTTTTGTTCGTTCTGATATTCAGTAATTTAACTTAAAATTTATATTGGCATTAACTGTACTTAGTTCTCACAGTGTTTAATTACCATCGATAATCATAAACTATAAGCAAAGAAATAAATAAAGAACGTCGTATGTGAAGTCTAGTGTACGTGCATCAGTAACCTTCTACCAAAGATGTTCTGTGATTGGTTGATACTTGATAGTGATATATCATATGAAAAGCCTCCATTCATATTTTTTTTTTGACATCCAATCACATTTATATAATATTCGTTTTTAGCGATTAAAACATATAAAATATTTCTTTTCATAATATCAAAAACGGAAAGGATGAACAGTTTTGGTCCGTTGGGTATTTCGAAGATGCATTACATAACTAGTGGAAAATGTCTTTTCTTTCTTAGTTACCAATAACAGAAAATGCCTATACTTAAGTATAAATCAATCAATAGACACCATACACAAAATAATATACTTTTTACCAAATTAACAAAAACATATCCATAGTAACAAATTTCTCTCGATTTAAAGCTATTTTCTTAGGTGAAAGTTTGTATTAGCATTTTGTTTAGTGTTATAAAATATGTAATTGTTTTTTCAATGGCATACATGATACATAATTCATTAGCATATGATTAAAAATATATTATGGGTTGCAAAAAAAAAACACGTAAGGGTTATCTATGTTGCATACATATAATCCCATGCCATAAATATGATACATAAGCAAACTGATCATTCATTTCAGCTAGGTTTTAAAAATTCTTACAAGTTACTGCAAAATTTATGTTTATATTATTATCTTAGAAAAATCATACTAACATACAAACCAAGTTCCCACGAGCTAACGACTTTTGAAGCTTTATTTGCTTTTGCTCTAGATCGGATAGAGAGTTCAACGCTTTAACAATTTTCGTATGATGAACATGGAGACAAAAAAAAAAAAAAAATTCCATAGATCTCCTTTTATATTATCTTTCTTTTTATTTAGTTAACATCAATTTTCGATATCGATTTTTTTAAGTCAAAATAATCGTTGACTGTGAAGCTATCGAACAATATATGCAAATCTATCTACTAATAAATATATCACTAGACAAAATTTCCAGCAGTGTAATCCAAATTAACAGATTGTCCATATACGAATGATTGATTCTTAAAAATTTTAAATTTATGGTCAGACCCAAAGTTGTAATCAGTGTATTAGAATTAAGTAAGAAAACAACAAATGGATTGAGAAAATTAAAGAGTGGTGGAGGAAAGAAAGAGTGAATGGACGGTAATCCAAATTAACAAATTGTCCATATACGAATGATTGATTCTTAAATTTTTTAAATTTATGGTCAAACCCAAAGTTGTAATCAGTGTATTAGAATTAAGTAAGAAGATAACAAATGGATTGAGAAAATTAAAGAGTGGTGGAGGGAACAAAGAGTGAATGGACGGTGAAGGAGGCATATTCGGTCGCTTCCTTTTCTTTGTTGAAAAAGATTTACTTGTCACTTACTTCATTCATTCTTGTCATGGGCCATTACCCTCACCCAATATTCACTTGTTCCCAACTATAATATTTAATCCCAATATCATCATTTCACAATTATTGTATATATATTTTTGTATGGTTTCAATTAAAATCTCAATTGAGACATGTATTTTAATGTATTATTTGATTAACTTTTTCCCTAAAGTTATGTGAACACAATTTTGCTACTTTGTCTAACATGCATGTAGAAAGTGATAGTCAGAAAACGATTCTAGAAAATATATAATATGATACATTTTGATTTGCAAAGTCATTACATAATAGGTGGTGTTAAACATGCGCCATCACAATATAATTTTATAAAACTCTATAATATTGTTGTTGTAGTTTAAAACAAAACTTTATTAGTGTGAAAATTTTGTACCAAAATACAATACATTTCGTTTAGTTTTAAACTATTGTATTGACTATTGAGTTTGAATTTCATTCTTGTTGGCTTAATTTATTTTGTTTTTGGTCTCTGGCATGAATTGATAGAAATATCATAGATGATACTCAGCGACAGAATGATGCATCTTGTAGTCCATCAAAACATAATTTATTTTTAAAATCGTTGCTATCTAGAATAACTTCTATTTTCTATAAAATAATATTTTTAGTCCGAAAAGATATTAATTTTTTCTTGTACTAGGATATGACCCGCGGTACACCGCGGATTAATTTTTTTGTTTTATAATTTTGTTATAAACCGATGAATTTGATGTATTAATTTTTTTCTGTTTTATTGGTACCGTAACGTAAATTTGATTTTGTACGGATTTTAATAAGATATAACTCTGTGATATTTTAAGTGTAATAGTATTTGGTTTTTATAGGGTGATTTTACCTTGCGGTACACCTCGGGGTTTCATTGTGTAACTAAAAATTTAAATTTTTGTATTTGTTCTGTTAATTGTTTGTTATATTTTGTGTTTAATATTGTATAATTATATTTTGATTGTTAATTATAGGATTTCACCCGTAGTATACTGTCATATATTAATATCGATCCAAACTCGTCCCGTCATATAATTTCGTCCCGTGATTATTATTACAATTGATCTCTGAGTACAACTGAACCATAACCAAGAACAAACTCTTATGTCTTATTGTTATGTGATGAAAATTTTGATTATTAATTTGCAATAAAAATTTTGACCGGTTAGGTGTTATTATTTTGTTATGTAAGAGTATTAAAAAATTTATTTAAATATTTTTAGAAACTTTGATTATAAAAATGGACCTAATTTAAATGTATATAAAAGGATATAAATGAATAAAACAATCCTGTGCACCAAAAACAAATAACAAAACAAAAAGGTATGAGTATGTCCTTATTTGATTTTGTATTTAAAAGAAGTGAAGGAAAAAAGAAAAAAGAAAAAGACTGTAAATTATTTTTTTGGTCGGAACCAACACAGTTTTTATAACCAGAGAAAAAAAAATCTCATCTTTTTCGTGTCTTCTCGTTTTCTCCAATCTCAACTTTTTTTGCTTTCGAGATGATGGTTCAATTGATTTCACAATCCGATTGCACAAATTACTTCAAATAGATCCGAGGAATTCAAATTACATTACTTCCTTCGACTGTTCCATAATTCTACAGTTTCAATTGTTCACTTGATGAGAGCCAAAGTAAGTAATACCTTTCTTAAATCTTCCTCTTTTATCGACGAATCCATGTAATTATTTGCCTGATTCTTATAATTATATATTAGATTGTAGCTATGAATTAAAGATTGCATCACGACGTACGCCATATCTCTAGATCCTACCAATACTTCGAATAGATCCGAGGTATTCCAACCGAGTTTTTTTGTAGATTGAATAGAAGAATTTAAACTGGTTGAATTTGTTTTTTTGCAGATTGCAGAAACTAATGCTATAGAGGTGTTTAATATCAGGAGTTTATGCATCATTTTTTCATTACTCTTAAAAAGCTTCATAGGTTATTTTCTCAGTGTTTTGTATGTTCAAAAGTTAGCTTACTCAACTCATGTATATTTTTGAATTGATTTTTTTCTTTTTCATAGATCATTATCAAAATTGCTGCTGGGAATGGAGTTGGGCAAATTTTAGTTGGAAAGTAAGTTTCTTTAGCCATTTAAAGTTTCTTGGATAAAATACAATGCTCTAAGATTAGTCTTCCTAGCTTTTGGTTTACGTATGAAACTTTCTGCATCAATTCAATTTTAAACTACAATGGAGTTGTAGATCTAGTTTGTCAGTTCCTCTTTCTGGTTTCTGTTTTTAATGCCATTGGGATTCTCGACTTTTTTTACTTATCAAAATTATAACCAAATAATTGTAGGGAAGACATTTTGTCAACCCCAGCAGTTACCCATGTAATCAGGAAAAGAAAGGCAAGCTTCTTTGTGTGAAAAACCGTGTTCTAAGTGTTACCACCATTTGTGTTACCACCAGGTTTGTTAAATTCAAGCCCTTATAAAGATATAGTTAGGTAGAATGGGAGTACAAATAATATGAGTTTTAACTATTGACGGTTATATGTTAAGTATTATTACTCAACTGAATATAAGATGGACTGTCCAAATTTACATAATTTTATCCCAATCTATTATCAGAGTTGTGAAACTGAATTATTCATTAATTTAAACAATGAAAAGGAACTATATAATGTTCCTTCTAAAAAGAAAATGTAATTGCATTATGTAGTGGTTGCAATAGTGATTAATTTAACCGGATCTTATAGTCTCATGTGTATGAATATTTTTAAAGTAATGTCAGACTGTTTAAGTTAAATTAAAAAGGTCAATCACTATGAATTTAAACTGACGCAATTTTATCCTCATGGAATTTGCAGAGTGAAATGCACAAAAATTCCGGATTATTCTTTTATATCATCACACATGGACCATTCAAATGTGAGACCACCAGGTATGATTACTAAACTCCATTTATCTTATATAAGATAGTTAGTAATGAAAAAGATTAAGACTTTCTGAAGTAACTGAATCATGAAATAGATGTGCCACAAAGGAGCACTTATTTAAAACAACCATGAGAAAAAACCAAAAGTAATAGAAAACTATCCTTAGTTTCAGATAGAGAATGGAAAAACAAAAAAAAACAAAACAAAACTCCAATCTAATCCCCTCACACACAGACACGGATCACTCCTTTTCAACCTTGACTGTTAAATATTGTAAAATGATTGGTAGCTGTTGTGTTTGGTGATGATAAATGGGGTTTAGGAGCATAGTATTTATAGCAAAGCTAAGTAGGTTTCGGTAATTCATAGCAAGTTGAAAAAAAATATTTATAGCCGCAAGATTTTAGGGAGTAAATCTTGATATTATGATTTGATTGGAATATGCTATGATTTTGTGCGTTTATTTTATTTTTAATATGTTTCCATAATTGGTTTTTAATGGTATTGGAAGAAAGAATTGTACACAATTGAATGTGGAGGGTTTAAATGAAAACAATAATTTTTGAATATATCAATTCAAAATACCCGAATTGATTTAATTGTCAAGTTAATATGGAAAGATTTAGGGAACTAAAAATGTCGTTTTAAGATAATGAGTGAAGATTTTGGCAAGTACCTTAAATAGTTTATTGGATGTGATTAACAAATCTGTTTTATTATCAGAATATGTATTATTGATTGTGACCCATAATAATAGGAAAGATATTGAATGTAGCAATTGTTAGCATAATAATAATAAGAAGTATATCTAACAAATCTGTTAGCATATATAGGAAAGATATTGAATCCGGTAATAATAGAATTTGGTAGTTTAGGAGAAGTATAGGAAGAGAATATTTGGCCGAATTCCTTGCATTTTTTTTTGGCAAGTCTCATTTATCAGGATCCGAGAGTTTTGATTGGTCATTGAGTCGGGTCAAAAAACCAATTCCGGGTCAAAATTTTAAAAATACCCGACCCGATTGGGGACCCCAAAAACTGTTGCAAAAATGTATAGTAGATACAACTACAGTTTGAAATTTGGGTGGCAACTAAGAAAATAAAGATTCGAAAACATCATGCTACCATATTGGATGGTAAAGATATTTGTAGTTTACAATTATATGCATAGTTTTCCAATCTATATTTGGAAATAATAAAATATAAAAACGAAGAGATTATTTGTGGTGTGCGGACAAGTGATGTTGGGCGAAGATAACGCAACATGGACCCATGTATCATCTTCTTGACCATATAAAAATTCAATCAAATTTGTTTTTTTTTTTTTTTTTTTTTGACAGCATTTGGTTTCTTTTACTTATTCTTCTCCTTTTCATAAAGATGAATTCCAACATGCATGTTCTTCTTCCAACAATTCACACACATTAAATCGAATTGATAACGCATGCATCAACTATTATCTGACTATTTTGACGTTAATAATTAAGAGTAATAACAAGGGTAATATAAGGGAATAGCCAAATAAAACACATAAATTAGGAAACTAACATAGAGAAAGGTTTTTGTCGGAAAACAGCGATGGATCCATGTTGTCAAAGGATGTGAAATAACAAAACCATCATCCGTTTGTTTTGAGATCAACAGTAAGCGAGATTGTTTCGTGAGATTTTTCAAAATAGCACGTAAGATCTAAATTTCACATGTTATATTTAACTAAAAGACATGCTATTTCAAAAAACGTAGTGAATTTTTAAGAAAAAACATTGTTACGTAGTGTTCAAAAAAAAAAAAACATTGTTATGGAAAAATTAAACTTGAATAAAATCTTTTTTTTAAAGAAATAACATGTGATTTTAATAAAAACCGCAAATTACTAGAAAATAAGAATCTTTTTTTAAAGAAATCACATTTGATCATAATAAAAAAACGTGTATTACTACAAAATAACATGATAGAGAGAGATATTAAACTGAATAGAGAGTTTTTTTTCAAGAAATACCATGTGCTCTTTATAAATAACGTGTAATACGAGAAAATAATATGATAAAAAGAGATATATTATTCTATCACATGTAATTCGAGAAAAAAACATGTTATAAAGGACATATACGTAATTACATGTGCTTTCCGACATGATACAGACAAATTACTATAGCATATGGCTATTTTCTTAATTATCCTAAAAAATTTGGCTATTTTGTGCATATTCTCTAATAACAATCAAGACAAAGAATTAAAATCAAATGGGTAGATGACATAAAGAGAAAACATATAGATCGCAAAAATAATTTATTTTGGACGTAAAAAGAATACGTTTTTACCTGATAATGCTTGATCGACTTCATCCATGACCATGAGTCTCACATTTGTTTACGAGTTCTTCGACCAATGACTAGTTCATTATTTTGAAAGATTTTCCGGCTGATAAGGCAGACCACTATTCATAAAATAGATCTGGAACTAAATGCAGATTGACATTTAAAGGTATATTGCAGCATCAGCTAGAGTAATAAACTAGATCTAGGATAAATGAATGCCATTTCGTTTAATGTATATCGTAGCATCAGCTAGAGCAATAAACTAGATCTAGGATAAATGAATGTCATTCTCCAAACTAACAAAATTTCGAATATATATGAAATGTTATATTTGTACTGTTATAATATATGTATATATATTATGTTGACAAAAATTGTTAAGAGAATGGATCTGATCCTATCCAATTTGGGCTTCAAGAAAAGCCTAATCTGAAACAGCCCGAGGATGAGAACGGATCCGATCCGAATTGTGGCCCATATCGAGAAATGGTCCAGCGATGAAACTACGTCATTAGGTCAAGCGGGGGTATTCTCGGAAATTGACAGGGGACGGAACAATTCAAGCTGACTCAAAAAAAATTACACTCGAGTTCGTCTAAGCTTTTTAGATCGTCTAAAGCTTTTCAGTTCGTATTATTTTATCTTTTGTTCGGATTCGACCTTAATTAGCTATTTGGACGAGATAACTCTTTGCGACTAAACTATTTTGCTTAAGTTCGGGCTCATCGATAACAAGAGTGATTATTCTTTACTTTTTTCAAAGACTCAATTCGTACTTGTGTGATATTGTACACCAACAAAACATCGGTAAAAAGTAAAAACTATCATCCGTAACTGAACGTACATTAGAGATAATGGATCTCATTTTTTTTGTTAAAGATCTCAAGAACGAATCATAGAGCGTGTATAAATCATCGATATCAAGAACATTTCTTAGAACCATAACTTTATTTTTTTAATTTATACGGATAATTCGAAACTACATTTCCTAAGGACAAAGGCGTCCCACAAACTATATATTTTCTTGGAGTTTAGTTCCACATAAATTAGTATTAGATTATTGGCACCATTCATTAATATATACATACACATGTACGTATGATGTGTGAGGGAAATAAGATTATTATTGGGATACGAGATCGAGTACGAGAAAAGATTAGTGTGTTGATTAGTTGCTTCTAATTGTCGTTATCTTCATGACGAGAACATACTTTGGTATACACAACTGGTTACTTTTGATTTGAGATGCGGCGGTAGGTAAACAATTCAACAAATTAATGTGTGTATTTAAAAAATTTAATTATAGGCATTTATAGCATTCAAGACAAAAGTTTGGGCCTAGGCTTTAATCCCTCCCCCTCCTTTTATCCAAGACTAGCCTTTGCTAATACTTTATAACATGGCGTAAAGCATCCCTCCCATCGAAAATCGAATTAAGAAGCACATGGATCCAACCCCTAAAACTACTAGCCCAACGCACCGTTGGTACATTCGAGACTGTTTCCTTGTGCTTCTTTGATTCGTAGCCAAATAAGTTGGATCGAGTCCTACGTTTTGGTACTCATTATTGGAAGAGACTATGGTTGTACAGTTGTACGTTATGGATATTAGTAGGCCACATCATAGCCCATTAACATCCAGATAATCAAAAGCCCAACATAAAGAACCTACCAACGTATTATAAATTATCAATTATTAAATTCCTTTATAAATAAATCACTAAGAAATTTCGCCACAATTAATTGCAATTTTAGTATTTTTTTTAGTTTGAAACTTTTCAAGTTCCTTCTGTATTTTTTTGTTATTGTTGATAGAATCTAATTAATTTGTTCCTCAAAACTCTCTCCCACATCAATTATTTTGTATGTAACTTTTTCTCCGTCAATACCTTTGATATCTATATCAATAAATATAAAATAAAATTTTTAAAAAATTCGTAATAAACAAAAATTTAATTGAAAATTCAATTTCCCTCAAAAATTGGAAAAATCTAGGATTTGGAATAATTAAAACTGATATATTTGGAGAAACTTATGAAGAAACTGCATGCAGGTAACAACACACCATCAACAAATATAATCTATACTATATAAAAGTCGAGGCTATAAGCTTTTGAGGCCGTCCACCTAGGATTTAAACGACCAATCGAAATTAGCCATCTCATTAGTTAGCATTTTTACAATTACATTAATTAAAATTTTTAAACTCTAATATTTTCTATGAAAATACTAAAATTATTAATAAAAAAGGAAAAATATATATATATGTAACCCACCAACCCTCTCCCGACACAATCTCTTTCTGTTCTGTTACATTTTCCAGGATTCTTTTACCACATTTGACGAGAGAGAAATGCGAGACGTCATGGAGAAATTCAATTTCCTCACACCCGACTCATCAAGCTCATCGACAAAATGTGTGAAACAGAATTAACTCGATTAGAGACAAGGGGGACCATTGGTACGACGATTGTCTAACGTTATGGTTCTCCACTCGACCACCGCCATGAACAAGCACACCTTTGACTAGCTTCAAAAAAATTTATTTGTAATCTCTTTGCAATTTCTCTTTGTTTTCTAAACATTCAAAAAAATCCGATGCATTCATTTATAACAAAGCTTTTGGTTGCATAAATTTACATTCAAAAAAAAAATGTTAGTTACCACTCATCCTCAACAAGCTATCTAAGGTTATTATACTATCTAAGGTTATTAATCAACAAGCTAATAGGACAAGAAGTTTTGATAAAATTATAACAGTTAATGGTAAAATATATGTAGATTTCAAATCATAATGATATGCTAGAGATTTACTAGATTATAATTTTGAATGGCATCATGTAATGGATGAAGCTAAACAATGGGTTACACCTTATCAACTTGGACAACTATTTGTCTTATTGCTGATATAATTTGAAGTGAGCAGTCCTCTTAAATCATTAAACGTTGTTCAAAATCACTTGGTGAAGAGAGATTTGTAAGACACTTTTGTTGATCAAAAAAAGAAAAAGAAAAAAAAAAAGACACTTTCAATTCTCAAAAACTACATCTAACAAAATATGAGCTACAACAATACATTTTGATTGTGATAGAGAAGGTAATTCACCTGTATGAACACTCCCTAACTGATTTATTTATGTTCGCTAATTTCATCAAACTTTTGAATCGATACCGAGAATCTAATAGTAAAAAAAATCAAATGCATATGTAGTTAAGAGTTGTCCATAATTAATTTGTGCATGCGATTGCGATATGACGGTTCACAAGAGATTTATCAACAAATTACAATCGAAAATGAGTTAATACTCACAAAAAATCCAAGGCGAAATTCACAATCTCCATGAGATCTTAAAATCTAAAATAGTTCAACCGATGATCTTAAATGTAGCCCGGAAACAGAATTAAGAGTTTGAGGTTCAAAAATTAATATTAAAGAAAATGTAAAAATACTACTGTGACTGTGAGGTAGATATCTAATTGGGGATTGAAGATGAAGATTTTAGAAAAGTAAATTGCGAGAACTGGAGATTGCGAAAGATAAGATATTGATTGGATGGTTGAGATTTTGGCCATAGTGTAGTAAGACGAATCATAGACTAACGAAATATTAATGAAGTGATAAGAAAATGTTGACTATACCATAAATATATTTTTTTTTATAGATAATCTAAGAGGAAATATAATAAGCTTACTAGCTTAGAAGAGTAGTCTAGAAGAAGATGACAAGTACAGAGAGAATTCACATAATTATTGACAATTGCTAATCGATTTATATTTTAGACTTATGTTGTAGTTTTCTAAATTGTACATTTGTAATAAAAAAAGTTTTGCTTTTGTAATTTAAACTGTTAGAGATTAAAACACTATAATTTTTCCTTTTAGTTAAATTTATATTATTATCAACAACAATATAGAAAAGATAATACTTCAATAAATCATTAATTCAATATAATTTTCACCAAAATATCTAAAATAATTCTTTAACACCCGTTAACTCATGGATTCGAATCTACCAATAATTTAAAGTTAAGGTATTTTAGACTAAATATACATAAAATATTTTTTTCAACCAAAAAATATTGGATATTAAACATCCAAATAAAAAATATATAAATTTTTTTTAGGATTTTTTCCTAAAATAACCCACGCGTAGCGTGGGTTCAAAACCTAATTTTATATAATGTGATAATTTTTCAGCACTGATCATATTTGACTCTCGCATTTTTTATGTATTTTGAATTAATAATATTAAAGGTAAGATTACAAAAAAAATAAGGTAATCAAAATCTTCTTAGGGAAAAAAATATTTATTAATATGTAAAACAATTATATAAATATATGTAAAAAAGATGCACTTATCAAAATCTTCTTAGAAAATATTCTAGCTAACCCTAAAAAAAGATACGTAGATCTTGTACATATATCATACTTCATACACATCTCTTTCTCCGTTCTCTCTCTTTCTCTGTATTACAATGGATTATGGAAACGGAGAATTAGCTCCCAACCCCACCTCTTTATGTGCTAGGCTTACACCACAACAAAAAGACAGAGTACAGAAAATTATCGTCCTATGTTGCATCGCTATCTTCGTCGCGGTATTCATCACTTATGTCTGCTTTTATGAAGCACAAATCCGACGTGAAAAACGGCGTGAAGAACAACGTATAAGAAATTATGCACCGGATATTATAATACCATCTATGGATTTCACGGTGCTTAATTTAACAGAGACTAGTCTTAGTGTTAAATGGGATTTAGTGATCAGACTTCCTTCAGACCTTCCTGGTTACTATATGTGTCTCAAAGGAGATCTTCAGACTTTCATACTCTACAAAGGTGTTACCATTGCTAATTCGTCTTTAGACAGGTTACATATATTTTTTTAAATTCTATACTCTTATTTTTTTTTTCTTAAACGATTTAACTTTTTTTCACATGTTTTTGTTTAATTTTAACTCTTTTTTTTCATGTTTTATCAGTTACAGTTTGATACCAAATTGGCCTCAGCTGCTTAATACCTCCTCATTGGTTGCTTCCGAGAGAGATATGGACAATGTGGTTGTGCATGACATTATGGAGGATATTAAGGAAAGAAGAGACATGCGGTTCGGATCACGATTTCTTCTTCCGGATTGTAGATCTGGGAGGAAGATGAACTATACGTGTGATGAAACCGCGTTACGGTTTGAGCCTGGCTCTCAAAGGAAGGCAACTGAGTTTGAAAAAGCCTCTCCTATATGCCACTATAATCACCCTTAAGTAAATTTTCATCAATATTGATTCCTTCTTTTTTTAGTTTGCAAATGTTGGATCTTCTTCTTTTGCATTTTGATATATCAGACTGACAGCTTAATTAATAATTCATCTGCAACTGCGATAGTTAGTTTTTATTTTGTTATATAAATTATAATACTTTATTTTCGACCCGGAAATTTTTTATAGCTCATCGGACATCCAAGTTTTATTTTTATTCCGGACATCCAGTTTTACATTTTCACTCTAAATCTAAATTTTGTAATATATTTTTGGATTATAGTTGATAATTTTGGATTAATAAACATATATTGTGGTAATTTTGAGATTTACATTAGAAGAACCATATGTTAAGTTTCATCTTTCTCCACACGATATATGGAGAAGATTTCCATAAGAATTAAAATCGAGAAAATATTAAAGTGCATATATAAATAATATATTATAAGCGAACCTTTTTTTAGGAAAAAATCCTAGTAAAAAATAAATTCAACTAAAATTCAGTTTCCCACGTAATTAATTGCAAATCTTGGATCTGGTCCATTTGGAATAAGTAATAACACTGATATATTAGGAGATTACAAATTTTGTTTTTTTCTTTGGCTTCAATGGAATATACATTTTTCTTTTTTGGAATATACATTTTTTAATGTATATTTTCATTATTATCATACGATATTTGATTCTGTTTTATGTATTTTGAATTAATAACATAAAGGTAAGATTACAACTTTTTTAATTAAAAACTTCTTAGAGAAGAAAAGTTATTTACAATGTGTACCAAATATGGTGTATTCCAAGACGAAAATATGGTGTATTCCAAGACGAAAGATAGAAAATCTATATGTACTTACCAAAATCGTTTTAGAGAATTAATTTTGTACAAATTAATATTATATACCAAATCATGTCTATATTAACCTTAACAAAAAGGAGAAATAAATCTGGTGTGTTATATATATAACATATACACGTCTCTCTCTTCCTCCTCTGAGTTACAATGAATCATGGGAACGAAGAATTAGCTCCCAAATCGCCCTCTTTATGGAATAGACTTACACCAAAACAAAAACAGAAAGTGAAGACGTCTCTCTTCTGTTTCTTTATGCTGATTATAGTTGTGGGAACCATCGTTTATGTCTTCTATGCAACAGAAAAAAAATCCCGTGAAGACCATCAGCGTATACAAAACTATGTCCCGGATATTATATTACCATCTATGGATTTCACGGTGCTTAATTTTACAGAGACTCTTCTTAGTGTTAAATGGGATTTAGTCATCAGGATCCCTCCAGACCTTCCTGGTTACTTTATGTGTCTTAGTTGAGATTTGGTAGACCTTGCGAATGTAGCTACTTCTGACTATGTTCCCCCTCCTAATCCTTCTACCACTACTGAGCATAAAACTCTATCTGTATGTGAGGATGAGTACACTAAGTTCCTTCAGTATCAAGCAGCAAGTAATCTGTTCCTACTGCATCGCCCTACCTTTCTAGGGCCTTGAGTTGGGATACGGTTCTAGTTCCAAACCCCTCTATTCATTCGTTTGTAGCCGTGGGTCACATTCATTCCTGCTGTTTGTCGGTAGTCTTCTCGGTTTATCCTATGTAATAAGAGGTAAAAGTAGTAGGAGCGAGACCGTTGTAGCTAGAGCAGTCAATCCCTTTATCGATAAAGTGGTAATGAAGGGTCTGTAGTAAGCAAACAAAGGATATTTTCAGACATTCATACTTTACAAAGGTGTTACCATCGCTAATTCATCCTTAGAGAGGTTACACTTTTTAATTTCTATACTCTTTTTTCTTTAAACGATTTAACTTCTTTGCTCACATATTTTTGTTTTTTTTTTTCATGTTCGATCAGTTACAATCTGATACTAGATTGGGCGCAGTTGCTTAATGTTTCATCAATTGCTTCCGAGGGAGATATGGATAGTGTGGTTTTGAAAGACATTATGGAGGATATTAAGGAAAGAAGAGACATGCGGTTCGGATCGCGGTTGCTTCTTCCGGATTGCAGATCTGGGAGGACGATGAACTATACATGTGATGAATCCATGTTGCGGTTCGAGCCTGGCACTCAAAGGAAGGCAAATGCGTTTGGAAACGACGCACCCATTTGTCACTATGTTCGCTAGTTACTTTTAATGAAATATTTGTTGTTTGGTTTGCAAATGTTGGATCTTCTTCTTTTGTGTTTTGATATATGGACTGATCTTATAAAGTATTCTTTTTTTTTTTTTTTTTTTTTTTTTTTTTTTTGATAATTCAGGGGAATCCCAGATCTATGGAGGGGTCCAGACTAATCCCCTGGGGGAGGTGCAGCCCATAGATAGACTCTCTCTCCGGGTATGCAAATGGGCCGAAAGCAAAGACCCATATCCATGTGGCCAAGTGGAGATCTAGCAATTGCGCGCTTGCGGGGAATCGATCCCTGGCCTAGACCAACAGGGCAACTCCTCCACAAGTGACAACCACTAGACCAAAGAACACTTGGTTCTTATAAAGTATTCTTAATTTTCGATCTCAAAAAAAAAAGAAAAATTTAGCACATTGACATCCAACGTTACATTTTCATTCTTGTATCATCAATGCATTGGATACATCAAAAATCCCAACAGCCTTTTTAATATTAAAACTGAAATCCTAAGTTTATTTTTCAGCTTAAAAAGTAAAAGAAAAGAAATTGTTATAATCTTCAAATTTTATCGACCCCAGGTCAGGCGGGATTACCCGCTGAGTTTAAGCATATCAATAAGCGGAGGAAAAGAAACTAACAAGGATTGCTGGACGGTGACCTAACGCTTAGCGTCGAGAAAGTTTAATCGGAGCCTACACGATATCAGGCGGTTTAGACGTGGACAAACATAACACAATATAAATATGATATATATATATATATAGACATCTTTGGATCGACAATGCCCAATCCATAGCCAATCCTTACTATGCGGAGTAACACGACTTAGTGGAGTCGAAAAAGTAGACTTAACTATCTGACTAAAGACACATTCCCAATTATAAATATGATATTATAACTTAAAATCATATAAAACTACATATTAGAAATATAAAATTATTAAATCATAAACAAAAATTAGAAAAAATTATTTATTTAATTTATAACAAACAATATACATGGAGCTAAAACTTATAATTTAAATTTATGTAGTTGGAAATTAGAGAAACACATTAAACCAAAATCTATACAATTTTCAGTGACCGAAGTGGTCGTCTAGGTGTCACGGGTGAAGCAAAGACGACGTTGAGACGAAGTTGAATGGTATTTGAAACAAAGACGGAAATGGCCGAAACAAAGTAGATTGAAACGAAATAGACGGTGACGGCGGAAACAATTCTTTTTTTTTTAATTCTGGCTAATTAGTCCGTTTAGCATACCAAAGCGATAATCATATCTCTTAATTAAATCTTCTGATTGGTTTGTATCTAATAACCAAACAAGAACCCAGATATCCAAACTTCGGTTCGGACAAATTGATTTTGTGAATAGTGGATAAAACTCATAAAAGAGTAGTTTTTTTTTTGTTGGTAAAATGGATAAACGAGTAGTTTTTTCATTTTTTGGTATATTAATGAAAAGAGGAAAAAATCCATGTAATGGGAGAAAATCGAATCGTTATGTTAACAAAAAGATTTGTGCTTAACATACGTAATATTAAGTCTCTTAATATGCATCATGTAGTTATTTATAAACCTAAAACCTTACGACTTTCTTTGTGTCAATGAACAAGTCTTTTGTATCTGCCTGTAAGCCTGTTACGTGTGAGGTAATGTGTCCATCTATACTTGTGTCTTGGCGAACTTTGATCGATCCACTTCACTTTGATCCTATCTTGTTTCTATTGTGTAATTCTTAGATCAAAATATAGTGTAGGAGTAAGTTAGATTCAAATCTTCCAGTGGATAGCTGTAAATTCCCTTGCAATGTTTTCTATGAAATTAGATCTGCTGATTGTTTGTATTTAGGATAATTTCGAGTATGTTTCTTTGAACTTATAATTCGTTTAGTGAGATTTAAGACTTGCGATTGATTTTCAAAGTTGTTTAATTGGGAGTGATCTGAACATTGATGTATTTTCTCTTTCTCTAAATAATGAAGCTAGCACTTGCCAGTTGTCAGTTTCAAAACCATGGTTGCAAATAAGAAGCTAACTACAAATGATGCACTTGATTTCCTCAAGGCTGTAAAAGATAAATATCAAGATAATCGTGAAATATATGAGAGATTTCTTACGGTCATGAAGGACTTCAAAGCTCAAAGGTATTTTTTTTCTTCTTCCTCCCTCATAAATCATAATGATTAGTTTTGCTCTTTCATTAGTTTCAGCTCGTAATTATATATGATTTTGGCAAACTGAATTTGATTTTTTTTTTTTTTTTTTATTAATTGTAGAGCTCATACATGTGATGTCATATCTAGAGTGAAAGAACTCTTCAAAGGGCAACCAGAGCTTCTCTTAGGTTTCAACACATTCTTGCCAATGGGTTTCGAGATAACACTCGAAGATGACCAACGTCCATCAAATTTGAAGTCTGCTCACTTTGACGATGCATATGAATTTGTCAACAAGGTCAAGGTAGTTGCGCAAAATCAGAATAGTAAAGAGGAATTAGAGTTTGATTATGATTATTTTGATCCAAAAGATCTAAAATCTAAATTAAAAAACAGGTTTATTCATTTAAATTTAGAGAAATGAATCAACTTGTTTATATTTTAGTGTTAAAATTTTAAGTTACTATGGTATTAGATTTATCGTTGAAGGTTTAGTTCCGGTGTAAACATTTCAGTTTACATCATTTAGATTTTCTCTATTGCTCTTTATTTTGCAGCCCTACTAGAAATCTTTTCTGTACACTCTTAAATATCAATTTTTCTGTAGACAAGATTTCAGAACAATGATGTATTCAAGTCATTTTTAGACGTTTTAAAAACGTATAAAAAGGAAAACAAGAGCTTTGCTGAGCTCTACCAGGAGGTATATATATATATATATATATATATATATATGTTTCACTACCTTTTCTTTTTCCATTTTTCTTGTATTGGATTTAATGAAATGCATTATTTTGTAGGTGGCTATCCTTTTTCAAGGCCATCAGGACTTGCTTGAGGAATTTCATCAGTTTCTTCCTCATTATGGATGAAGAATGATGCATTATGTATACAAATGAAGTCATGAAAGTTGTGGTTCAAGCCACTTTATCTGCTTCCATCTTGACTCAATGGGCATTATCCTTAGTTTGTTGCTGAACTGGTAAAACTAGTACTCTATGTTTCAAGTTGTTTTATACTATTCAAAATGAATAATATGGATACTCCACAACTTATATATCAATTTACTTAGACAATTATGCTTAACACAAGTTCCATACAATGAACTTAGTGAGAATGCACCAAACTTTTTTTTTTTTTTGGTTAAAGGTTGATGCATTAATTTAAGAAAAGCTGCGAATTACAAATTCTGAAAAAAAACGACAACAAGCTCGAAACGGCAAAAGAAGATAATTTGAACCAAACCAAACAAACAAAAGATTGCCATTTAGCCTGGTAGGTGTTGAGGTGGTTCTGCCGTACGTCGATGGGTTCTCTGGCAACCAAACCAAACAAACCAAAGAGAGAAGTCGAATGCATGGAAATCCAAACGAATACATTTAATCATTCTATCTTTAAGCTACATCGAGAGATTTATGATCAGTCCCTAATATCTTTGAGATCAACAGCGAGTTTGTGACATGAAGACATGGCCGGTAAACCCAAGAAAACAGCGGTTTCTTTTAAATTTTCTGATTTACTCTTTTAAATTTTGGACTTTTAAACTAAGTTTGAAAACCCTATATACTCAACGTCGATCATGTTTACAATACGCGAATCATACTTTGATGTCAAAATCAAGGAGTAATCAATCCTGAAGCCCAACGATCTATGAACCAGCCCGACTTTGGCTAGCTAGAAGTCTCGGTACAAAGTGATGATTTGTGTGATTGATGTCAAACGCTAGCAATTACAACCGCACGCAAACCCTACAGTTGCGAGTGAACCCATCAAGTCTTTTATCATTTGTGGTAAACGCTGATCAATAAACACTCACAACAAGATGTTGACCATGTATAATTTGATTAGGTACGTCTTATAACCAAATTGTATTTGGACCGATTATAGTCAATCCTAAACCAAAATCAACGTTGCAGTATGGAATCTGGTTTTGGACCAACTTAAATTAACGTATCCTGTGGCAGCTACAAGATTTTGAGGATTGGTTGTAGACGTAAGGAATTTGAGATATATGACTTTAAGTCTAAACTCTCTGGAGAGCCTTTTCTGATTGGTATGTATATACGCCCCAACAAGATTTCCCTATGAATGGAACTATGCATTGGATTGCTGAAACGAGGGGTGATAGGATTCAGGAAACCTTCATCCAGAGTTTCGATTTTCCATGGAGACATTCAAGCCCATATGTTTGTTTCCTCCCTTTGAGAAGAAGATTAGTGCTGCCGGACGTTTGATTATTGATATATAGAGTAGCCTTTTCAGGTTTCAGAGGAGTTAGGCTTTCTTTGTTTTTCCAACACGTTGGAGAGGAAACAAAGGAGATGGAGGTGTGGGTCACAAACAAGGTGACTGATGTGGTTGTCTCATGGAGTAAGTATTTTAATGTGACTCACCCTGATCTCCTCATCTTTAATCCCCTTTTCATCAGATACACGTATATATATTCCGACATTCTTCATCCACAAGACCGATTCTATCATGTTATGGTGCGATAAAGTTGTAAGAGAGGGTTATGCTAGATTGCTAATACCAGTTTTTACGAAATTGGTCTAGGTGTGATCAACAAACAAGTTGAGACAGGACAACCCTTTACTCCTTTAGGTGAAGATGAACATAAATCTTGTGTTTCCAACTTTGTTTACGTTCCAAGTCTGGTTTTGGTTCCAGAATAAGATGAAGAGAGAGTCGTGAGATCTCATGCATGTTGTAAGCTTTGTTTTTGGTCTTTCTGTTGCTCTTCTTGTGATACAATTTAAATATATGTTCCATACTTCCATTATAATAACTCAAATTTTAACTCGATGCACCTCATCTTAATATGTAACAACTAAAGCTTTTATATGAAAGATGATATGTGCATCATAACAAATATATATCTTAGTTAATATTAAAAATAATTAAATTAATTTGTTTATAGATTGTCTAAACGTCTTATTTGAACATAATTACACTTAAATTACGTTCATCTTAAATTGTGAGTTAGTTGTTTTATAAACCACTAGGGGAGGTCCCCGCGCCCAGCGCGGGGTTGTATGTTGATTAAGACCAGAATTAATAATCAATATTTAGGGTTATCAAGTTAGGGATATTATTGATTTAATTTTGTCAAGAGTCTAATTTTTATAACGACATTAATATAGAATTATGGTAAAACCCTATAACTTTTGATATATATTATTAGTAATCAACAATTAATAGTGTTTTTGAATCACAAACAATTATTAGTGTTTATATCTTGATATATATAATAGAATTAAATATAAAAAATCTATATATTTAAACCAACAATATATTAGCAACGCCCCGACAGCCGCCACTGTCCATGGGTTCCCACGTCCAGTCTCGGTCTTTAGGCCCATCTTCTTTGTTTTGTCGTACTCTTGATTTTATGACATATTCATGCTTACTCGTTTCTTTCATATTAGCAACGCCCCGACCGCCACTGTCCGTGGGCTCCCCACGTCCAGTTTCGGTCTTTAGGCCCATCTTCTTTGTTTTGTCGTACTCTTGATTTTATGATATATTCATGCTTACTCGTTTCTTTCATATTTGTAATGCCACGACCGCCACTGTCCGTGGGTTCCCACGTCCAGTTTCGTTCTTTGAGCACATCTTCTTGGTTTTGTAGTACTCTTGGTTTTATGACATATTCACGCTTCCTCGTTTCTTTCATATTTGTAACGCTCCGACTGCCACTGTCCGTGGGTTCCCCACGTCCAGTTTCGATCTTTAATTTGGGCCCATCTTCCTGGTTTTTGTTGTATTCTTGATTTTATGACATATTCATGCTTTTAGATTGTATGTCACTGGAGTTTTTCGTAGTTGGAAATAAATAATTGAAAAATATAATCTCTTACCATATCTCTTACCTATCAAGTAAGTCATCTTGCTCTCTGAAGTAGTTATGTACGTAAAATTTCAATGGTATAGAAACAGGCATCTCCTTTGTATATATCGTGTCATATTTATCGTCCCTATTGTAGTATCTTTGTCTCTACCTTCGCCATTGGTCGCTGCGTAACCTTTCAGTTGATCTCTTGTTTATAAAACCCATATAAAAAGTTGTAAGAGAAATATCATTTTCTTAACTGTATCGTATATGTATTTGTAGTATATTGATCTGAGATTGCAAAGATGTATGCCTATCAAGAAGCTCTTAGCAAAGTAAACACTGAAGATAGGTACTAAAAATGAGAGGGTTACAGAGAGCAAGTATCTATCCCTTAGAAACCACTATGTGCAACTGAGAATAATTCATATATGTACATACATACACATGTATACAACGTATTGAAACTTTTAAATTTAAATATCGAATGCTACAAAACTGGAAAATTGCTTGTGGAGAAAGCAATATGAACATGGCCACATATATAACAAATAACCGATTATGCTTGTCGTAGATCATTCTCTTTCAAACCAAAAGTTTTACCTAAACAACATATCAAGTGACTCACAAGAGATACATAAGAGCCATATCCTAAAAATATCCGGCAAAGCAAAAACGCTCCAGGTTCGAGAAGGAAGTCATTGGAAAATTTGAGTATATACCAAACTGGAGAGTAATTCGGCTACAAAGAGAGATGTGTTGGCTTTGAAGAAAAAGCTATGTGATGCTCTACCTTTTATTTATGAATTTTATGCTATGAATATATGTTTTTGTTAGGGTTCAACTTCAGTCTCCGGATTAGAGACTTATATTCATCCGACAAACAATTCGATGTCACAATCAACGCTACAAAATTGGTGGGTTCTCTCTATTAACAAACAAAAAAAATTTCTGGGGTATATATTTTTTTTTTGTTTTGTTAGATCCATACGACGAAGAACATGACGAAGAACACCAAAAATTCTCATCAATCCGGTACGTTTGATCTTATTTTTATTAGTTTAACAATTACGGTTATGTCCGAATGCGAAATAACCATGGCTCCAGACTCCTTCACACCATGGCCACATATCACCGGAGTGGAGACGATTTCAAATTCGGAACTTCTCTTCGCATATAAAATCATATATATGGTCTCTTTGTTTCGGGTTCCCTCTACAATAATTAGTACATATTACAAAACTGAGCTACAAAAGAGCACATTGGATTTTGGTAAACATCAAGATTGCTTCCTACCTTCCAAGAAACATGATAGACTAATTCACATCCAAGACCAAACATTAGCCGCCACATAAAGCCTGAATCAAATTAAACGATCTTAGGATGCTCTTCATAATCCGTAAGTTAAAGAGACTTGCATTAATATTGCAAATTAGACTCTAGAGGTCCACAATGGTTAATCGGAGTGTATCAAAGACGGCGAATAAAGCATGAATTAGAATATCAGCAGAGGAAGCACACAAATATTCAATAAACGTAATCAATCACTGAGAATAGCATGGACCCAACTTTTGAAAGATTCATAAAAAAAGGAAGATTTTTCCTATGCAACAATATTCAAACAATGAGAAGATCAATGATTGATGACTAACCATACAACCGAAGCAAAGCCATAAACAGAAACGAAAGTACTAAAGAGCCACAACAGCAGTGATACGACATTTGTTTCCTCACACTGGAAACAATGACGTGCTTCCATAAATCCAATCTAGTTTTTATGGAAAACAAACCTGCATTCATAATAAACACTACTATTAATTAATATTTTTTATGCAAGAATTAAATGGCAGTATAAAAAATTCAATGGTTAGTGCCGAAAAAAAAAGCAAGGATTAGTTATGATATCAAATCAAAATTAAATATCAAGCAAGGTATTTACATAAAATTAAGGCAGTAGAGGATCTAAGAATTTCTTATATGACAATATCTACAACTAAACAAAGAAAATTTATATATTTTTAAAACAGAATCATTATTTGTTTTTTGGTAAGATTAAAACCGAATCATTATCATATTAGTAAAATTATCATTTATTTATTATTATCCACGTTAATTTAAAAGTTTAAGAGAATATCTACTTTTTTCTCATAAAAGGATGGAATAATAACATAACTCTTTTAGATTTATAACTATATTTGACATTATCTTATTAAATCTATTAAGATAAATATATTTCTTTTTGAAAAATATAAATAAAATGATAATATAATTATTATAGATTTACAATTATATTATTATCCATGTCAAAATTTTAAAACATTTTACTTTTTTCTCACATAGGAAGATAGAACAATAACGTAACAGTTTAAGATTTACAACATAAAAACAATATCAGAATTGGAACGCCAAATCATAATCAACACAATTAACACAACTCTAATGGGAAATTAGAGTTATCTTGTGATTAAAATACTAAACAAACAAAACTAACCGAAACAAAACAAAAGTCTTCCTTTCAAAATCATTAACGTGACGGATTGCTGACTGATTAAGTTGAAGCTTTGGGCATTTAAAGATCTAGAAAGATGATTAAGGTTAAACATTTTTATTTATTTTAAACAACGTTTGAATGTTGACAAATAAAGAAGAAGAGAGTGTTGTTGACTTTTGATGACATTACACTCCTGTCCACTTGTTGTCTCGAAAGTTCATGCAATGGAAAATTATTAAACAAAACAATTTACTTTTATGTATAAATCCTAGGGAAGAACCGATCAAGCTAAGATCAATGGTTGTGGTTTTAGTACCGTACACTTCTCAAATATACCCGTTGAATAACGGAAATCCGCAAGACGGGGAGGAGACAAAGTCAACCTAGCTGGCAAAGGAGCTAACCCAGCTCCTTTGGTCTTATTTATGGTCATATGTATTTAGCAAAATATGGTATACAAACCGAACCAATCAACAACAAAACCTGGTTTTAAATTGTTGTATATTTCTCAAAAGTCAAAACCCATAATAACCAATGGAACAGAAGAAGCTAATGCAGAGCATACTTACGCTTGGAGTAAAGAGTGATGCAAGCTTCCATTGGCACACCCGAAAATGCATCAGAGCATGGAAAGAAACTTAAAAACCAATAAATTAAACAATAATTAAATCTTAGTGCATGGAAAACGAATCCTATACATACCAAAGTCCGAATCTCAGTGCCTTAGAATGACCTCGATACCAAAAACTTTAAGTTACTACTTCCATATATGTAATATTTTAGTTTGGGGAGAGAGATTGGCAACGAAGAGTAATTCCTGAATTTAACAGCCAAGTTTGTTATCCCGAATCTAAAGAGAGGAATACTTAAATTGTATTAACGACAAAAATTAGCCTCCTCTGAAGATTCATCCCTGAAATAAGTCATCTTTCTGACTTTGTGGCAACTGTGTTATCAAAAGTTGAGTGTATTTCTTCTGAAAAAGACATATTTGAAAATAATAAGAACATGTACCTCAACAAAATCGGGAGGTACCTCATCTTTTTACAACAAAAAGAAACATATCAAACCATCGATGATTACCTTCTCAAAAGTTGAAACCAAACTTTTTGATTATAAAAATTGATTAGTGGTGAAAATAGTGAAACGATAAATACAAAAAAAAAAATCAAATTTGTACATATAAACTATAAGATCACCTGTTTATTCATTGAATTAGGTCCAAATTTTCCATACACCAATTCACATCGTCCCCTCCATACATCTACCCTACAATAAAAAGAAAAATTAAAATTAGGTAGAAGCAAAAAAAAGTTTGAAAAAAAAGAACAAAAAAAACAAGGGTTAGTTATGATCTGAAATTGAATACCATGAGCAAGGTATTTATATTGAATAGGAGGCTGTGCATGATTTAGGGTTTCTAAATTTTTCGACGATAAATACAAAAAAAGAAAAGAAAATTTACATATTTTAATAAGCAAATCACTATCATAATAATAAATATTTGTAAAACTGCCATTTATTCATTGTTATCCATGTTTATTTAAAATAATATTTACTTTTTTCCGTAAAAATATGGAATAATAACAACTATTTTAGATTTACTACTATATCTGATACTATCTTATAAAATATATTAAAATTTAAGGGAAAATTCCTTTCTGTTTCAAAAATAAGGCGGAACAATAATATAATTTTTGATTTACAATAGATAGACATGCATGGTATCCATATGCGTCATGTCACGCTGATCCATATTTTTTTCCAAAACTCGATCTAATTGCTATTATGTGCAAAAATCACCGCCGTTCACGTTCATGTTCACGTTAGCACTCCATACCTTAATTCACACGTAAACCTCTCTGCCTATCTCTGACTTCAGCTCTCTCATCTTCGAGTCTCCCCAAGAAAGTTTTGACACCACACCAACATTTCATTCGTCAAAATTAAATCGAGTTTGCACAAGGTTACAATCGATTAATAGGTGGTCTTCTACCTTCTATTTACGATTTTATGCTATGAATATATGTTTTTGTTAGGGTTCAAGTCAATCTCCGGATTAGAGACTTATAATCATCCGACGAACAATACGATGGCGTGATAACCGTTTCTAAATTGGTGGGTTCTCTTTCATTGATCTACATATTATTTTTTTTTGTTTTTTTTTCAAATATTTAGATTGAAACGACGACGAACACGACGATCAAACCAAAAAATTTCATCTATTCTGGTACGTTTGATCTTTATTTTAATTAGTTTAACAATTAATAGCCGTTTATGATTAATTTCGGATATCTAAATCTTATTAATTTGAGTAAGGTTAGAATAGTAATTTTTATGTTTATATTAATGCTCCGATTAATAATTTTCGGATATTTGACATTATCATCTTAAATATATCAATATTATAATAAATATTTTCCTTTTCCGATTTTTTTTTTGATATAATTCATTTTCCGATAAATTATGAAACGGATCTGTTTACACAAAAGGTAAAAAAGAAAAAAAAAAAAAAAAACAAACCCATCAACCGTCTCCATTCACACGTTTCTTCATTATGATTACGAATTCACGTTCATGGAAGCTTCATCATACATTAACACTTACAAGTTTCTTCGTCGAGTTTTTATCCAAGGTTTCTTCGTCAACTCTGTATCCAAGGTAATAAATATTTGTTCTTTTCATTGGTTAGAATTATAGGGTGCAAGATAGTATTGACGTCTTAAAGACATAACATGGGCAAGATACTATGAGACGCTTGACTATTCTGTTTCGACAGATCAACAGGTGAAATTCTATCACTAAATTATTAGATCTCTGTTATTGCTATGAATATATGGTTTATGTTAGGATTTCAAGTTTTGCCTTCGTTTAGAAGAATTATATTCACACGACGAAGAACACGATGAATTCGATTAAAGCTTCCTAACTGGTACTTCGTTGTTCCTTTTTTTTTTTTTGGTTAATTATCATGTTATTGTTTCCAAAATTATTTTTTCCTGGTTAATTCCGAAATTCAATTTAATTTTTCCAAAATTAATTAGATTTCATTAAGGGTAATTAAGTAATTACGTAAAATCAAGGACTCAACAAGAGCCGAGAGTCCGACACGTCAGCAAAAACACTTCTCAAATATTGTTATTATCATGTTATTGTTTCCAAAATTATTTTTTCCTGGTTAATTCCGAAATTCAATTTAATTTTTCCAAAATTAATTAGATTTCATTAAGGGTAATTAAGTAATTACGTAAAATCAAGGACTCAACAAGAGCCGAGAGTCCGACACGTCAGCAAAAACACTTCTCAAATATTGTTATATATAGATGTTTTGTATAACATTTTTTTTATAGTATAAAGAATTTTTACATAACTTTTTATAATTTTTTTATTTTATTTATGTCTAAACTTTCTTGTCTAATATAATTATGAACTTTTCTATTATATCCTTAAATATATCAATAAATTTAAATTTGATATGTGGTGATATCTAATGATTTAATTAACACTAGTCGCAATCACGTGAGTTAACAGTTTTGATAAACCAAACTTTACATAATAAAAGATGGAGGATAAATTTATTAGAAAATCTAGTTCCAAAAAAGAAATAGAGAGGGAAAAAATAGAGATAAAATGAGAAAAATCCTTAATTAATTAAAAACAAGTCTATCTTTAACTATATTTTAATGACATATCATATAATTAAGTATAGGTTAAAGTTCATTTTCTTAAAAAAATTATCTTTTGTTGTACAATAGATTTATATTTTTATGAAACTCTCTCATCTTTTTTTTGAACTAAAAAAAAATCTCCTCGTCTCTCTTAAATCAATCACTCAGAATGGCAGATGAAGAACAAAATATAGGAGAGAGGGTCTTCTTTTCTTTTGTCATAGCCTTTGGTATTTGTGGTTTGGTTTTTATGATGACAATAGACAATTCTCGCAAAATCCCGGTGCCGAAAATAGAATTAGCTTCTATGGATTTCACGGTGCAAAATATTACAATGACTCGTCTCAGTGCAAAGTGGGATTTGTCTATAAGGATCCCTGATGGTCTTCCTGGTCAGTATATATGTCTTCAAGGAGACCTTCAAGCTTCCTTGCTTTACAAGAATGTCACTCTTGCTACCTCATCCCAACAAAAGTAAGCAATTTATTTCCTACTATTTTTTATTACTTTAAACGGTTTTAAATTCTTTATTTTGTTCGTAATTTTGGAACTAACTGAATCTTCTATATGATTAGATACTACAATCTCAAATACGATAATCCTCAGCTTCTTAAGGTTTCAGCGATTGTTTCCGACGAAGATATTGGCGGTTTGATTGGTAAAGATATTATTAACGATGTCAAAGAGAGGAAAGAAGTACAGTTCGGATCGCGGTTTTCTCTCACGGATTGCAGAAAGAAAACGACAGGAGTTATGAGTTATGAGTGTAATGAAGCCACCTTGAGGTTCGAGCCAGGCTCTGAGATGAAGGCGACAATGTTTGGGAACCATCCAAACTGCATTAATATTTGACCAAAGTCCATGTCATGATCACCGTACCAGTTCATTGTTTTATTTTTGGCGTGTGACCTAATTTTTATGGCTATTCATTAATTTTCCTTTTGAATATTAATCAAGAAAACGAGTCAAACTCTAGAATTCGATCTCTTTGATATTTGTTTTTAGGAAGCATGTTCTACTAAAAGTTGGTTGAGGTGAATCTTACTTCGTACGCTGATACTGATTTTTTTAAGGAGACGATATATCGATATGGTTGAAAGGAATCTGTTCTGTATAGTAAATGATAGTTAATGTTAATGTGACTCAGAGAGTGGTTCTATATATATGTTTATCAAACGTTTATAGAAAAATAGCATTCATTATGATTCATGAACGTAACCCTTATGAGAGTAATTCTAGACAGATAGATTCACGATGCAATTCTTGCAAAGAGAAAATGCAAGACATTAAAAAACCTTATGCGAGTCATGGCTAAATTATGACTAGCTAGATTCATTTCTACTCATATTTCCTTCTTTTAGATTCTTCCTTGTTTTTATCTCTTTTTTGGAAAGGAAAAATGTTTTGTGTAGAGAATATTGTAGCTTCTATGATCCTTTTCATCTAATGAAAATACACATATTTATCAAAAAAAAAAAAAAACATGAACGTAAGTACGTAACGTAACCCTTACCTAGCTAGAAACAAATTCGAAAGATGCCTGTTTGAATTTATTGAATGTGCTTCTGTGGTTAGATAGTCGAAAGAAGTCAAAACCTGCAACTTCCGGAGATCTCTATGAAACAGTCGTAAAGTCAGGCCAGAACTACGAGGAAAATGGATAATTGTTTACTTTGTTCTTCGGTTTGACTCGAGGTTTAGTTAAACAACATCGGATGAAGTGTTGAATGAAAAACTGCACAAGTTGTGTCCCTCGACCTAGCTAACCCGATGAAATCTACAAAAGCTCTTTTTTGGATGAGTCTCACAAACAAGCTTAATTGCATCCCTATCCAAAATATTTACTAAATCAACCCAAAATCTAGATAACATTTACTATATAATTAAAGTTTATAATTTATAATTTATAATCTAACATCTGGACAAAATAAAAATCTCAAAAATATTTTTGAGTATATAATTTTTTTTATAATATGAAAAGTTTAATTTACTTTTAAAATAATATTTGTAAAAACTATTTACTAAATTATTTTATTTTTGTTTTCTGAATTTTAATTATAATATATCTCTAATTCTTTAAACTATATAGTAAACATTATAAGATTTAGGGAAGACAATCCAAAAAATCTTCTTGTCTCTCTATAATCAATCGCACAGTATGGAATGCAATCGCTGAACCGTGTGCTTTATCATTTGTGTGATGATCGTTGGTTTATATATTACTATCCTCGCGTTTGCAATCAAAGAGGGTTCTCGCAAAATCCCGGTGCCAAAAATAGAATTAGCTTCTATGGATTTCACGGTGCATAATATTACACAAACTCGTCTTAGTGCAAAGTGGGATTTGTCCATAAGGATCCCTAATAATCTTCCTGGTCAGTATATATGCCTTCAAGGAGAACTTCAAGCTTCATTTCTTTACAAAAATGCTACTCTCGCTACCTCATCACCACAAAAGTAAGGACGTTTTATGATTTTTTAAGCCGCTTTTATATTGTTTATTATATTCGTATTTTCGGTACTAATTGAATCTTCTTTATTAGATACTACAATCTCAAACGCAACAATCCTCAGCTTCTTAAGGTTTCAGCGGTTGTTTCCGAAGAAGATGTCGGCGGTTTGATTGGAAAAGACATTATGGAAGATATCAAAGAGAAGAAGGAAGTACAATTCGGATCGCGGTTTTCTCTTACTGATTGCAGAGAAAAGACAACAGGAATTATGAGCTATGCGTGCGATGAAGTCACCTTGAGGTTCGAACCTGGATTAGAGATGAAGGCTACTGTGTTTGGCGACCATCCAAAGTGCATCAACTTTTGAACCGAGTCTACGTAACCATCACCAGTTCATTGATTTTGAATTATTTTTTTGCATATGTTTCGTTCATTGTAAAGTTTTCAAATACTGTGTTTAAATTTCTTTGGAAATTAACCATATTTAGTCTCTCATGGTAAGTAAACAAAATAGTAGCTTGGGAAGCACCGAGCACGTCAAAACAGTTATGTTTCGGTTAGAACATATGGTAAAGTAAAACCATGAAACTTTAGTTGTGTGAAGAGAATGAAATAAGAATCAAAGTCGAAGAATATCTGTCGCCTAAATATACAAATTTCCTTGGAGCTCGATTCCTTTCCCAAGTTACAAATCTTTTACTTTTTTTTTTTTTATAATATATAATACTTTCTAATATTTATTATTTTTATTTATACGGTTTTTACCTTCATGTTTTAGAACTAATTGAATCATCTCTAAAATCAGATACAACGATCTCCGATACCGTTCGGCTCAGTTTCTTAAGGTTTCATCGGTTATTTCCGAAGAAGATACCGGTGGATTGATTGGGAAAGACATTATGGAAGATATTAAAGAGAAGAAGGAAGTGCTTATCGGATCGCGGGTTTTTCTTACGGATTCCAGAAAAAATATGGCAGAAGTTATGGGTTTTGGGTGCCATGAAGCTACATTGCGGTTCGAACCTGGATCCGAGATGAAGGCGACTATGTTTTGGGAACCACTCAACATGCTTCAATTTTTGACCAAAGTCCACTTCATCACCAGTTCATTGTTTAATGTTTTCTTGTTTCTTTTACCAATTCATTGTTAAGTTTGCAAACTTTACTTGTGTATTTTTCTTTTTCTGTTTTTGTTTGGTTACAACTTTACTAAGGTTTTCTTTACCAATATAACAATGCCACTATTAATAAATGCGGTTATATTTTTTACATTGATTTTCTAGATTTCGATTCTAATTATAATTTTTTTAACCTCGAAGTGATAGGTTTATGAAATATTGATTCTTAACTAATCTCACATCATGTTTTCCCAAATTCGACCTTGAATTAATAAAAGTTATAATTACATAAGATACATAATACAGAAGAGTGACAGAAAATACATTCACCCAAGATTAACTAGCACAATATGTGATATTAAATAAAATGTAACACTCGGATATATAAACTTTAGGTCACAAAAAGTATATTACGTATTTGTTGTTATAAATCATTTCGAAATTCTAACACAAGGTTTCACTTGTAGACAAATCCCACCAACTAGAGACGAAAGAGTAAGCTAATATATAAAGCTTCTTTAAGGTTAAGTTAAGAGAGATGTATAAGGCCTTTTTGAAGGTATAATATGGGCCGTTAACGAACAAATTAGTTAATCTAAATCTGTGAAAATTTTAATACTTTGGCCCAAAATTAAGGAAACTGGGATAGGAGAAGATAAAGAACTTTTAGCAAAAGCAAATGGGGCATTCCGAGAATTGAACTCGGGACCTCTCGCACCCTAAGCGAGAATCATACCACTAGACCAAATGCCCAATTTTGACAAAAGCCTCACTGATTTTGTTGATTATATAAACATAATGTACAAACATGATGTGCACCACTAATTAATTATCCACATACATCTGTTTTGTTCACCTAACTAGACTATTAGCAAAGTCCGATCATCAAATTAAATTTTGAACCGACACGAGATTCAATAATAGTTTTCACTGGAATATCTAACATCTCGATTTTATTAGATTCTTTGGAAGTTGAAAACTTTATTTAACCTTAAAAAAAAAACATAAAACCACCTTAAAGAAACTGGCAAAATTCGGTTCGAAACTGAAGAATTATAAGAGAAGCACAATCGTTGCCTTGAAATCCGCGCTTTTCTCTCGCCTTGAAGACGATTTTCTTTTCCTAGATCTAGATCGCAGATCCTTGTAGCGTTTCAATAACCAGCCGAATCTACTCTTGGACGATTCAGGAGAGAGTCGAGGCGTATCTCCGTCAACGGTGGTGTGGCGTTTTCCCTTCGATGTGGACACTACAAAAAAAGAAGTGGATTGTATCACTTAAATAGTATCAGAAAAATAAGTGATTTTAAATTAAATCATTTATTAATAAATGATAAAAAAAAAATATGTGGGTTAACATCAATTATTATAATTGATGTTAAAATTGAATTGTTTAACATCGCTTCAATTAAAATGATACAAATTTATATTACTTTGCATCACTTCAAAAATATTGATACAAAATTATGAATTTATATCAATTAAATACTTGATGTATTTATAAATTTTATTTATATCACTTACAATTGATACATATTTAATATCAATTAGAAAATGACACAAATTTATAGTAGTTTGCATCACATCAAAAAAATTGATACAAAGATATTAATTCATATCAGTTAAATAATTGATGTATTTATCATTTTTGTTCACATCACTTAAAAATGATACAAAATTAACATTAATTATATAAACGATAGAAAATTGATATCAATAATACACAGATTCGACAATTAGCATGTAGTTTTACTTTGTCTCCGTTGCAAATTTTGATGCTACTTAATCTTAATTTTTGATATTTAGATTAGTTAGTTTATTTAAAAACAAAAGAAGATTTGAAAGAATTAAGCATGTTGGGAATATTCACAACAAAGGTTTTTTTTTTAAATAGCAAGTTTAAAAAACGCTCAAATATTTTTAAAAATAACTAATCTATATCTCAAAAATCTTATCCATAAATAAACAGTTACATTTGGGTTTTATATTCACAAACGTAGGCTTTTAGTTAGTATCCATTTCTTTTTCTTTATTTTCGTAACAATTGTTTTTTTTTACTTTCAATTTTGTATTTAAACCTGTTTTGTGAAAAAAAAACTTTGTTTCCACTACTCAATCTACTCCTTAACCAACCCACGATTTCTGTAACTTCTTAAATAAAAATAATATCTTATGTGATTTTAAATATAATTAAAGAGCTTTTTCGTTTAGTATAAATCTTAATTTTGTCAAAATTCTTTTCCTAAATCGACAGAAACAACAAAAAAATGTTTGGAGTCACCAGAACATAATACTCTTTCTTCTCTAAGTCCACGTGAAATTTTGTTTGAACGATGCCAACAATGCACTTTTGGTGAATCAAGTTATGTCCAACACATAGTCATATTCCTCACTTAGTCTTCTAAATCATTCCAAGGCAAATATTATTTTTCTTCTATAATTTACATTGTTGATTTTCTTAGGTGTGATTCTTATTTTTCTCTGTTATTTTTGTTTTCATACTTAGAAAATCTGAAGATGAAGGATCAAATTAAGACAATGGAAAGGAAGGAGCAGTGATCAATATCCTCAAGACAATGGAAAAGAAAGAGCATGGAATGAAGAAAAATCTGTTTCATATACCACTTTAACATGAAGAACTCATAGCTTGGTCATGATCTAAGTTCATATAATTTTTTTTTTCTTTTGTAAAATAGCTAATGATCTTCACGAAGTACTAATGATCGAGTCTGCATTGATTGATTTGTATTCATGATTTTTTTTTCATTTTTCGTAAATGAAAATTTGTTTTTTTAATGATTATTAGTAAAAATTAAAATCTTATCAAGATTTTAGTAGATATTATTGAAAACGATTTCATTTACAAAAAATTAATAATTAAAAAAATAGTAATTATGGGAAATATTTAAGATTATTAATCTTTTAATAATTTGGAAATTATTTAAATTTTAAACCTTATCAACATCACTTAAATAAACCGATGTAAAGGTTAACATCATTTTTTTCAACTGAAACAAATCCTAACATCACTTAAATAAACTGATGTAAAAGTTAACATCAATTTTTGCAATTGATACATATTAACATCGATTACAATAATCGATGTAAATATTTTGGATATTAACATCGTTTAGTAATAAATCGATACAAATTATTTGCATCACCACTTTCAGAGTCACTTATTTAATGATGTAAATACTTCATTCATAACTGATGTAAATATATAAAATAAATGATGTAAAATGACCTTTTTTTGTAGTGGGAGGTGACACGGGTCTGATGGAGGAGGGCTACTGCAGCGGATCTCTCATGGTTGGGACGTCGTGGGTGGCTTCAGTTCCTCCGGCTCAACCGTCAGTCTCAAGTTGCGTTCACGGCGGAAGTTGGGGGGATTAAGGTGGGTTCGTTGTTTGCTCGGTGGTTAGCTGCAGATCCGTAGGATCTTAGAGGGCGGTTGTGGATGTCGGGTGTAAGGGTTTTGGATTTGAGCCACCATCCTTTAGATCCGCCACAACTTAGTATCCATCGAGCCGGATTGATTCGTCAAAGCTCAGGGATCTTGGTTTGTTTTTCCGGTCTGGAAGAGAGGGGTTTCCGTCCAGTGTGTCGGATTGCTTCTTCAGGATCTGATGCCGTCGATGTGCTTAGTCGGAGTGACTAGCTTTCCGGGAGACTTGTGGTGGGCTGGTTCGTCGGAGGCATGTAATGGATGGCGGAAACCGGTCTCTTTCGCCGAAATTTCACGGTCTTCGGTTGTAGCCACAAAACTGTGGGTCTTGAGCCCGCCGGATTTCAGGTTCCGGTTGCTCTGCGGGCATCTATCAACAAACGGCGAACCTCTTTTGTTTTTCCGGTGAATTGCCGATTTCCTTTTTTGTAACTGGATTGGACTTTTGTAGATTCGGCCCAAGCCCATTTGGGAGAAATTTTTTAATAAAAGTTAAAAAAAAAAAACTGGCAAAATTCTTTTCTTTTTTTTTTGGGCAAAACTGGCAAAATTCTTTTCTAGATCATAAATAGCCTCGAATTTACTAATTCTAGCACATGACATTGATAGTTAAATTTTCCTAACCTTCCTATTATACCCTCACCATCACCCAAAAATAACAAAATTACCACTACACAAAACCCGAATTGCAAGGTCCCAAAATAACCAAAATCCAATCCTCTAGCTCCTGCGCCCTAATCCCCCAATTAACCTCACCGGCTATAACCGGTTACTCTACCTATAAGCAACCTAGCAACGGCTGTCTCTAAGTTGTATTTCATATTTTTTTTTAATTCTTTATTTTCTATCATCGATACAATATATGTCTACATAAGTTTCCTTTTAAAATAAAAATTATATTTCATAATAATAATATATGGTGAAGGAAAAGGAAACAATAAGAGGAAAAATGTTTTTTCTTTTGGGTAATTAAGTAAAAAAACAAATGGTCTTAATTAATATTACAATAATTATTACGCAACATCATATAATAACGAAAAATAAATTACATTACATTTAAGAAGAAGTAAAAAATTAAAAAAGATAAAAACGTTGAGAAGTCTCTTCTCTCATCTTCACCATAAAGAATTTTAACTTGTGTCTTATTTCTTTTTAGTTCTGTCTGCAAAAATTTGGTTTAAAGTCTTGTCTTTGTGGGTTTGTTTCCGTGTGCGGTAAGGAGGAAGCTTGTGCTTGTAGACTTGTGTCTCTGCAAAATTCGGTAACTCTACGATCATCGTTCTCTTTTTATCTTTCGAAGCGTTTTTTTTTTTCTTCTCTTCTCATTCTTATCTTGAAGCGCCGTAATGTGAATTAAGTTTTAAGATCGAATTTTTCAGCTTCATTGTTTTTTAACTCTTTTCTCGATTTTGCTTTGATTGTTCTCTACTTGCTAGATCTACTGCTTTAGTTTGAGATTGTTTTGTAGAGTTCGATTTATTTGGATTGTTCTTCAAGATGTGGTTTCTTGATTAAAAGATCAAAAGGATTGATTTTTATTTTTTTGCTCTGTAGCTGAAGTTTAGAGATTGAATTTTACATGAATCCTCAAATTCGAAGACTTGTTGTTATCTTATTGATGCTAAATTTTCAATCGAATTGCTCAAATTCAAAGTCTTTAGTTTGGTGAATTGAGTTTGCTTCGAGATGTACAGTGATCTATTTTGCTGCTAAATTTTTTTTTGGGTTCTTTGGTTAATGAAGCTCAGGCAAATTATAAACAATGGTTGGAGGAAGTAGTGTGCAGAAGCTAACTACTAATGATGCACTTGCGTATCTCAAGGCTGTCAAAGATAAATTTCAAGATAAACGTGATAAATACGATGAGTTTCTTGAGGTTATGAAAGATTTTAAAGCTCAGAGGTATAGTTTTTTTTTTTTTTTGCTGCTTCTTGTTAATAATGCTTGGTTTTTTTTGCTCTCTTTAGTTCAATTTTGAATCTGATGTTATTTTTGTCATTGTAGAGTTGATACTACTGGTGTTATCTTAAGGGTGAAAGAACTCTTCAAAGGGAACAGGGAACTGATTTTGGGGTTCAATACTTTCTTGCCAAAGGGTTTCGAGATAACTCTCCGACCCGAGGATGACCAACCTGCTGCGCCAAAGAAGCCTGTTGAGTTTGAGGAAGCTATTAGTTTTGTCAACAAGATTAAGGTAGAAGATTTTATATGGTGCATTTCACCTTTTTTCCTCTTTGCTAACTATCATTTTATCTGCAGACAAGGTTTCAAGGCGATGATCGTGTATACAAATCGTTTTTAGACATTTTGAACATGTATAGAAAGGAAAACAAGTCCATTACTGAGGTTTACCAAGAGGTGTGTGTTTGTGCCCATTTGTGGTACAGTGTTTATTCATTTTTGTGGTTGTCATTTTTGTCGTAGTTTGATATGTTTAACTTGTAGGTGGCTATCCTTTTCCGGGACCATCACGATTTGCTTGTGGAATTCACTCACTTTCTCCCTGATACTTCAGCAACTGCGTCTACTAATGATTCTCTAAAAATGCCAGTACGTGATAGAGGCATTAAGTCTCTTCCCAACATGCGTCAAATAGATCTTGATAAGGTTTCTTTCTGTTTTTCTTTAAATCGTTGTTCACTATGCAATCGAAAATTCGATTCTTAGAGGCATCACTTCTTTGGATATTGTTACAGAAGGACCGGATTATTACTTCGCTTCCTGACCGTGCCCTCAAAACCGAACATATGGACGTAGACCATGAGAGATCTTTGTTGAAAGATAGTAAAGAAGATGTGAGACGCATTGACAAAAAGAATGATTACATGGATGACAGAGATAGGAAAGATTACAGAGGTCTTGAACATGATAGCCATAAAGAGCATTTCTTCAACAACAAAAAGAAATTGATACTAAAGGATGATGATTCTGCTGAAATGTCAAATCAAGCTAGGGAAGGAGACAAGTTTTATGGAGCCATTCCCAGTTCATCTACTTATGATGAAAAAGGTGCTACGAAAAGCAGATCACTCTTATGAATAGTTAAGAGTGAGTTCATGCAGCCTTGTCTGCTATTTGTTGTGTTCTTGAATTGTCTTTATGTGATGACAGGTCATAGCCAAGAACTTGCTTTTGTTGATAGAGTGAAGGCAAAGCTTGATACCGCGGAAAACCAGGAGTTCTTACGATGTCTTAATCTCTATTCAAAGGAGATAATCAGCCAACCGGAATTGCAATCTTTGGTATGCTTTGATTATGAAAAATCTTATGACTTTACCTGTCAATGACTCATGAACATATATATTCTTGTATTAGGTGAGCGATTTAATTGGAGTATATCCAGACCTTATGGACGCCTTCAGAGTCTTTTTGGCTCAGTGTGACAAGAATGGTAATTTTGAGGCAAACTTGTGCTTTCTCTTCTTACGCTCGCCAGTTAAAGATTTGACCCTTTTTTGTTTTTATTTCTGCAGATGGATTACTCTCTGGTATCGTTTCTAAGAGTAAGTCTAGCTATTTTTGTGATGTTGCTCTCCAGACGTATTCAATTGACTCTAACCATTGGATTGCTGTGACTATAGAATCCTTGTGGAGCGAAGGCAAATGTCCTCAACCTACTAAGTCACAGGACAAAGATACAGACCGAGAACGTGAGAAGATTGAAAGGTATAGAGAAAGAGACCGCGAGAAGGAGAGGCTTGAAAAGGCGGCAGCGAGTCAGAAATGGGCTAAACCTATCAGTGAGCTAGATCTCTCGAACTGTGAACAGTGCACACCTAGTTATCGGCGACTTCCAAAGAATGTATGGTGCTAATCACTAACAAATCTTCACCTCTTTGTTTATCTTTTTTGCTTCATTAGTTAAATGTACATATTTTGTTTTCTTGCAGTATCCAATTCCTATAGCAAGCCAAAAAATGGAGATTGGTAGCCAAGTGCTTAATGATCATTGGGTCTCCGTCACCTCAGGAAGCGAAGATTATTCATTTAAACACATGCGTAAGAACCAGTATGAAGAGAGCCTATTCAAATGTGAAGATGACAGGTTAGTGATTAATGTGTATTTATTTGTTATGTGCTTTCTTGGAATAGTTTTGATTTGGTAAATATTTGTTTGTTGCTGAGCTTTAGGTTTGAGCTAGACATGTTATTAGAGTCTGTGATCTCTGCTACGAATAGAGTGGAAGAGTTATTGGCAAAGATTAACAGTAATGAATTGAAAACCGACACTCCCATCTGCATCGAGGATCACCTCACAGGTATATTGAGCTCTTCTCTTATAGCAGAGCTGATATTCTGAATTCTTTTCCTTCTGACTAATGCATATTGTTTTGTTATTATCTTGTAGCTCTAAACCTAAGATGCATAGAACGGTTATATGGTGACCACGGGCTCGATGTGTTGGATTTGTTAAAGAAGAATGCATATCTTGCTTTACCAGTAATACTAACCCGTTTGAAACAAAAGCAAGAAGAGTGGGCAAGGTGTCGTACTGAGTTTAACAAAGTATGGGCTGACATATATACAAAGAACTACCACAGATCGCTTGATCATCGCAGTTTTTATTTCAAACAGCAGGATTCAAAGAATCTGAGTACAAAAGGTTTTTCTCGTTACCCATTTCTCGTAAAATCTACTTTCAAAGTGTTTTTGAAGTTCTTATGTATACTAATACTATCTTTCACTGCAGCATTGCTGGCAGAGATAAAAGAGATCTCTGAAAAGAAGCGAGGCGAAGATGATGCACTTCTTGCTCTTGCGGCTGGAAATAGACGAACCATTTCTTCCAATATGAGTTTTGATTATCCGGATCCTGATCTTCACGAAGATTTGTATCAGCTGATCAAGTATTCATGTGGAGAAATGTGTTCAACAGAACAGTTAGATAAGGTAATGAAGGTATGGACAGAATTTTTGGAACCAATATTTGGTGTTCCTTCTCGCCCTCAAGGTGCCGAAGACCGAGAAGATGCTGTCAAGTCTACGAACCAAGACCGAGAAGATGCTGTCAGTCCTCAAAATGGAGCTAGTATTGCCAACTCTATGCGTTCAAATGGCCCTCGAAAAGGAAATGAAAATAATCAAGTGCGGCAAGCTAGTGAGTTGGATAAAGATGTCACTTCTAGTAAAACCTCAGATGTCTTATTATCATGTGACAACAACACTCAGAATGATAAAATGCCGAAGAATCTGACCACACCTGACGAAAGACCGGAAACCAAACAAGCTGTTTCTATTGAATGTGCCCACAACTCAAATGCACTGCCTGTGGATGGATTGTTACCTCAAAGGAATGGAAAAATCAGCAATTTATCCATTGCCGGTAAGAATTTTAACTCTTGTTTGGTAGTTCTCATGGATTTTTTTTTCTTGTTTTTCGATGATGAGTTGTATCCTTTCCTTTTATACTCGCCAGGGCTTAGCAATAGCAATCCAAAACCTAGTGCATTAACCAGTGGAACGGAGGAGTTGAAGCCAAATCACGTAAATGGGCCACGCGTAGAGGTATTGTGCATCTTGCATATATTGAAATATTGATCTGAAACAATCTTCCCTACTCTTTACACTAGTTCTTAGAGTTTGCAATTCTTTAAATGATAACATCCTTTGTCCTGAGTTTATCAAGAAATGAAAATGATATACTACTTACTTATCCAACAGATTGGCGACAACCGAGTAATTCCAAATGGGACATTGGCAGAAACATCGAATAAGCAAACATCTAACGAAGGGTTCGCTGGGGAAACCAAAGTCGAAAGAGAGGAGGGTGAACTTTCTCCAACAGGAGAGTTTGAGGAAGATAATTTTGCAGTTCATGGAGAGAATGACATGGAGGCTCTCAGCAAAAGTAAGGAGAATGATGCTACTGCAGATGATGAAGGTGATGCAAGTGCTCCAAGATCATCAGATGGCAGTGGAAACACATCTCAGAACGGTGATGTTTCTGGAACTGACTCTGGTGATGGTGAAGATTGTTATCGCGAAGATGATTTGGACCATAATAAGGCAGAAAGCGAAGGTGAGGCTGAAGAAGGTATGTCGGATGCCCATGATGATACTGAAGGAGATAGGCCTGTGTTGTCCATTTCAGTAAAAAACCTGCTACATGTGAAACCTCTTGCAAAGTATGTTCCTCCAGCTTTGCGCGATAAGGACAAAGATGATTCTCGGAAGAACTCTCAAGTCTTTTATGGGAATGATTCTTTCTATGTTCTTTTCAGGCTTCATCAGGTAAACATATCACTTTTCGGTCTGCAAATCATTGAGGCTGGAATCTTTCGTGAGGCTAACTTTTTGTGGTTACTCTGTATACAGATTTTGTATGACAGAATATTATCAGCAAAAGTCAATTCATCATCTCCAGATAGAAAGTGGAAGACCTCAAATCCAACAAACCCCGCTGATTCGTATGCCAGGTGATTTTCCCTTGCGGTTCTTTATACCAGTTAACCACAGGACACATCTATCTGTGTTGTTGCTTATACATGAAGTTTCTGTGTTGGAACAGATTTATGGATGCTCTCTACAGTTTGCTCGATGGTACATCCGATAATTCGAAGTTTGAAGATGACTGCCGAGCAATTATTGGGACCCAGTCATATGTGCTCTTCACATTAGACAAACTGATCTATAAGCTCATCAAGCATGTAGGTTTCCTTTTGATGTTTTGTTACATTCTTCATCTCTTTTTTATTCGTCACTTATGATTCAACTGACCAATGTGATCCTCCAGCTCCAAGGTGTAGCAGCTGATGAGATGTACAACAAATTACAACAGTTATATGCTTATGAGAAATCTAGAAAGCCTGAAAAGTTTCTCGATGCTGTTTATTACGAAAATGCTCGTGTGCTTCTTCCCGATGAGGATATATACCGCATTGAATGTGTAAGAAATATTTACGATTGCACAGTTTTGGACCAAGCAAGCTCATGACCAAGGAACTTCTTAAGATATGTATCTTTGTGCTTTTATTCTGCAGGAACTATCTACACCAAGCAAACTCTCTATTCAGCTTCTGGACTATGGACATGATAAGCCTGATGTGACATCCATATCCATGGACCCAACTTTTGCAGCTTACCTCCACAATGTATTCCTTTCCTATCCACCTAATGCGAAAGAGAATCCCCGAATCTATTTGAAACGGTAAATCAAGAAGATTAACTAAGGAGTATCCCATTTTTATAAACTTTATAAAGGGAACTAATCAGATGCTCTCTCTTTTTCTTTTCCCAGGAATAAGCGTAAAAATGGTGGTGACGATGAACTCTGCACCACAGATGGAGTTAAGATTATTAACGGTTTGGAATGTAAGATAACCTGCAGTTCTTCAAAGGTACAGTGCCTTTTTTCCCGCTTACCACTCTGATTTTCCATAATAGCAACCTTAAACTTGTCTTTTAAAAAGAATTGTCTGGTATCTCCTTCAGGTCTCCTATGTATTAGACACAGAGGATGTGTTACATCGTTCTAAGAGGAGGAAATTTTTGAACCAAAGCGGTTTACCACTCAGACAGGATTCTGTTTGCAGTGGTTCTTTAATCAGGCAAAGGAGAATACAAAGATACCAAAAACTTCTCACTGGCCAATAACATCTCACCTACCACCAGCAAACACTCGGGAATAGAGCAACGTCGCACTCTTTTGGAGACAAAAAGGTTGCCATTCTTTGCTTGTTATACTCAGCGTTGAGCTTTGTCAGAAGAGAAGAAATGTAAGATGGCTCTTAATTACTTGTGTTGCTGCCTCTGGTCCCTGTTGTATTCTCACAGAAAATAAAAAGGGAGGGAGGGGAAGATCGAAGGATTAACTGCGCAAGCCTTCAAGTCTTGTTTCCCATAATTGTGTACATAAACTTTTTGTATGTTGTTGTAACATTATTAACTCAAATTTCTTCTTTGTTAACTCCTATTCTTTCCAACATTAATCATGCACCTGAATGAAAAATTTGTTCTGGTATCCCCAATTCTTACATATGCACATTCCAGGCTCTTATGTTTTTTAGCCTTTGGGTCGTCACTAAAGACAGCTAATGTGTAGTCTCTTTAACCGGCAAGCTCATCTAGCTGCTCTTCTTGATTGCCGTTTCGAGGATTAATCAGCTTCATATACCTCTGGTTTGCAATTTTCTTAACAACATTTTCAGAATTTCAAAAGGGGATGCTTTTGTGTTGTAATGAAGAGAGCAAATTTATTAACTTTTCACCAAAAAGATCTGACTGGAGTATACAAGAATTAAGAACCCACATATAAGCTCTTGAGAGAGCCCTAAATTAAGTCATTTAGAGAATTGTGTTCCTAGAAAATGGGAATCATAAAATTGTCTTTGATATAATTCTGAGATATATTTGGTACTTAGATTTCTCACGATGTAGAATATACCTTTCCATAGTCTAGAGGAATATCAATTGTGACTCAGGCGAAGAGGAGAAAGTTTCGACGTTGCAGCTAGAACCGTTCCAAGATCATGGAGGTTCTAATACAATAGAAGAGAGTAAAGAAGTTCATGCTAACGTATCAATGGCCATGGAATAAAATCGAAACCCTAACGTATCAATGCTAACACAAACGACGACGCCGTTAACTAAATCAATCTTTTTGTTAATGATTTATTTCTTAATTTATTATTATTATTTTTTTAATCTCTATATATATTCTATGACATGGCACATTCATATAAAAAATTCGAAATAGAAAGGAAAGTACTCTTAAGGAAAAAGAATATAGAAAAATGGAAATACTAGATAGCTTCCAAAATCAAGAAATAGAAAACACTTATAAAAAAGTAAATTATCCAAAATAATATGTATTATATGTTCTATATATAAAACTCGTTCCTAATCATTTACCAAAAAAAAAAAACTCGTTCCTAATCATAATATACAGTCTCAAAACATTTATCAAACTTATCTTCCTCAAAAATCAGTCGCACGCGTAACAGTATGGGACAAGATTCGTTCTGCGATCAGATCACCTTCCTGTTCTTTCTCGCTTATATCATCATGTTGGCTATTGTTACTATTATTGGTCTTCCAGCTTCTATGGTTATTACAATCATACAAGGTTCTCACGAGATCCCTGTGCCGAAAATAGAATTAGCTTCTATGGATTTCACGGTGCACAATATTACACAAACTCGTCTTAGTGCAAATTGGGATTTGTCCATAAGAATCCCTGATGATCTTCCTGGTCAGTATATATGTCTTCAAGGAGACCTTCAAGCTTCCTTTCTTTACAAGAATGTTACTCTTGCTACCTCATCCCCTCAAAAGTAAGCAATTTATTTCCTACTATTTTTTATTACCTAAACCGGTTTTAAATTCTTTAATCTGTTTGTATTTTCGGAACTAATTGAATCTTCTATATGATCAGATACTACAATCTCAGATACCGAAATCCGCAACTTCTTACGGTTTCAGCTCTTCTTTCCGATGAAGATATTAGCAGTTCGATTGGAAAAGAGATTATAGAAGATATAAAAAAGAAGAAGGAAGTGCAGTTTGTATCGCGGTTTTCTCTAACTGATTGTAGAAAAAATACAACAGGAGTTATGAGTTATGTGTGCGATGAAGTCACCTTGAGGTTCGAACCTGGATCAGAGATGAAGGCGACTACTGTGTTTGGGAACTATCCCAACTGCATCAATATTTGACCAAAGCCCATGTCACCACTAATTCATTGATTTTTTCTTTTTTCTGTTATTCAACAATCAACAGTTCATTGTTAAGTTTGCAAAACAAGAGGCTTTGTTTGAATCATAAATTTGGATTTTATTTAGTTATCTAGATTTTGTTAGATTTTTAATAGTGTTTGAAGTTTTTTAGTGAATTTTTTTTCTAGTTTTTTAGAGCTATTAAAATCCAATTTTTAGATTTTTAAATTCTTTTTTAAAAAGATTTTCAGTTAACGTATTTTGTATTAAAAAAAACAAATACGTTACATATCTTAGAATTACTTTTCCAACAATTATCCCAAGAAGTTTTCAATTCATACGAGACTGACTATATCATAACTCATTCAAATATACGTTAATTCTTAAATGAATTCTTCAAATAAACAAATATTTGATTAGTTAATACTCCCTCCGTTTCGTTTTAGCTGTCGTTTAAGGTTTTTTCACACAAATTAAGAAAAACATTAAATTTTCTGTTTTACCCTTTATTAATATTTTTTATAAAAAATATCATTGGCCAAAACATTAAAATAATATGGATAAAACTGGAATTTTCACCAAACATATGCATTGAAAACCTAAAACGACAACTATTATGAAACAAAATTTAAATCATAAAACGACAACTAAATTAAAACGGAGGGAGTATGTATTATTCAAATTTATATTTTCACCTGAATTATTTAAATAAACAAATATTTGATACAAGAGTTGGATAAACCCTACATTAATAACTCTTTTTTTTTCTTTAGATTTTTCCTAATCATACTCTTAGAGATGGTATTAAATATTATATATACACACACACATATGTTTATAGAAGACATTAGTTACGATCTTTAACATTATCAAGCTCTCTCATATTTTTTTTGCACTCGAAAAATATATTGCGCATACAATGGAACACGACGAAGAACCGCACAATAAACAAGCTAAATATCGGACGATTGTTGTTCCGAGGTCTGTTGTTGTTCCGTGATCAAGGCTGTTTTTACGATAGCCTTGATCTCCGCTTTTATTGGCCTTATGGTTTATCTAGCCAAACATAGTGGTCGCGGATATCTGGACCCATTGCCACCGTCGTCACCAGTGAGACCGGAAATAGAATTAACTTGTATGGATTTCACGGTGCTTTATATTACACAGACACGTCTTAGTGCAAAGTGGGACTTGTCGATAAGGATCCCTTACTATCTTCCTGATAGCTATATATGTCTTAATGGAGATATTCAAGCTTCCTTGCGTTACAAGAATGTCATTATTGCTACCTCATCCATACAAAAGTAAGCAAAATACTTCTTTTTTCATAATTCATAATATGTTTTAGAACTAAATGAATCCTCTGTGTTAATAGATACAACAATCTCCGATACCGTTCGGCTCAGCTTCTTAAGGTTTCAGTTGTTGTTTCCGAAAAAGATATCAGTGGATTGATTGGGAAAGACATAATGGAAGATGTCAAAGAGAAGAAGAAAGTGCGTTTCGGGTCGCGGGTTTTAATTACGGATTGCAGAAGAAATATGGCAGAAAATATGCGTTTTGGATGCCATGAAGTCACCTTGCGGTTCGAACCTGGATCAGAGATGAAAGCGACTATGTTTGGGAACCACCCAACATGTTTCAATTTTTGACCAAAGTCCACTTCATCACCAATTCATTGTTTAGTGTTTTCTTGTTTCTTTCACCAATTCATTGTTAAGTTTGCAAACTTTAATTATGTATTTTTTTGTTCTCCTATTCTTTCCAACATCAATCCTTAATGAAATTTTTTTCTTGTATCCCAAATTCTTACATATGCACGTCTTGCACATTCCAGGCTCTAATGTTTTTTTGCCTTTGGGTTGTCACTAAAGACAGAGCTAATGTGTAGTTTCTTTAACCGGCAAGCTCACTGATTGGTGGACGGTCCATGATATCTGCTGCAGCTGCTGCACTACGTTGCAGGACCGGGTCAATATCAGGCAACTTAGGAATCTGAGCTAAGAGATCAATTGTGCGTCGTAACAGACGAGCAAGATCGCCTTCGTCCATTGCACATTCCATCATCATTTCTTTCCAACTTAATCCAGAAGCCCAAGCTTCAACCATACCAGAGAACTGAACGTCCAAACAACATGGAATCATAACCTCGTGCTTCTCTTGAAGCTTTATAAGAGAGATTCTTTGGTCTTCTAAGAAATTAACCATGTCTACTACGGTATCAGATGGCTCGTATATATAGTTGTTGTCTCTCCAAGGTCGAACTTTTATGCCTTCCGAAACTAAACTTGCACATACACCAGCTAGTTCAGGAGGCTTGAGATCCACCAGGGCTTTGTTCCGCAGCACCATTGCAAGCCAAAGCTCGTTTTCTCCTCGAATTGCAGCAGCGGTTTCTCCCAGAGGAAATATCAAGTGTGTGTTAATGTCCAATGCTCTGCTTTCGTGAATCACGTTGCTTATGCGCATGAAATCTTTCCAACCAGACGGTTCGATCTGCTCCAAACGGTTTATAAGACGTCTCGATCTTGCCTTGAGCCGTTTCATCTTCTCAACCGTCAAGTTAGCATTCTCTAGAATTTTCTTATATTCTCTGAACCCTGCTGACCGGGACATCTTCTTCTTCAAACGAAACACTTTTCTCCTTTGTTCCTTGTATTGTTCCGTCGCGTTATCATACTCTTCGGACATATGTAACACCTCATCTTCGTCAGAAAGGCTGCTTAGGACAGGTACGTTTAAACTCCAGGACCATGTCTCTAGAGATCCTTCCAATCTCCACAAACTTCCAAGTTCAGATTCAGCTAGTTTATCCCACTGCATATCTGCTTTATCCAGGAGAGTTTTCATGATTTCTCGAGGCAAAGCATCTCCAAGCGCTAGAGAAATGTTAGGAAAACCAGTTCTGTAGACAGTCCTAACCCACTTCTCAGTAAAGAGATACCATGAGTTATCAGAGCCAAGGGCCACATAGTAAGACGGTTTAACATTAGGCTTTCCAGGTTCATCAGCCGCCGGCTCATCCTCGATTACGTTTAATGCAAACGACTCATCCAAAGACATCATCTTCTGAAGTTTGGAACCCTGAAATGAATCAATATGTCCCAAGTAAATAGCAGGGACTGACTGCTGCCTCTCTTCAGAATCCTTGAACTCCAAACAAATAAATGGTAAGTTCCCCTCTTCCATCCCTTTTAAGAGCGGTTTTAGAGCTGAGAACCTTGCGAGTTCCATTCTTCTTCGTACTTCAGCACGCTTGCGTTTCTCTTCCCGTAGCTCTTCTTTAAGTTCAGTGATCTCCTTGTAGTCCCTCGCTGATAGAAGTTTCCTACTCTTCTTATCTATTGCTTCATCGCTTATTTCAGATGACAGAATCTCGATCTTCTTGTCGATTTCAGCAAGTTCCTCCTTCGCAGCAACCGTCACATTGCTGCTCACATAGTTTCCAAAACTCTTCTCAACTAATTTCTTGGCTTCTTCCAGACTTCTCCCTGCTTGTAAGACTTTCCCGGCCTCAGTTCCACTTGATTTACGAGTAACTTTTGAACCAGCTACCAGATTCAGTACCATGCCATATGAAGCAGTAAATTGTGACACGAGAGGTTTAACTCCAGCAAAGACAAGTTTGCAGCACTCTTCGGCACCTTCAAAAGCAGTCTGAACCAGCACAGTGTAGCCCTTTTCATCAATGCCTCTGCGTCCAGCACGTCCAGCCATCTGGAACAATTCGTTAGGACCCAACTGTATTCGTTCATTACCAGCCTTTTTTGTTAGAGACGAGATAACAGCCGTTCTAGCCGGCATGTTTATTCCAGCAGCAAGTGTCTCAGTAGCAAAGACAACCTTAACAAGTCCTCGCTGAAACAGTTCCTCAATGAAAGATTTCCAAAGAGGTAGACAACCTGCATGATGAGCAGCAATTCCCCTAAGCAGTCCTTTCTCTGCACTCTCTCTCACTGCATCTGGATAAAGAACGCGAAACTTCTTCAATGCCAACTCAACCTCACTCTTCTCGCAATCATCTAAAAGCTGAAAGTTTTCAACATACTGTACAGCTGCATCACATCCTCTACGGTTGAAAATGAACCATATAGCTGGTAACATATCTTTCCCCTGGAGATGCCATAATGTGTCGCTAATTTGAGGTACCTAGAAGGCAAGACTCAGCACAGTCATTAATTTATCATGAGAAGTTAAAAATCATATTCGAGTATATAAGAAACGGCAAATGCCTAGTTTGTTAGGTAATGTTAAGACCTGTGATCGGCGAATCTTGTTTATCTCATTCTTTGAAAGAGGATAATCAGTAATGTTCACAAGGCTGTTGTAGCTGGTATCACCTACTCTCTTTTTTGACCTCCTTTTCCTGTACCCGTCATCATCATCACGGAATCTAGCTTCTGAGGCAGACAGTTGCAAATAATTGAGAGACAGCTTCCTGCTCCAATTAAATAAAGCCTCCTCCAATCATTATCAAAGAGTAATATTCTACAATACCTGTTGATGATAAAGTACAGAGTTTAACAAGTTACCTATTAACATTTGTCCCTTTCTCATCAAGCAGAGGTAATAAAGAATGTTTTGTTGAGAAGAACCAAGTTAATGGAACTGGGCGTCTTGTAGATGTTACCAACTCAGTTTTACCGTGTATCTGAGGACAAAAGACGGAAGCGGCTAGCACATCTTAGATAACCAGTGGCTAAAGAATCTAAGGATTGCTACCGTTGCAATACTAGTCGTTTACGAGAAATTGCGGTACTTCATCAGCAAAACAATATTTATGTTGCTCAACAATAGAAGATAAATGAGACGATGTTAGGTACATTGTTATAGGGAAAATGTCCACAAACTCACCTCACCAATCCAACCAGCTAATTCATCTGGATTTGCAACTGTAGCTGATAAGCATATAAGTTGAACCTCCTTTGGGCAATAAATGACCTGATCATATTCACACAGAAACCGACTGAGACACTCAACTCAACTGATAAAGCCTTTGAAGGAAAGAAAAGAAACAGTGGAAGAAGAACTCACAGTCTCCTCCCACACAGTTCCCCTAGAAATGTCACTCAAATAATGAACCTCATCCAAAACAATAGCATCAACATGAAAAAGTCCAGTCCCTGAAGAAGCCATTCCAACACTAAAAGATTTCAACACAAAAATCAAGGTTAACAGTAGCTCCTGAACAAACCAGATAAATAATAAATACACAGAGAGAGCTACAGTTTGAAATACCTTTGATACAACATATTCCGAAGAATCTCTGTAGTCATGATCACAATCTGAGCATCCTTATTGATAGCAGAGTCACCTGTGAGTAGACCAACATTATCGTCGCCAAATGTCTCCCTAAACTCACGAAACTTCTGATTAGAGAGTGCTTTAAGCGGTGTAGTATAGAACAACCGACGACCTTTAGCCACCGTAGCAACAGCAGCTGCTTCAGCAATCAAAGTCTTCCCACTACTCGTTGGAGCAGAAACCACAACAGAAGAACCTCTAAGAAAAGCTTCAATAGCCAATCTCTGTCACCAAAAATTCAGATTTTTCAATTTCAAAGAGTGATGTTAAAAACTGGAACTTTAAGCAAAAAAAAAACCTGAAACTTGTCGATTCGAAAATCGTAGATGGAAATGAGTTCATCGATATCAATCATCTCAACACCAAAATCTCGAACAAGACTACGAAGCTTCTCAACTCTCTGCCACCGGAACTCGACTCGTTCCCGAGCTGATTCCTCCGTTGGTAAATCCACCGAGAACTCGGTTTCTTCATCGTCGTCGCTATTACCAATTTCATCGGATATATTCTCGTATTCGTCTGCAGCTTCGTCGTCATCGTCATCTTCGTCTTCTTCTTCTTCTTCTTCTTCTTCTTCGTCGTCGTCGTCTTCCTCGTACTCCTCGGAGAGCTGAGACTGCGACGGTGAGAGAGAATTTAAGGAGGATTTGAAGGAGAGTTGGTTTGGATTGAGGATTAGGGATTTGGTGAAACAGAAGTTTGGGGAATGAGAGAGAGAAAGGTGCAGAGAAGGAAAATGGAAGAATTTGAAGAAGGAAGAACAAGGTGTGAGAGAGACGACGGGAAGAGTGTTCATGTTTTCAGAGCATTTCAAGATTTGATTTTTTTTTTTTTGGCTTTTGGATATTACACCCAATTAATTATTGTTTTTTTCCGAAAAAAATTAAGACTCTTTTTTTTTAAGATGGCTTGAAAATAAAAAAAAATTAGACTTTTTTTTTTTAAGATGGTTTGTGAGAATAATCATTGTTAGTGTGTTTTTTTTGTTAACTTTGTGAAATGATGTGTTGGTAGTACTGGATTAGTTTTGGTTGATTGAATGGTGTAAATGCAGATGGGATGGGAACGGCTGAGTGGATGTCGGCGAAGTCTACGGCTTATTTCAAGCGTGGAGACTATGTTCCTGGCTTGAAGGTGTGATTGATTGTCTTTTATCTTGATCTTGGAACGATGCAATATAGCTTATGTCTCTGATTGTTGTTGTACAGTAGACTAGTGCAATTTAGGATTCTACCGAAAAGTAAGATATGGGGGTAGGAAATGGAGTTTAGGATCAGTTTTTCCACACAATTTGAAAAGGAAAGGACAAATCTTTTTATATTATGTTATGCAATAAGAATGGTCTAGGTCATGGATGGGAATAGACAGAATTTTGTTCAAAGTATCTGTCTTTGTAGTTTGGAGAGTGTGACATTAAGCTAAGTCAGCTAAGTTGTGATCATCTTCTGTTGTTGTGTACTAGGTGGATGGTATGGATGCACTAGCTGTGAAGCAAGCGTGCAAGTTTGCCAAAGAATACGCACTCCAAGAATGGACCTATTGTAAGTTTGCACTATCATTTTTTCGTTCAGTCACATTACAGTTTCTTCGAAGTCTCTTTTCTTTCAAATCGGAATAACTCCAATAAGAATCTAGATTCCTCTAAACAGTTTTCTGGCATGTAGCTGTTTATGAAGTTCTACTTGTTCTGTTCTTATCAACACATCTTCGTTTAAGGGGAATGACCATCATACGTTACCTTTGTTTGAGCAGATCCTTGAGATGGACACTTATAGGTACCACGGTCACTCAATGTCTGACCCAGGAAGCACTTACCGTACATGTGATGAGATCTCAGGCGTGAGGCAGGTTAGTGAATCTCTTCTTTCTTAAATATACTGCTCAATCATTAGAATTTCGACTTTTTAATCTGTACATATGTATCTCGTGCCTTTAGGTGCGAGATCCCAAAGATAGAGTGAGAAAGTTGATCATATCTCATGACATAGCTACTGAGAAAGAGCTCAAGGTAATCACTCAGTCATAAATAAAATCCTCTCATTTTCTGACTAGAAAACAAAGGATTATTGGTCCTCAGCCAATGTCCTACTTACTTTAGGACATGGAGAAAGAAGTGAGGAAAGGAGTCGATGCAGCGGTAGCAATCACCACCAAAACTTATTATTTGCGTTAATGATTTGTTTCAGGAGAGCCCTGTACCGGATTCATCTGAGCTTTTCACAAATATATATTTAAAAGGTTTCGGAGCTGAGGTAACTTTACATATCTTCATATCCTTTGGACAACACTTGGATATGTTCTTCCACTCAACTCCTGATATATGCATTTCCTCTTTGCAATTTGCAGTCTTTTGGAGCAGATAGAAAGGAACTGAGAGCAACACTTCCATTTCCATAAACTTTAGTCGTGTTATTCCCGTCACATATCTCGTCTCTTACTTACATATATCCTAACCGCAAACTCCTGGAGGAGAATCCGGTTTCAATAAATTCAAGACAATGCAACAAAAACTTGCTCCAATCATTTTGGTTTTCTTTACTCAATTCAAGTGTAGAGCTCTTTTGTTCCCATTTTAACAACTCTTTGGGATTGTTATCAAAACGTTAATTCTTTTATTTGAAGGGACAATTATTGTCTCCAAATGTTGTTGTCTAGCAACATACTATTTCTCTACACAAATCACAGACAACAAACGTATAAAATGAGGACGTTTTTGGTCCTCTGGAAATGAAAATGTATTTGTCTTAGTAAAAGTCTTAATTTTAGAACAAAATGAAGCATAAATTTAGTTTGCCTTGGAGTTAGGATAACAGCAGAAACAAGAAGAAAAGGCAAAGAGCTCTGCTTACTACTTACTATTGGCTTTGTTTGTCTTCTAACTTAGCTGTCGGAATGTAGTAAATCTAAAGCAAGTGGAGAGGTGAAGACAAAACTCAATAAACCCGTGTTGTACTCGCCACGCAAAGCATAGTTTTGAAATTCGTAAATCATAAAATCTTCACACAACAAACAACACTTTTACAACACCAAAAAATAAAGAGAAAAGCATCTCTATCTTACCTTCTCCGTCCGTATCCTAAACGACATCATTGTATTTGTTCCACCACCTAACCTCAATTTACTTTGCTTTCTATTACTTACCAATATCTTCTTTATTACAGACAAATTGTAGTGCTAATAGTTAGAAAAAAAGAACTCAAGTAATCTTTATAAGAAGGTTGGTTCTTTATTTCTTTGTGACCACAACACTAGTATTTGCCTATTTGGTAGCCGATAGACCAGTTGAAACCTAACATTAGTTAACTCACACTAAACATGTCGACGGTATCTTAATAAAGAATATCTTCCATCACACACACAAACAAAAAAAAGAATATGTTCGGTATAAAAATATATATATATACCAATTTAGTTAAGTAGATTATGAGTGTAAATGGTAACATGAAAAAAATATTCAGCCAGATTCAGCTAGATTCAGCAATTCCGAAGTTACTATTTGCATAAAACTAAATTCAGCTGAATTCAGCTAGATTCAACAGTTTTTCCAACATCAACAGATACATAGTATGTTCATTTCAGATAAAATTTGGATTATAGCGATTCACAACTCGAATTAAAATACTTTTGATTATTAAAAATTACACATCAAATTTATATTTTAAAATAAGTTAGATCATACAAATACGATATATGAATAATTCATACACATAAAATCATTATCAGAATAAACAAGAGACATATTTATGTTCAGATATCTATAGATAATTTTAATAAATTTTAGATACTTAAATATAATTTTCCAAATTTTTGCAAAAATAACTCATACTTATGCTAAAATAATATTTAAAATATCAAATTAAAAAAATATGTTAATCATCATAATCATATTAAGGATTTAAACTACTAGAGAACAATGAAAAATCAATAAGATAATCTATACTATATTATCATGTTTATTTTTAAATTAATTTTTCAATAAAACTTTGACAAAGCTTTCTATTAATTAATTATATCTTTTTAATAGTTCAAAAATTAGATTTGAAAGAACAACTCAATTTTGCTAAAAATATATTAATTCTAGTATTTATTTATTGGTATAAGAGTTAATTAGACTATTAGATAATTTTATCTATTTTATTTAGATATTTTTCCTTAGTTATTCTATTGATATTCGTAATTATTTGACGATATTTCAGTTAAAGTCTTAATTATTTTGACAGATTCAGCTGAAAAATACAAAAAATTCAGCTAGATTCAGTGGTTACCATTTGAAAATATTAAAATTCAGCCAGATTCAGCTAAAAATCACTAACAATTCAGCCAGATTCAACAATTCAGCCAGATTTCTCAGATACCATTTAGATCCTATATAAAAAAAAAGATTATATCGTTTTTTATTCGCATCAAACGATTATACAGTGCACGCGGCAGCACTAACGAAATGAGTTTTATTTAGTCTTTAGAGCAAATGAATACATTCTGATAATTTTATTGAGTGGCACTAGTCACACACTCAACACTAGAAAACGTTGACAAATACGAAAAAAAAAAAACATTAATTAAGTGGCACCACAAAACGAGAATCTTCGTAGTGAGACACGCTCCTTACTTGTTATTCCAACAACAAAAACGTAACATAAAATACTTTTCTTTTTACTTTTTCGATAAAAGATGAAAGATCAACGTTAAAGTAAAATACTTATTAGATCCAGTTTTTCCCGATATCTTAGATAAACTTTGATTACGTATCCAAAATCTAGTATTTACTGATCCGAAAACAAGCGTGCGGCGCACGTGAGAACTGGGTTTTGATCAAACCAATCAAAAGTCTTCTCATCGTTAAATCTCAGCCGTCGATCTCCTTTATCGAGCCCATACAAACTTTTAAGACAAATCCTCCTCCAGCTGTTTCCATCGAGTTCACAGCTGGCAAAAACCGATCACAAGTTCCAAAAGCCACCATTAATACGGTACACCAACCCACAGACAATAAAGTTTAATTAATTACCGAAATCTTTGATTAAATCCCATCAGTTAGAATAGGTAATTACGTTGGGATTGATCATTAAAACGACTTAAAACACACATAACTATTCACGCGCTAAGCGCGTGTAAACCAAATCTCTCTCTTAAGCCAAATAAAGAGAGACTTGTTCTTCTTCTTCTTCATCTTCTTGCTTTCAAGTTTCAACATTCTTGAACTCTTTGAGTAATTATTTCCAGAAGCTTCATAGTTTCTGGAAAATGCTAGACCAGTAGCGGAATAAAAAGCAGATCTTTAGAGAAACCGCGTTTTCTGATAATGCGGTTGCGTTTTCCGATGAAATCTGCGGTTTTAGCGTTTGTTGTCTTCTTGGTGTTTATTCCACAGTTCTCCGTCGGAATACGGATGATTCCGGGAAGAATCGCCGCCGTATCCGTTACTGTGGGAAATGTATTTGATCTCGGGTCGTTCGTGGAAGCTCCGGATTACAGAAACGGCAAGGAGTGCGTGTCTCAATCGTCAAACAGAGAAAACTTCGTGTCGTCTTGCGACGCTTCGTTAGTTCATGTAGCTATGACGCTTGACTCAGAGTACTTACGTGGCTCAATCGCAGCCGTTCATTCTATGCTCCGCCACGCGTCGTGTCCAGAAAACGTCTTCTTCCATCTCATCGCTGCCGAGTTTGACCCAGCGAGTCCACGCGTTCTGAGTCAACTCGTCCGATCCACTTTCCCGTCGCTAAACTTCAAAGTCTACATTTTCCGGGAAGATACGGTGATCAACCTTATCTCTTCTTCAATCAGACAAGCCTTAGAGAATCCATTGAACTATGCTCGGAACTACCTCGGAGACATTCTTGATCCATGCGTAGACAGAGTCATTTACCTTGACTCAGACATCATCGTCGTCGATGACATTACAAAGCTTTGGAACACGAGTTTAACAGAGTCACGAATCATCGGAGCTCCGGAGTATTGTCACGCTAACTTCACAAAGTACTTCACTTCAGGTTTCTGGTCCGACCCGGCTTTACCCGGATTCTTCTCGGGTCGAAAGCCTTGTTATTTCAACACGGGTGTGATGGTGATGGATCTTGTTAGATGGAGAGAAGGTCATTACAGAGAAAAGCTTGAAACTTGGATGCAGATACAGAAGAAGAAGAGAATCTACGACTTGGGTTCTTTGCCTCCGTTTCTTCTTGTCTTCGCGGGTAACGTTGAAGCAATTGATCATAGATGGAACCAACATGGTTTAGGAGGAGACAATGTACGTGGAAGTTGTAGGTCTTTGCATAAAGGTCCAGTGAGTTTGTTGCATTGGAGTGGTAAAGGTAAGCCATGGGTTAGGCTTGATGAGAAGAGACCATGTCCGTTGGATCATTTATGGGAACCGTATGATTTATATGAGCATAAGATTGAAAGAGCTAAAGACCTGTCTTTGTTTGGGTTTTCTTCTTTGTCTGAGTTAACAGAAGATTCAAGCTTCTTGTGAAGAGAGTGTGTAAGTCAAACAACATTCTTTTACTTGTTTTTTGTAGTTTGGGTTATTACAAATACATTGTTGAGTTGTTGAGAGATATTGTTTTTTTGACTGTTTTTTTTTTTTTTTTGTTTTACTGTTGGTGACTTGGTGGTGTAAAAATTGACTTGTGAGAGAAAGAGTTTGTAGAAGCTATTGATGAGGACTTGTTAAGAGAATTTTTTGTTTGGAATTGTATTTTGTTGTGTTCTTTACCCTTAATGGTTCGTTTGATCTCATTTGTCTATGTTGAGAGACTTTTCAAGAGTATATGTAGCAAGTGTTTGTTAGCATGAAATAAAACCCAAATTTGGTAAACTTTGTCATTGTGATTTCATATGAGGCTCTCTACGCAGTGCGCATCAATAATGAAGCAGAGTTGAAATAAATGAAGAAGGTTAGGCTCCTCGGAAAGATAAGTTTTCAAACTGTACACACAATTGTAAAGTGTAACCGTTCATATTTTGAGTCTTACTCCATAATAGTCAACATTTGTCATACTTACAAGTAGGCCTGGGCATAATACCCGAACCCGAAGAACCGAACCGAACCCGACCCGAAATACCCGAACCCGTTCTACTTCGGTTCCGGCTAATTACCCGATCGGGTTCTGTTTTCAAATAACTGTGGGTATCGGGTATTACCCAAACCGAACCCGATACCCGTGAGTACTTTTTATTACCCGAACATATATACACATATGAGGACATATATGTACTAATAACTTGAATTTGTGACTTGTTTAATGATATATGTTATGAAAAAAACTCAAAACAAGGTTTACTTCTTGTTTTATATTATTGTTATAAGGAACAACTTGTTATAATTTCAGATTTTTCGGGTTTTATGGATATATTTGGGTATATTTGGACAAAGTTTGGGTAAGTAGTACTCAAACCCAAAATAGTTTTGGTTATTTATGGGTTCTTTAACCAATACCCGAATTACTCGGACCCGAAGTGAACCCGAACCGAACCCGACCCGAAATTGTACATATAACCCAACGGGTCCAAAATTTCTAAACCCGAAAAACCCGAACCGAACCCGACCCGAATACTCACATGCCCAGGCCTACTTACAAGTTACAAGTTACAAGCTCATATCAAAACTTTTTTTTTTGGGTCAAAATAGAGGAATTCATCTTAAACAATGAAAGACTTGGGGCTATTAGTGGGCTAGTATGGGCTGTGAAGTAATACAATATATTCGACTATTCGTCCTCTCAATGCCTTTTGAAAAGAGTTTCCACTACTCCGGACCACTTACTCCGTTCGGTCATCACCGTTAGGTAGGCATGACATTGATTGATTAAGCCGAAAATTAATCGGTATATTGATTATGATCGACTAACAACTAACAGTTCTTTAACTAGGCTTTTGTAATGTTTTGTGATATTGAAATAAAATGATTTTTCTACTACAAACGAGATTATTAAACTGTGGAATCAATCACATTCTAAAATGTGAAAAACTATCTTATACCCATTGGCATAGTAACAAGTAGTTTCAAGTTGCAGAACCCTTCATTTATAATTTTGTTCTTGGTTGGTTCATGGTTGTATTCACAAGTAAGTAAAAAAGAATGTGAAAACTAAAATGTACTATAGAAGTAGAAAGTACATTTGACTTGGATTATTACCAACTACCACCAAAATTAATCAGTTAACATAGTTACTAATAATCTCTTTTGTCTCCGCTTAAGTTAAGTTATCACTTGTAAACACTTCTTACTTTACTAGCTTCCCGACAAAGGTCCCACCGCCTCTTGTCTTCATTGCCTCATCCTTGTGTCTGATCTAATCTCTTCTTCTTCTCTTCTCTCTCCCAAAATCTGTTTTGGAATTAACACAAATTTTGTGGGCTATCTTCACTTTTTCAGGTAAGCTTATAAGATTTGCCACTAGATTCTTTCTCTCTTTTTCTTTGTTTTTCTTTTTGGATTTGAAATGATAACTTTTCTTAGTGTCAATCATTGATGAGGGTTTGGCTCTATACTTTGCTTATTCAACAAGTTGATTCTAGTTTTGTTCAAAGTTTGAAAGTGATAAGAGTTTACTTTGGTTTTGTGTGGATTAGGATTCTTTCTGGTGAGCATTAATGGTAGATATGGAAGTTGGCACCGCCAATGGTGAAGATAAGGTAATACCCATTTGTCTACTCCAACTTCATTTGATGTGTTTGTTTTAGAGTTAATGCTTAATTTGTGCCTAATTATTGACATTACTGTCAATGTCCTGTGATCTGTTTTGTATATTGGTGATTCTTGGATTGTCATGGTTAGTTGTTTAAATGACTTGTTTGTGGATTGATAAACAGATAATGACCGCAACTTCATCGAATCAAGAACTGCAAGTTTCTGTTTCTTTTGGTAAGTTTGAGAATGATTCACTGTCATGGGAGAAGTTTTCATCTTTTTCTCCAAACAAGTACTTAGAGGAAGTGGAGAAGTGTGCAACTGCTGGATCAGTAGCTCAGAAGAAGGCTTATTTCGAATCACACTACAAGAAGATCGCTGAGAGGAGAGCTGATATTATAATGGAGCAGGAGAAACTATTGAAGAGAAATGCATCTTTCAGGCCAAGTGTTCAGAACAGGGAAAAAACAGACAATAGTGACAATGACGAGTCAATGATGATCGAGTTTAGTGCCGGTTATGGATCTAACGGTGAAAGTACTTCAGAAGAAGATAAGCTTGTGACTGGCATTGCTACTGAGACATGTAACCAAAAGCCTCTTGAAGAAACTATGGATTTCGTGGAATGTCGAAGCTCGGTTGATGCCGGGGATGATCTGAGTACCCTGAAGTTGGAGGAGAAACTTGAAGAGATTGTTCAAGTGGAGGATAAAGAGAAACTAGAAGAGGTTGTTTGTATGAAGGAAGAAGTAAAAGAAGATGTTCCATCAAAGGATATTGGAGAAATGAATGAAGCGCTAATAAAGGAGACGAAGAAAGAGACCGAGAAGACAGATAAAAACGTGCGAACGAACCATATGAGAGCCTCTCCCAAGGTAAAACACCATAACCTTCCTCATATAGTTTTATGTGTAATGTCTTTAAATGACTGTGTCCTGGTCTTACAGTCTAATCAGGCTACCAAGAAACCAGTAGCGAGCAAGATTGTAACAAGTACAAAAACTCAATCAAGAAAGGAGAGAAGCATGACAAAGGCAACAAATAAAGCAGCATCACCTGTCTTAAAACCTCCATGTTTACAACTCCAAGAGTGTCTAAGCCAGCTTCAACAATCAGCTCAATGTCTACTTCTCGCTCTTCAGTAAAGAAAGAAAATGTCTCGGCTTTACCGAGAAAGAAACAAACCGCTCCAAAGTCATTGCAAGTTCCTCTCAATGTGGATCAGTCTTGCTCCGATCCTACTGCTGTTCCAACAACAAGAAAATCCTTGATCATGGAACGAATGGGAGATAAAGACATCGTTAGACGTGCTTTTAAGACTTTTCAGAAGAGTTTCGACCAAATTAAACCTTCTGGTGATGAGCAAGAGCAAGATACAGCTCCTAAGCAGGTATAGTCTTTTAGTATTTCACCAAGTGATAAAGATTGTGCTGGTTAATAACTAAACATCAATTAATACTGCCAATGTTTTACACCAGGTTCCTGCAAAGGCAACTGCTGTTTCGAGGTTAGGTACTACTGGTCAGAAAAATAGCAGGTATAACTAGGACTTATGCTCTCTCTTTTGTTCATGCATCACCACCTAGAGTTTTCTATAACTTAGCATGTCTTCTTTGAGTCCTAAATTTGTGTTTTTGTCCTGTAACAGGCTTGCAAAATCAGAAGGCACGGAGAGAAAAGGTTCTTACTCTCACGGTTCTTCGTCTTTTGTATCAAAAAGCAACGGGACAGCTGAGAAACAGAAGGAGGTAACGTATTTTATGATTAAACCAAACTGTGTTCATCTTATCCTCTGATATGATAAGTTTAACAATTCCTCGATGGCTAATATTTCTTCTTCAAATTCAGCCTTCCAGGCCTGGCGCAAGAGCTATGGAGAGGATACAGGCGATACCGAAGGTATTACGCAGAAGAAAACCGTGTTGCATACCTTTCATTACTGTATGATCTCTGAGCATTGTTGTCTAATATCATCAGGCAGAAGCAACAAATCCCAAAACTCGGAGGCAAAGTCTAAATCCAAAAGAAAAATCCATTCAAGGACCTCTGCCAAAAAGCTATTCAGACAAAGTACTATGATGTAGCAGTCCTCATTTCAAGAACTTTGTTATGTAACCGATGAGCATTGTTTTTGTCTGATCTTCTGGATGATTCCATGGTATTGAGGCTGAAGTACAAGGCTAATGGCTCCACCAACATTTTTCAGCAAAAATATCAAATATCTCCAATCTTTCAGGCAACACTCAAGACTCAAGACTCAAGAGTCAATGATGTTTGTGATATAGAGAAGTCACCACGTTTGTGGACAAGTAAGTATTATACAGTCTTGTGTCAATGTATGTGTATAGAGTCTATAGACTAAAATGAGGATGATGTTATTAACATACTTGAATATCAATGCTATTATTTCTCCTGGAAGTACTGTTTTATTTTATATACATTCTTCTTACACACTTGCAAATTTATTAGAATCAGCTTCAGACTTACATTTTCAATAGAAATCAAGAACCTGCGAGACCATATGGGTCTGCATCTTTTAGCGACCATGAGAAACAAAGGATTCAGTGAAGGTCAAGGGAGCAACGGAACTGGACTCGGGAGAATCAGCTGCTCCACCTGAGATTTCAGTACCTCGATGAATTTCTCGAGTTTGCACAATGTCAAGTAAGTTATCAGGAAGCTGAGCCACACTGTCCAAGAATTGAATGACGCTAGACATGTTTGGTCTGATGGCTGGTACTGGATGAGAACAGAGTAAGCCGAGTTTTAGAACAAATGCCACTTGCTCCTCGACATAGTCCTGCCCAATCTTATGATCAAGAACCTGCATTATATCTCCGTTCTCCTAACACTCTAGCACCCAATCAGTCAGTACCATCTCGCTTTGCGGTGCTCGTGGCAATATGGGCTTTCGTCCACATGCGATCTCTAGCATAACCACTCCGAATGCAAATACATCTGAGCTTGTACTTGCCTTTCCTGTTCTTGAGAGCTCAGGTGAAATATAACCAAGTGTACCTTCACAGTAAAAACATTGTGAGTGAAAAGATCTTTTTAGGGATTCAAAACAAATAAGCTACCTGCCACATGAGAGGTCTGAGGATCAATCCCATGATCCAGAGCTTCGCGAGACCAAAATCACCAAGTTTAGCATTCATATTAGCGTTAAGAAGGATGTTGGCTGGTTTAATATCCCTGTGGATAATCACCTGCACCCATTGTTGGTGCAAAAAACAAAGCCCAGAAGCTACGTCTTTGATGATCTTAAATCTCTGTGACCAATCAAGATTACCAGTCTGTTGGTCGTAAAGGAACTTATCAAGGCTGCCTTTGGGCATACAATCATATACCAAGTAGAGTTCACCTTTGTGTCTGCAGTAACCTTGGAGCCGAACTAAGTTGGGATGTCTGATACGCCCAATGGTTGCGATCTCAGCAATGAACCCTCTCATGCCCTGCCTTGAATCATGAGAAACTCTCTTCACAGCGATCTCTACGTTGGACACTGGTAAAGTACCCTTATAGACTTTCCCAAATCCTCCTTTACCAAGAAGCTCTGTATTCTTGAAACCCTTTGTTGCAGTGTGTAGATCTTTGAAAGCAAACCTATGAGGACCAAACTGCACCTCCCAGTCCTCAAGAACTTCCAGTAGCTTCTTCCTCTTCAGAAAAAACCATATGCTGAGACCCAAGATGATGAGTATGGCGACGCCTGATATAGTCAAACTGATCGTTAAAACCCCCTTCAGACTCCGGATCCATGGCTGATTAAAACGGGGAACGTTTGGAAGTCGAGAGGGGTCTATAGCTGGAGCCGTCCCATTAATCTTGAACGTCCAACCCAATATATAGTGAGATGCAGTTAATGTACCCGTGGATGAGGAAAATCCAAGGTACATAAACTCAAGCAAATAGGGAGAAAGATCTTTTTGCAGAGAAAGGAGTGGAATCTTTGGCTTAGGGACACGAATAGGATGAAGTGTGACGTTAAGCTGTCTCTGTTTGCTATCATATTCAATCCACACTTGCATAGGGTCTCCACTGGCAAGCAAGAGATCTATAAATCTACCATCATCCTTGTAATAACCTGCTGAAGCAGCTATTTCTGAAACTATGGTATTTATGTCAATACCAACATGGTTGGCATTCATGTCATAAACTTCAGGGCCTTGTACGGTATCGAGCTCAACCGCTATTATATGATTTTTGGGATCTCCATCGTTGCTTCTGTTGAAGAGCCCAAGGTATTGGGGGGATCAGCATTGGACAAACCTCTCGTAGGACAAATGACAAAGGCCAATCCATGGCCCTTCATTGCTCCATAATGTGAAACAATAGCAAATACGAAAGTGGTGGAGAAAGAGTAGACGGTACCATTTACAGAGTCCTTGAATCGAACTGGGAAATTGTAGAAAACTTGACCAGCTGTTTGTGTTGTAGAATTCGTAAGTCTGAACAGGCCGTTGTTGTTTAGATTGGCTGATCCAGCAGCGTATAGGAATCCGTTGAAGTCGAACTCTCCACCAGTTGGGTCTGAACCCTGACATACTACGTTCTTGTGGAAGAACAACAGCAACAACAACAGTACAGTTGGCTGAAACATGATTGATCGATCTTGATAATACAAACCAAATGTTCATGCCAAGAAAGAAGAGACTCTAGGGGAAGTCAACACATAGAATAGATCAATGAAGAGTGCTAAAAGGAATGATCAAATCCTTTTGAGTGCTATTAAATACATTTGAACCAGCACTGATAGTGAGTTAATTATATTTTTCACTCCAGAAGAGTCAAGGTCAATACTTCCTGAAATAATCAATTCCATTTGCCATTGAACCATTCTTTGAATATGAAGAGAATTTATTACTTTATTGATTCTTGTCCATAAGGTCTATAAGTGAGAAGGAAAATTTAAAACGTTTGCATAGATTTACCGATGCTTTCTTGTCTCTCTGCCAATAGAGCAGAGTCTGATTCCTTCTTTATTTCCTGACAACACAATTGAATTAAATAAATAATTTATTCCTCCAGAGTTGTGTTTTCTTCTACTATTTCATTCTTGTTTGCAAGCTTACAAACGTATCACAATTAACCAAGACTCACAATCACAACAACAAGAAGCATGTACTCAACTTTATTCCACAGTAATGGTAGATAGAAACCACTTGTCGCAAGATGGGTTTGCGTCCACAGGTAATCTCTAGCATTACCACTCTGAGGGTGAATACATCAGCGCTTGCCTTTCCTGTTCTTGAGAGCTCAGGGGATGATAAGTCTTCAACACATATAAGTTCTGATGTACCAATAAACATATATCTGAAACTAAGGTGTTTATGTCATGATTGTCATCGAATGGGTTGGTCAAAGACAGTATCGAGCTCAATCGCTACTAGATGATTTTTGGAATCGAAGTGGATAATTATACAAAACCTGGCCAACTCTATTTGGTGTGAGCGTGAAACAGACCTCACTGTTCTTGGGGAAGAAGAGCAACAGCAAAAACAACAACATCATCATAATAATTAGCTGAAACATGATTTGATAAAATCTTCTTGATAAGATAACACAGAGACTCATTTTCATAAAGAGTGCTGAAACATGGAATAATCAAATCGTTCTATTTAGTATCATTGAGCCTGCAACACTGATAGAGAGTGAAGTAATTATTATATAGTCCCATTTTCATCTCTGCAAGAGTCAGTGATATGCTTTATGAAAACTCTAAAAATTCGATTAGCCTATGGGAATCATTCTTTCTAAAAAAAAAAAGAATCCAACATAGTCTCTGGGAATTTTCAGGCATAAAGTCTCTTCCTTTCTTGATTAGTTATACACAAGAAGCAGAGAGACTTCCCAATTCTTTGAGAATCAAGCGACTCTGTTTGCAGTGTTATGCGTTGTGGTGGTTCCGGTTCGGTAAAGTAAGTCCGGTTAGCGCCGATTCGATTTGAAATTACCGTTGAATAGAAAAAATTCAGAAGAAACAGCAGGGTGCGAAATTAGTCGGTGCGAGAGGAAGAAGACGAAGACAAATTGTGAATAATTTTACCGAACCGGACTTATTTCTTATTCCAAGCCTCGAAATCTTCTAATTCTTATTCTATTACCGGTCTAAGCCCATTAAGCATTTAAATTCCTCGAAATCAAAACATCTGGTTATCTTACCTTATTAGAATGAAAAAGGTCCCAAACATAAGAGGAGTTAGTGTTTTTTTTTTTTTCTTTTTTTTTTCTCTTAGTATTATCCAAATCCTATTTAGGATTCTACCAAGTCTCTTGTATGTATATCGCATTCATTATTATCTCAATCACTACTACAATACAAATTAATCCTTCTCCATCTTATTTCCCTCTCTTCAATCAATCGTGTTACATAATGGGACGCACAGAAAAAGGTGACAAGGTGTTGTTATGTGGTGTTGGTGTCATGGTCTATTGTATTATTAATTATGTATTATGGAAACCAGTTGGAACTTCTGTGCCGAAAATTGAAATAGCCTCTATGGATTTCACTGTGCATAATCTAACACAAACTCGTCTCAGTGCAAACTGGGATTTATTGATAAGGATCCCTAAAACCCTTCCTGATCACTTTATATGTCTTCAAGGAGACATTCAAGCTTCATTGTTTTACAAAAATATTACCCTCGCTACCTCTTCGAGACAAAGGTTTGTAGAAATTTATTATTCAATCATCTAGTAATGTTTAAAGTTGTTTATTATTATTATTCTGATTAAAATCGGTTGCATATAATATTATAGGTACAACGATCTCAAATCCGGCTCGCCTCAACAACTTAGGGTTTCAGCAGCTATTTTCGAAGAAGATATCGGTGGGTTGATTGGCAAAAACGTTATCAAAGATATCAACGAGAGTGTTTGGTTCTCGGATTCTATCCCGAAACACTCTTTCCTGACATGGCTTGCGGTAAAAAACAGACTGTCCACTGGTTATTTTCTATTATTTATCTAGCGAACCAAGAAACTCCTGTGCCAAATATAGAAATAGCTTCTATGGATTTCACTGTACTTAATATTACACAAACTCGTCTCAGTGCAAATTGGGATTTATTGATTAGGGTTCCCAGTGACCTTCCTAATGTCTTCATATGTCTTCAAGGAGACATTCAAGCTTCAGTGTTTTACAAAAACATTAATCTTGTTACTTCGTCCGGACAAAGGTTGATTATATAAATTTACTATTCAATCTTCTAGTATTATTTTAGACTGTTTATTATTCTGATTGAAATCGCTTGCATATATAGGTACAACGATCTCAAATCCTGCTCTCCTCAACAACTTAGGGTTTCAGCTTCTATATCTGAAGAAGATATCGGTGGTTTGATTGGTAAAAACATTATCAAAGACATCAACGAGAAGAGAGAAGTGAAGTTCGGATCGCAGTTGTTTCTTACGGATTGTAGAAAAGGGACAACAGGAGTTTTGAGCTATGTGTGTGATGAAACCACTTTGCGGTTCGAGCCAGGTTCTGAGACCAAGGCGACTAAGTTCGGGAACAACCCTACATGCACTAAATTTTGACTAGTTTGTTGTCTTTTTTTTTTTGTTAACGCTGCAAGGATTTTTTGTTTTTTACGGGATGGTATTTAGAGCATCGAAATGGTTTTCACCAAAGTTTATGAGTTCTAAAGTTAATTGATATTTCATTTTGTTTTAGAACGTCCGCCGCTATACTTTGCTAACATATCTCCTAGAATTTAATATAATATGTTATTAGACAGGACCTTTGTTTGAAAAATCGCTAGGCGCTAGTCGGGCGCTCGGCATGGACCTAGCGATTAATCGGAAAATCGGATTAAAATCGAGGATTAATCGGGGATTAGTTTTAGGGTTATTTTAATATTCTTAAAACATATCAATCCAATATTATTTTCAAAATTGCAGTAAATACATAAAAATGTATTTTTGAGACAAATTTTTATGATTTTTATTACAAATTTATGATTTTTATTAAAATTTGAACATAAGTTATTGTAAAACATTACAAAGTCCCAATTCAAATGATTGAATAACAAAAATTAAAAGTTTTTTTATACTAGCAATCTAAAAATAATCGGGGTATGTAAGATTAGGCGGAGAATAATCGGATTAGGCGGGAAGTAATCGGATTAGGCGGAGAGTAATCGGGTGACTGATTTCTTTAGAGGATTAGTCATTAATCGAGGCGGATAGGGTGGGCCTAGCGATTAAGCGGGGAGTAATCGGGTCTAGGCGGGGATTTTTAGAACAAGGGACAGGACATGTATTATTAATAGAAACAAATAAAGGATCCTTTACATTTGCAAAGAAACAAATAGAACCAAATGTTCATGACAATTGCAAAATAATGATAATTTCTTAGGGGAGACATGATCAATATAGAGTATTAGACATAAATCATATCAGCAATTGAATCGATCAGAGTCCTGGAGATGATGTCTCGTTAGTGTGTAATAAATAAGCCAATAACATATGAGTATGACTCGAGTTACATTAGATAACGAAATCGTACAAATGTAGTATGAAGATATCAAGAATGATATATCAATCTAAATATCTGGGGATATGCTGACATTTCACTTGCAAATCTTTGAGTTTGTTTTTCCAGAGCATGAGAGCAACATGTTTACTGATTCTATAATGAATAATTATTTTCTTTTCAGGTTTAGTAGATAATAAGCAGAAAACCTTTTTTTTAGTAAACTTTTTATTAGAGAAAGCTAAGCCCATTAGTATAATCCACGACTAGTCCAAAAAGCCCATGTAATTAGGGTTCCTAAGCAAGATATGTTTCTATATAAATATGTGTAATAGTCTAAGAGATGTAATCTAGAGAGATGCCATTTTGAATAATTTTACTCTTTCCCATTTAATAAAATCAAATCTCTTATCATTTTGTTTTTGGTGACAACCTATAAGATATATTTCTTTTCCTTAACTTGCATCAAAATAAAAGATTTAATAAGGTTTTCATTTCAATCTCATTTTCTATTATTTCTATCTAGCTTAATAAGGTCATTTGAGCTTGAAACCTACTAGCTTTGGATTCTCCTACACTTTGAAGCATATATATATATATATATATATATATATATATATATATATATATATATATATATATATATATATATATATATAAAGTATATCCTTTTAACCATATGATTTTAATTCTACATACTTCATTTCAAAGGATAAAAAAAGCTAAAACTTTTTATAAAAATAATTATATGAAGATTTCATTATTTAAAAAAAAAAATCAATGGATAAAAGCATATTCTTAAATTTTGAATCTATTAATAGAGAAAGTGTTGATACTTTAATCCATCTTTATATATAGATTATTGCAAATGGCAAAATCTATGATCGACAGATTTCACTAGTAACTTTAATTACTACTTACTAACTAAGGTTACTAACTTTAAATCGCGTATCTTGATATTAAATTATTAATTACTAACGCTAAGAAACCAACTCTATATAAGAAGATAGGACGAATTCGTTATGATCTCTGATTCTCTATCACTACTACAAAAGACAATACCACTACAAGAAAAACTGTCTATAGCTACAAAATTTTTTGTATCTATGCCCCAAATTCCGTAGCTATTTTGATTATAGCTTCGGAAAGCCACAAAAAAAACTTGTGTCTATAGCGTTGTAGCTATTTTTCTTCGTTGCTATTCGTGGACTCGTAGCCACAAATTAGTCACAATAAACTTTGTGGCTAATAGCCACTAACTTACCACAATCAAATTTGTGTCTATTATAGACACGAAATGCCAGAAACTTTGTTGTGTCTAATAACTATGGATTGCCACGAATAACCACACACAAAATTTGTATCTATATAGATTTGTAGCTAATTTATATGGTGGTTTTCCGTGGCTACTAAAAAAAGAAAAACAAAAAAAAACAAAATATTTTTAATTAATTAAAAATGAATATTTGTATTAATTGGTTAAGAGTTACAGAATTGAACCGGTAACAATATGCCGGTTCAACCGGAAGCTAAAATCAACAAAAAAAAAAACTAATCACAACAAAGGAGGTCCTCGCCGCCGCAACCAGAATCTGTTCGCCGACAAGCATCGACGTCAGCGTCAACCTGTGGAAGGGAAGAACTGGCACTCCACTAGCGGCACTACTCACCGAACCGCCAGACGATTTCCCCCACGGATCTAGACTTTAGATAGCTACAATGGCTTTTCATCTAACCTTCTCCTAAGACTTCCGCCGCCCTGAAACAGAAGCTCAGCCCAGATCCAGCCTTAAAAACTGCCCATACGGCCTAAGAAGAAGAAGCAATAGGTTAGTTTACTTATCTACGAGTTAGATTGTAGGAAAAAAAATCTTTGAATAACATCTTACCGTAGATCTTGTAATCATAATGTTTGTTTGATACTTCTCTTTGATGTTTTTGAAGTGAGTTCTCAGCTTCTCCAAAAACACACTAGAAAATCTTATTCGTCGCTTGCTGCAATGGTCTCGCTTGTCGCTGCTGGGATCTAATGAAGTGAACGAAGGAGAAGGAGAAGGAGAAGGAGAAAAAAGAGGAGAACTTTTGACCAACAAAAGAGAAAAGAAAGAAAAGATTTCATCCTTTGGATTTAATCTAATCAATGGTAGATAATAAGACAAAGTCTAATCCTTGTTCCTATGGATTACCCAATAAGAAGCCTTCACTTCTTTGTTTTGGTCAATTTTGGTTTTACAGTTTTGATTTATTTTTTAAGTATGTGTATTATTAAGTTAAAGGTTTTGACTTTATAATACAAGGTTTCAAACTTAAGTTTTAGTAATTTGGAATTGGAATTTTAATTTTGAATATATGTAATAATAGAATTGTTGGTTTAGAGATTTAAATTTAAAAGGAAATAATTTCTAGAAGTATTTTATGTAAAGTACCTATGTAAATAATTTTAAATATTATTTTTATGCATATATATAATGGTTATAATTTCATTTTATGGTTTATGATTTAATTTCTATGATAAAAAATTTAAGGTTTAAAGTTTAGAGTTTGGAGTTAGGTTATGTTTGTGGTATAGGGTTTAGAGTTTAAGGTTATATATGGTTACGTTTTGAAAATAAGATTTTTCATAATTATTACATCTTAGTTTTAGGGTACATTACTATACACCATAGTAATTAATTTATTTTTTGTGAGTTTAGGGTTTTAGGGCTTGTCTTTGGGTTTAGAGTTTCGTATAGCCATGGATAAATCTGTGGTAAATTTGTGGCTATCTTAATAAAAAAAAAATGAAATAGCCACTACAAATTTGTGTATTATCCGTAGCTATCAAGCCACGACTTAGCCACAAATGTAATTCGTGGCATTAATAGCTACAATTTAGCCACGATTTTTTTTTTGTGGCTAAATAGCTACGGTTTAGCCACAACATGGCTACGAACTGGCCACGACATAGTTTTGTGTCTGATTTGTGGCTAATATAAACTAGCTACAAATTTTTTGTGACTATTTTGTGGCTTTGGACAGTTTTTCTTGTAGTGTACAAATCGAATCTTCTCCATCGTTTTCATGTCTTCAATCAATCAATAGTTGCAGTACACAATGGGTGGTGACACTCTCCCCTGCGGATGTCATATGGTGGTAGTGGGTTGTGTATATATGGTGGTAGTGGGTTGTGTATATATACTTATTGCTACGAACCAAGAAACTTCTGTGCCGAATATTGAAATAACTTCTATGGATTTCACGGTGCATAATATTACACAAACTCGTCTCAGTGCAAATTGGGATTTATTGATAAGGGTCCCCAGTGACCTTCCTAATGCCTATATATGTCTCCAAGGAGACATTCAAGCTTCATTGTTTTACAAAAATTTTACTCTTGTTACTTCGTCCGGACAAAGGTTATATAAATTTATAGTTCAATCTTCTAGTATTATTTAAGATTATTTATTATTTTGATTGAAAACACTTGCATATATATAGGTACAACGATCTTAGATATGGCTCACCTCAACAACTTAGGGTTTCAGCAGCTATATCTGAAAAAGATATCGGTGGTTTTTTTTTTTGTGCACCAAACTCTTTCATTAAAGCTAGAAAGATACAAACGGAAGGAGGAGCTTAATCGGACAAACCCGAGAAGCCAGCTTGGGAGTAAAAACACCGGAGCAAACATAAAACGAACATAGAGACACAAGCACGACAGAGCTTGATAGGGTACCAGGAGAAATGTCGAAACAAACTATCACGAGCATGCCCATGAGAGAAAACGTATTCCACACATAATCATCAACCGGTGAAGAGATAGTCACCATACATTGTGACGTTAAGACAAAAATCGAACCAACAAATGTGGTTCTAGGCTGGGAGCAACCAGAAGCTACCTCAAACGCAGGCATGAGGAAACCGGAGAAGTATCCGGTGAGTAGTCTTCTTTGGAAAAGGTTCGAATCCGAACTAGCAGAAGTAGTTTTAGATTGGACGCAAATTGACTCTGTCTCAAACTCAAGCAAGGAGCAGCCGGAGAAGTATCCGGTGAAGAGATCCGAGGAGTATTCGATGGAGACGCCGGAGAAGTATCCGAAAGAGATGCCGGAGAAGTATCCGAAAGAGATGCCGGAGAAGTATCCGGAGGAGAAACCGGTAAAGCGGTGGCCGAAGGTGGTTTGGAAGCAAAGCGGAAGGCGACGAACAAAAGCCCCGTGATTGGATTCAACAACAACCAACAATGTGGTTCTCACGGGGGGCCAATTAGGGTAGGCCGAAAACACACTTCCATTGGGCCACATGCCAAAGAAGCCCACAAAGTTGTAGAGCCCAAAACTGCCCCAAAAAGAAATCTTAATGGACCAGGCCCACCAAGGACTCAGCCTCAGCAAATCACTTTGGAGAAATTGACCTAGATCTGACGCAGGTGAAACGGCGCGGCGGCTGGCGGAGGAGAAGACGACGGAGCAGAGATCCGGAGAGGAAACAGAGAGGAGGTGGAAGAGCGAGGCTGAAGAGTGACACTTCAGGTGGTGGAGGGAGGTGGTGCGGGAGACCAAAGTTCTTCGGCGGAACAAAGAGAAGGACTTAGACCTAGCCACGAGTAGGGCGATGACAAAGCCAGATTCCGAGCAACCCGCAAGCCGAATCCCACCAGAAGCAGAAACAAGACCCATATCGGCCAGATCTGACCACGGAGGACCCGTGGGGAGGACGGAGAAGCAAACACGAACCAGAGACGAACACAAAGGAGAAACAAGCTCAAGATGGAAGAAAGAAGAGAAAGAAGAGAAACCAGCACACACAATCCGACGCCGGTGAGCCACGGCTCTACCGGCGCCGGAAACACCAAGAAGAAAAGATGCCTCGATGACGACGCCCGAGAGAGTTTTCAAACTTTTATATATTACAAAATCTCATATACGTGTACACCTTACATCATTTATGTGAACGCATAAGCAAAAAAAAAAAAATCATAAACTAGATATCGGTGGTTTAACTGGCGAAAACATTATTAAGGATATCAAAGAGAAGAGGAAAGTGAAGTTCGGATCGCAGTTGTTTCTTACGGATTGTAGAAAAGGGATGACAGGAGTTTTGAGCTATGTTTGTGATGACACCACGTTGCGGTTCGAGCCAGATTTGGAGACCAAGGCGACTAAGTTTGGAAACAACCCTACCTGCACTAATATTTGATTAGTTATTCCGGTTAGTTGTGCAAAGATTCGATTTACTTTATTCTTGTTTTGTGAAAAATTACATGCCGTGGTTTCGGATCTGGGGGAATTACGGGCTTTGGCCCAGAACCTCCTAGTATTTTTTAAAAAAAAAAAAAACGTAAAATAAATCATCAAATAACTTATGAAATCATATAAAATTTTGGTGTTTTCTCTTAATACATAGTAGTTAATTCTAATTTCTCTACTCTGGAAGGATCAAAAGAATATACTTTCTGATCATCAATTCGATTTTCCATTGAATCATTATTCGTTTAGGTATTTTAAACAGATTTAATATAATAGTTTTCGATTGTTACTATTAATGGAAACAGAGAAACAACCATTTCCATTCTCATTATACAATCTCAACTCTACAATATAAATGATCATTAGTTAACGTCCACTAGAGAGAAACGATTCCGTCATGACCACGGAAACGTTACTACTCGCCTCCATAGACTCAGTTGTTTCACCTAATGCATCGAATCCTCCATCGATTATCCGAGCATTCGCAAGGTCTAGCAAGTTATGAGGAAGCGTGGCTACACCGTCTAAGAATTGGATTACGCTTGACATGCTTGGTCTAGTGGCTGCCACTGGATGCGAGCAAAGCAAACCCAGTTTCAAAACCAAAGTTACTTGTTCCGCAAGATACATGTGCCCTAGTTTCTCATCAACTACCTGCAATATATCTCCACTGCCCCAACAGTCTAGTACCCAATCAGTCAAAACCATCTCGCTCGGTGATCCTCGCGGCTCAATGGGTCTTCTTCCGCAAGTAATCTCCAACATGAACACTCCAAATGCAAAAACATCAGAACTTGTGCTTGACTTCCCTGTTCTTGAGAGCTCTGGTGATATATATCCGAATGTACCTTGCGTCCAAAATAACAACACAAAACCTTCAATATTTCCAAAGATCTTGATTGATTGACTATAATCTGCACAAAACCGCAAACTTACCTGCGACATTAGAGGTTTGAGAATCAATCCCGTGGTCACATAGCTTCGCAAGTCCAAAATCACCGAGCTTCGCGTTCATATTTTCATCAAGAAGAATATTTGCTGGCTTTATATCCCTGTGGATAATCACCTGAACCCACTGCTGATGCAAGTAGCAGAGTCCCGAGGCAACGTCTTTGATGATCTTGAATCTCTGTGACCAATCAAGAATTTGATTTGGTTGATTATAAAGAAACTTATCAAGACTTCCTTTGGGCATGAAGTCATAGACCAAGTAGAGTTCTCCTTTGCGTCTGCAGTACCCGAGAAGACGAACTAAATCTGGATGTCTAAGTCTACCAATAGTAGCAATCTCAGCCAAAAACTCTCTCATTCCTTGTCTTGAATCATGAGAAATCTTCTTTACCGCGATCGGTATACTAGACAACGGTAAGATTCCCTTGAAGACTTTTCCAAAACCTCCTCTTCCAAGAAGCTCGCTGTTCTTGAAACCTTTAGTGGCGATGAAGAGATCTTTGTAAGTGAATTTATGAGGACCAAACTGTACCTCCCAGTCCTCAATCACTTCCAAGAACTTCTTCCTCTTCAAGAAGAACATAAATCCAAGAACCAAGACGATAACAAGTGTAACTCCTGAAATACTTAAACTAATCGCCAAGATCTTGGAACTCAACGCTCGATCTTGATCTTCATCGGGTACTTTAGGGAGACGAGAGAGATTTATATCTGAAACTGTTCCAGTGTTGTTGAAATTCCAGCCAAGAATGTAGTGAGAAGAAGTTGGACTTCCTACTGAAGTGAAGCCAATGTACATATACTCACGTAGATACGAAGAAAGATCTTTCCGCAACGAAAACAGAGGAGTCTTAGGCTTAGAAATCTGAATAGAATGCATTGTAACATCAAGCTTTTTAGTTGAGTTGTTATACTCAATCCATACCTGTATTGGCTTCCCACTTGCAATATCTAGATTTACAAATCTACCATCATCTTTGTAATAACCAGCCGAACAATTTCTACCCGTTTCCGTCCTATCGACATTGATACCAACGACGTTTACATCTTCACCATCCGTTTTCTCGCTTTTAGCGGTATGGAATTCAACCGAAACAGAACGGTTAGAGGAAGAGGAGGGGTCGATGTTTGGAACAGAATTTAAGCCTTTTGTAGGAGAGATGTTGAAGGAAAGTCCACAACCCGCGATTGTTTTACGGACTGCAACGATGGCGAAGACAAAAGTGGTGGAAAAGGACGAAACTGCGCCTGTTGCTGAGTTCTTGAACTGGAGTGGGAACTGGTAAAGAACTTGGCCAGCTCCACCTTGTGTCTTTGAAGTTATAAGTTTGAACAAACCGTCCGGGTTTAGATCTGCAACTCCATCGGTATATAAGTAACCGTTGAAGCTAAACTGTCCACCGGTTGGATCTAAGCCTTGAGAAATTGAAGCCATGTAGAAGAAGAAGAGAAAGAATAACAACAACTTCTTCAGAAACAGAGACATGATTGATTAAATTGTGTTGGAAATATGTGGAATGGTTAATTTGATTACTTTTAGTGTGTTATTTATAAGCATTAACGTAAACTTTGATAATACTATTATCTTAATAAAGATTGGTCCATGTTAAACACGTTCCTCTTCTTGGCTACGCGTTGCTATTGAGGAAAAGGCAGAGAAAGTGTTGTGAACTAGTAATTAATATAAAGTTACCATTTTGCTTTAAAGCTAAAATTATTAAAAAGTTGGAAACAAATAATGATAGCTCCAACTTCCTCTAAGTATATGTTTTTGTTCATATACAAAAATCAACTCCTACTTCCTTTAAAAAAGCTTCTGTTTTTGTTTACCCAAATTGAGAAATTTTAAAAGTCAATAAAGATGGATAAAAAGTTCACACCATATAGTCTTTATAACGTCTTAAGTTTCATATTTACAAGCATCATCAAATTGTTTAGTGTTAGTCCATAGAGATTTGAAAGTTTCTTGCTTTATCCATAAATTTAGTATTAGTTGATAGATAAACAAAAAAAAAGAGCTATGTTAGGTGAAATACTAACTCCTACTTCTTCTAAAGCTTTGAGAAAAATCAAAAATTCAATAAAGCTAAAATTCACACTATATATAGTGTATAATGTTCACTTTCACATTTACAATTGAATTTACAATTATCAAACAATTTAATATTAGTTATTTGATAAACAAAAAAGAGCTATGTTAGGTGGGATATATATGTACTATGTGAAAGTTAAAGAAGACATGTTCATAAACATGGAAAGGTCTTAAAGCATAATTGTTTATGTAAAAGGAACAAATTATACTCAAGTCCAATGCCTTGGACTGTTAAATCTATCAACAATTCAATATCTTTCAATGAAAATCAATACCCAAAATGATTCTACTATTTAGTATTTACAAATAACAAATCTGGACTCTCACATATCGGAATCCGACCCACCTGAATCATTCCAGGCTCTGACCGACATGAAATTCGGAGGCAAAACTGGGAATTTCACGGCATTCCGCTGCGAAGAAGGCGATACCGGACTCCCAATCTTTCTCCTCTGCATATTCCGCATAATCTCTAAGCATACTTTATCAACCATGGCAAGAAAATCTCTAACAATAACAAATAAATGAAGTGGATTCTTCCCCTTTGTAACAGCTCCTGCTTGATAATAATCCGTTGTACGTTTCACAAGCTCCATTACTTTCCTCTCTTCATCTTTCGACATTTTTACCTCTTCCTCTACTGAATCAAGAAACAACATCATCTTCTTTACAAACCTCCCTCCTCCATCTTCACATTCTGCAATCACAGTTTTCGCGTCTTTCGCTCTAACCGCAAGAGCAGAGCAAGTTGCAACAACCGTGTCATAGTCTACACTAGCAGCTTTCTTGACGTTTGAAAACTCAGAGCTCAATCCTCCAACAATTGGTAAACCAAGCTTCAAATACTCTTTCTCTTGCTCTTCTTTCGACATAACCTGAGGACTATTACCACCATTGTTGTTACTACTACCGCTTCGTGTTAAGCTATGGCTTCTTCTATTCAAAACACAACGTTTTCCTTCCGATCTAACAACTTCCTCCACTACAAAGTTAAGCAAAGTAGTCTTCCCATCAACACTTTTAACATCCGAAAGTTTCAAAAGCGCGATTAGATTGAACGCTTGAGCATTTCCTCTCGCGGTACCCGCATTCATTCTGTTTCCAGCTTTAAGTATAGCCTCCAAAAGCTTCACAAACAAGCCACGAGACCTCAGCTCTTTACAAGCCAAATCCAACGTTTGTAGACATTTTCCATGATGAGACATCTCTGGATAATAATTAGCTCTAAAGAGAAACGCGTTTAGTCTAGTAAACGCGGTTGGCACGGATTTAAGAAGATGAAACAAAAACAATTCCGCATCAGCGAGTTTTGCCGTGTCGCCTTCGAATTCAAGAATCGCTGATTGTTCTTCTTTAGTCGGAGCTATTCTAGCTAACCTCTCAAGCGTGTCTGGCACGAAATCGTTTCCTTCTACGAGTGCTTCAACAAGCTCTTCTCGTGTCATACCTAACGATTTAAGCACAATCGCTGTGTTTTGAGACTTTCTCGGATCAAGTATGAATATTTGCGTTGATTTAGGGTTTTTATCATCGCCGTGTTCTGGTGATTTCTTCCCCACGGCAACGTATCCAAACAGAGCTTCCATTAAATCGCCATCGAAACTGAGAAGAAACCAAAAAAAATTAAAAACCCTAACTTTTGAAATCGATTTGTGTAAGTGTATACATACCTGAATGATCCACGATCGATTTTGTCCCAAACCATTGAATGATCAGAATCAGGGTTTACTTTATCCCAATGTAAAGGCTTTAGCTTTACTTGTTTCGAACTCTCTCCTTTAACCGGCGCAGGAGGTGGTTTCGAAGCTGATGATGATAAAGCTCCGACCTTTTTCACCGGTGGAGGTGGTGGTGGCGATGGTGAAGAACCCTTCTTCATCGGAGGAGGTGGCGGTGGCGTTGGTGCACTCTGTTTCACCGGAATTGACGGTGGTGGCGGTGGTGGTGTTGGTTCACTCTGTTTCACCGGAATTGGCGGTGGAGGCGGGTGATGATCTTCGTTATGGATTACACTGTGAGAAGTAGATGATCTTCCTCTAAGAAGAGGAATCTCTGTAACAGGTTCTGTTTTCTTCTTGTTCTTGTAATAAATCACCTCTTTGTCATCTTCTTCTCCGGTGATGATCTGTTTCTTGAAACTCCCACTTCTGTCTCTCTGACTCTGTAGCTTTCTCCAATACAACACATCAAGACCGTTCTCGTCAAGGATCAAACCTTTCACACCACCAAACCGCGTGAAACCTTCTCTAGCTAAAGTCGTCGTCGTAACCGCCGCGGACGTCATCGGAGGAGGAGGATACGGTGGTAAATTGTTCTCCACGCTGACTGGCCCGACTCTGTCTCTCCTCCGTCGTGCGATATGCATTTTTGGAGACAGAAGAAGAAAACTCCAGCTACAAGTATAGTGCTTGCTGCTGTTATGAGAACAGCTTTTGTGATTGTTTTTCTATCAGAAGATGAATTATTTGACGGCGGAGACGGGTTTGACGACGGTGGAAGCAGCGGTGGTGGAACAGGGGAGAGTGAGGAGATGGGGAAGAAAGTTTCGATATTTTGAGGAGAATCAGATTGAGAAAATGAATGGAATGGTAAAACGACTATGAAGAAGAAGAAAATTAGGGTTAAATAATGAGGCCATGGATGATTAAACATGGCAGCCATTAACGATCTAGCTCATTTAGAGAGATATAGAGATCATTAAGGAAGCAAAAAAAATGAAAATTATAGTTACGTCTTTGTTTCTCTTCAAATAACAAATACGTTTTAAGGATAATTTTAAATACTGTAAATAAATATTCGTTTTTGGTAGGTTTTGGTTTTAATGTGGAGTTGAAAGCAGAGATTAGTTGATCTGTTCTTCGAACTTCAATCTTCATCTTCCCGGGTCGGTGATAAATTTTGTGATATGACGAAAGTACCCTTGTTAGTGGGATTGGTTTGTACGTAAATATAAGGGTGTTTTAGGTAGTTTGACTACAATCGTTTTCGTGAGATTGACTTCTATGGAGCTGGTGCGGTTGATGTGTTATCGTTGACATTGTCCAAAAGTAGTGGCGTTGCTTATTTTTTGTGTTCTTTCTAGAAATATTTTGACGTCTCGGAAGTCTAAACTAAAAGCCAAAAACATTCCCATTTAGATACGATTTCATTTATTATTAACTTAGAAGAAAGTTCAAATTTCTGTTTTCTATGGGAAATTAAATGAATTCACATTTGATGAAATCGACAAAATGTGGGTTTGCAAGTTTGGAACTTGGGAACGTTATAATGGATTGGATTCACATATTTCATTCAATGCAATAATGTATACTTGGGAAATTCAATTCCTTAGAACTAACTAATACCGAATACCAAACGAATGGATAAACTCAATTGAATTCATGTATATTATGAATAACTTGACATCTTATTTTTCTGAGTAAATAAATATACGGGTTTCCTAAACTTTAGTATATTGTATCTTTATCTGAATATATAATTTCCAACGTAATCTCAGTCGGTCAAAGGAATAAGGAATGAAATCCATCAATGATAGTGGATCATCACCATTGCTAGACTACATACATACTTTTATTAAGTAACTCCGACTAATTTCTAACCAACATCTTTGTTGGAAACTAGTCGAAATGTATCTATGTAGGACACGTGTAAAATCAACACATTTTTGACGGTTTTCCAATGAACTTTCTACCAGTTTCCGACTAATATAATTTCGTTGGAAATTTTCAACAGAATTCCGACGAATTTTTTCAATCAATTTTCCGTTATAAAATTTTCGACCATAGTTTTGTCCCTCTGAATTTTAACGGAAATTATTCGAAAAAACGTCAAAAAAAAAATTGACGTTATATATGCTATGTGTTCTTGTATTAAAGGGAAAAAAAATTCGTCAAAAAAAACTTGTGTACAAAATAAAAGGATGATATTATTTGAAAGATTAGCACAAAATACAGAGATATTAAATGAATCCATATTTTATTACATATTTGTTTTTTTTTTTTTTTTTTTTATTAAAGATTACCGAAACGGCAATCAGAAAATTGAAGGATACAAGATCATTTAAAGTAAATAAAGTTGAAAACCGAATCATCCGCTTCGGTTGAAATTTAAGATATTAAGTGGACAACTAGCCACAACCACCGTTCCCGCGTCCTCTCCGACCACGATGTCCACGTCCGCGGTTACCTCTTCCGCGAGCAATGGAGGAAGCTTGTACCTCCATTGCTTTGATGGATGGTTGAACCGGTCTTTCACGCAGTATCCTTTGCCCAGAAGGAGTCATAGAAACCAGCAGATCAAACTCGTTGTCTGAATCATCTGAGACACTAGAGTCTCCATCAGAATGAGTTCGATGCCCATCCGAGAACGAGGAGCCCAAGCGGCTAAACCTGTTTCCAGGAAGCATAATAGATTCCTCACGTTCAAATAGTCTTACATTATCTTGTGCTTCTTCAGTATCCATACGTATTTCAGCAATGGAAATAGTGTCAGTAACAAGTTCAGCTTCAACATTTGTATGGCACTCTGCCACGCTGTTACAAATTTCAACTTCTTGAATTGGCGCAACTTCAGGGTCTATGGTTGGATCAGCAATGACTTCTGAAACCACAATTACCGGAGTGATGATGGTACACAAATTGGTAACACCTTCCTGTGACATAATTGGGTTCATACAACGGGAAGCCTTATGCCCTAACTGTCCACAATTTCCACATTTCGTTGGAATCCAAGAGTATTCCACGTTAATCATAAAAATGTTACCCTTTTTATCTGCGGCAGCAATCCTAGGAGGAAATGCTTTACTTAGTTCCACTTCCACCAGAATCTTTGCCTCACCCATGAGAGAAGGATCAAGTCTTGGTTTGTAAGTAGCCATAGGAGCCCCCAGACCCGACGCAATATGGCTAATTCCAGAAATGGAATACAACCTGTGAGGGATATTTTTCAGAGTAACCCAGACAGGAATAGTCGATATCGCAGGAATATCAAAAGTCTCTGCAGTAGACCAAGGAGCTACAAACATGAGACAATCATCAACATGCCATAATCCTCTTTGAAGAACCCAAGCTCTTGTCGAAGCATCCGGGATGTGAAAGAGGAAACTTGAATCACTTAGTTTCCGGGAAAAGATTCTACACTTCCTTCCCCAAATTCTATTGACTACCGCATGAACCAACCCACCAGGAGGAGGACTACATCTATAGAACTGACCTATGACATATTCCTTTTGGTTCTCTAGACCTTGCATCATGACATGACTTGGGATCGTTACCTTTGGAGTTCCGTCTTCCAAGTATTCCGGTGAAGTAGCTCTGTAGAGATTTCTCGCTGCTGGGTCCATTTTAGCCGCCCAAGGAAATCTTAAATTATCCTCCTCTGAGGAGTCAGGAGGATAGTTTTTAGGAAGAGGAGCTCTTCTCCCATCTTGTTGAGAAACCGAAGAATTGGTGATTCTCAGCTTCTTTGCCCAAGCTCCTTTAAGAGGTGGCTGAACATGTGGACCCGAAACAGAAGGTATTTCGGGAATCATACTAGAAACTGGGAAAGAAGAGCCATGAGGTAACTGTGACGTGGGTTCCTCCGGAGCCTTCACAACCAAACTAGTTTGTGGCTCGGCTATGATTGGACTTATCGGAGCTGTCGAAGATATTGGAGACTCTGCTGTTACTGGAGATTTTGATTTCAAACAGAAGAAATCAGTAATCTTCCGTGGAGAAGAACCAACCAAAACAGGCGAGGGATTGGTTCTTGTTGACTCCGCCGGTGAAGGTTCACCAACCAGCGGACTACCTGTGGCCTGCTGAGGAGGTTGCAGCGATGGAGGAGACTGGGTCCACTGATTCTGCATCGCCCATCGAGGACCAGGAGCTCCAACTGCGACATCAGCTTCAACGGGAGTGCCGTGAGAGGAACCTGAAACATTCGCAACAGGAGCTATTGACTTCGATTTCGGAACAAACTCAGGGTTCTTCATCTCTTCCGAGCCAACCAAGGGGGTTGTTAGTCGCGGAACAGCCGCCGGTGAAGATGGAGTTGCGATAGGGCAAACCAGAGCTTGAGATGGAGTTATCGTCAAAGAACCGGACCTGCTCCAACGATTGAGGAGAGGCCACCGCGGATCTGGATCGCCGGCGACGACCGCGTCACCTGGAGAACCCGCTTCCTTCTTCCCGTGAGAACCAGAGACCGACTTCATCCAGCTTCTTGTGTGCTAAATCGACCAATAGAACACTCGCCGATGTCTGGAATGAAGAGTCGACGACGACGATTCCGCAAAGGATGCGGTTCGCCGGAGATTTTGAATCGGAGTTTGTTTTGTCGCGACGGAGGGAGGGAGAGCTTTTTTCGTCGCGCGTGGTGATTTTCCTTATTACATATTTGTTGTATATTCCAACATCAAAGTAGAATGATGAATTACTTCATAAGAAAAAATTTACTCCCTCCGTTCTTTAATAAGTGATGTTTTAAGCTTCTAATTTTGTTTTCAAATAGATGATGTTTTTAATTTTCAATGCAATATTAATTACGTTTTTATTAGTTTTGACGATTTATATTCTGTAGATTGGTTTTTTATTGGTTGATTAAATAATAAATGATGTTTTAGTTTAGAATTAAACAAAAAATAAATGATTTCTTAATTTATGTGCATTCTCCTAAAACATCACTTATAAAAGAACGGAGGGAATATATTAAAGGCTTATCTTCATATACCTAGTTAGGTTTACGAAAAACATTAATTTTTATACCAATCATACATGGGCTCTCGCAGTCCATTGTTTTTTTCTAAGTAAATGTCATCGTTTTTGGCAATCCATAAGCGTATCTGATGAAATCGTCGGACATTGGCTCCTCTATATGCTCTCCATAAAATATGATGATACTCACCTTGTCTCAAAAGACATTTCCATATTGTTCTTGAAAATGAACTCTCTCCAAAACTCCATTCAACGCTATAATTTAATGTCACATCTTTAACTTCTGTATTGTCGCCTTTGGATGCAATTAACTTTGAGAATACTTCCAGGATTGAGTTCATTTCGAATTCGTAAAATGTTATCATTTGGTACTGCCCCTTCATTCAAACAAAAACACATCAAACTGATTAACAGAAAAATAATGAGTTGATTCATTTTTGGAATCTAATTTTTGGTGTAATATGAATCTAAAGGCATCATAGTGTGTATATATAGTTTTATTGGTGACACTTTCATTTGTTTAATGAATAAATTTATTAAGAATTTTAGTTAATTTTAGTTTTAGTGGTCAGCATTAATCTTCAAAGTTATAATTCATAATCTTATTGATTGACCTTCATTTTCGACACTAAATGCTCCTTCGATCATAGATTTAGCTGGTTCATATTTATGTGTAAATTTAGTTACTACTTTAATCATTGAAGCTTTTCACCCCACACACACAAAAAAAACCCCTATAAATTTTTAACAAAACAAAAAAAAAGCCCTATAAATGCTACACTTCGACGCCTTTTAGTTTTACATTATTCCAAAAGATACTTTATATCCAAAAATGAATCATCTTATTATTTTTGTACTAGTTATTACTATGTGTTTTGGTTTGAATGAAGGTATTGTGTGTAGTGATCCTAATAACCAGAATCCACGATGTGGAGGTGCGGGTTGCCGCCTAAACACTTTAGAATTACGAAACGAACTCGGTCGGGGTAATATTCTCAAAGTCGATTGCACATCCAACCAAAACAAAAAAACAGGTCCACAAGTTGTGAAATTCAATGAGTCATATGCTTTTAGCTTTGAAGAGGTTCATGCCAAAAGAATAGTATGGGCTTGTCACTTGAGGCATGGTCCCAAAGGTGAGTATTATCAGAGCATATGGAGAGCATACAGAGGAGCCGCTAAGAAAAGATGTGCTCAAATACGTACATGGGTTGCCAAAGTTGATGGTATTTACTTGGTGAGAAATGCTGAACCAAAGGGGCATCAATTTGTATGGCTTAAATCATAAGTGCTTTATTTATTATTTTGTCTTTCTTGTATTACTAAATCATCATTCTAATATTGGGGGTTTAGAATTATATACATATCAACCATCATATGTCATTTTCACGTTCTTCATCTTATATCATCTTCATCCATCAATGAGAAACAAACAATACAGAGAGTCTCAAGGCTAAAACAAAATGGGCCTTACGATTAGAACAAAACTGGGTCTTACGATAAGAACCAAATGGGCCTTACGATTACAACAAAATGGGCCTTTAAGTGTAAAGTGTTTGTGGAGATTCTTTAATAGTACTACTTTTTTCGTCCCGGGAAGAAACGGCGGTTGTCTTGGTCGCCGACGGCGGATGGAGTGTGCCGCGCGTGGGTTTGCAACGCGGTGCGTTGGTCCACCGACGCGGAGGTGTGGCCAGTGTGGTTCTGTAGCGTATTGCTCCGTCTCGCATCAGGTTTTAACTTCTGTGCTTACTCTCTTAAGACTTCTTCTTCTGTGATAATTTGATCGATCTCTTGTAGCAAATTAGGATGTTACGAGCCATGAAATTGAGGAAGCATTGAATAGTTTCCGTGTTGAATTTAGTGGATATTGATTTGTTTGTAGAGTTCACATTGGAGCTATCACAAGGAAGAATGTGAGAGATTAGAAGAGCAAATGCGTCGTGTTGATCTGTTAAATGATTTTCCATTTACATTTACAGAAGAAGCTACAATTCAGGTTTATGATCACTTTGAATGATAAGGAGGAATATAGTTCATGCAAATTCAGCTCAAAGTTTTAGTTTTTTTCGTCTATTCGTTCTCAGGTTAGTCAAAAACATGAGACTAGGTGCTCGTTTCTCTGTAAACGGGAGTTACATCGTGTTGGAATGTGGATGTATGAGTGTAACTGTGGAGCTTCTGCCCGTTTTTCGGCTTTCGATAGGTTTCATCGCTTATCTTTTCTCTTTATATAATGAGAATCATGTTTTGTTTTGAAGCCATGTTAGATTGTGCTGATTACTATCTTTTTTCTTACAGCTTTAATAATGACGGTTGGCATCTGCCGAGCTCTTCTTGTCCATGTCGCGGTATGCTTCATTGTACTTATAAGTTTATGGTATTAGTGATAAGAGTTTTTCCTATAGAATTCTGATTTGGGATCACACAGGTCCTTTATCTCCAGTAACAAAACAGCTATGTAGTTGGACTGATTATTCCGAATGGAGAAAGATACCTCTTGATTCTCCTGTGGCTCTACTTCTCCACTGGGTAACATTTCTTCTGATGATTATTGTGATTGCAAGTATGACTAGAATGCTTGAGGTTTTATTTTTATTGAGTCGTAGAGCTTGCTGTTATTTCAGCCACTTACGATATATCATGCAATTCAAGCCATTGGGTTGGGAAATTTAACTCCCCAAATAAGTAATGAACTTCGTATACATTATCTTGGTAAGTTTCATTCTGTAACTCTTCCGCATTTTTAGGAACTGGGATATGGAAACTATATAGATATTTCAAAAGATGCACCAGAGAAACTATGGTATAATTTCTGATATATCGTTTGCTGATAGTTTTGAGCTTCTGAAGGCCCTCAGAAAGAGCTTGGCCAACTTGGTGTCTTCACTGAGCTGCAAGCCCTCTTCCCTGGTCTGCGCATACACGTAGAGCTTGTTGGACCTGACGTTCCACAACATATGTCAGTCCTGAATTCCACAATCTATTTGATTGTTTTGTATAACACTCGTTATATTTTAGTTACGCAAAATAAATTACATCACATGATGTGTTTTGCTTTTATACCACTATTCATTAGAGTTCTTAAATCTGTTCAACGGCAATGTTGTAGCTGTTTTTCTTTGTATGTGCTGGCATAAATCTGATGGACCGTTCTCTTTTTGCTCTCTTGGTGAACAGGGATGGAGAGATGATCTCACTTAGCAAATATTCCCCTTGCACGGAAGAAGAATGCGAATGTAATTATTCAAGCGAAATTTCCGGTAGCGAATCTGCCTGCTCTCCAGCTGTGTCGTTACAGCTCCATAGAGGATTTTACCATGATCGTTACACCGACATAACAAAGGTATTACTTTCTACTCGTCTAGGGGAAAACAGTAATCTACAATACTGTTCTCAAATATCATATCCATTTTATTGGACCTTTGAGTTGTTTTGATTTCTGATTGACCATCTTGTGTGGGCAGAATTCACCTCCTCCTCACATAGTGATTGCTCCAAATGCTGGCGTCGCTGCATATCCAAGTTGGTTGCCAACTATTGTATGTTTTTCGAGTAGCTGATGATCACATTCGTCATTTCTAGATTTGTTATTCATTCATCAATTGGTGTTAATAATTTCAGGAACTGATAAAGGAGATAAAAGTGCCAGCAGTATTCTCTGATTACTGTGAAGAAGCTTGTCATCTGGCGGCTTGTTGCATTAAAACCATCACAGGACAACCTATATCATTACCTGTAAGTCTAGATTATAGGTTTATTATTATCCTATTTAACTTATTCAAACCTATGTTTTTTGTTGTGTGGGTTCCTCCTGCATATAGTCAGGCTTATGTCTCATCAAAACTGTTTTATGTATAATAGAGATTCGTCACATACACTATATAATAAAGTTGAAGGAGACAAAAACATCTCTTTTTTTCATCATCTTTGGGGCCACAGAAACAGACACTATAATGTCCAGTTCTCCAATGAACCTTTGTTGGAAAATGATGTTTTTGCAGAGAAACTATATACTTTTTCTTATATATTCATATTCATATTTATCTTTGAAATGCAGATTCAGTTGAATCCATTTAGACAGCCAATGGCAGTGGAGGAGAGTCCTCTGTTTATTCCTTGCTACTCAAACTGCTTCATCTTCGCAATGTAAAACTCTCCAAACTTATTGATCGACTCTGTGGTTTGGTGTTATGTGCTGGGAGGGATCGGACCGGTCTATGGACCAACATTATCTATACAATGAATGTAGAAAATGTCACATCATTTGGTTTTTGGTTGTTGTAGTTATTTATGTGGATAGGACCATCAAGTGCATACATACAATCATTGTAGTCTTATAAATCTTAGGTCAATATTTTTATCCCATCATGTAGTCGCATTATTCATTTCTAGTGAAACTTTGCAATTATTTTTGTCAGATACCGAACATGAAAAGCAATTGAACATGAGTACCGAACCTTGAATTACAAATCCGGTTATGGATCATGCCAAGTTCGTGTCTACGTGGAAGATGAAACCAAAGCAAAGAATCTTCAAACTTTTGTTTCTAAGAAAAGTCTAAACCAGTTAGTCTATTTCTTCCACATCCAAAACTAAATATTTTATCTCCCACAAAGTCCAATTTTCCAAAAAAAATCCAATACACAGAGAGGGAGAAAAAAAAAGAACTGAAACATCCCAAATGGATCATCTTCAACCATAACAACACGAAACCCTCTTCTCCAAAATCCCCAAAATCTCGAAACAAAGTCTCAAAATCATCCGATCACGAATGTCTCAAAACTCATCATCACATCAGTCTCATACCTTCTTCTTCCTCTTATGTCTTCTTCTAGGTTTAGGTTTTTGCGTTGACCTAGGTCAATCCTTAAAGGTTCCTTTCAGCGTTAACGATGTTCTTCCGATGCTACCTCGTCAAGTCTCGTGGCCTGTTTTGAACAGTTTCCACAACGCTGTGGATTTGTTGCCGGTCTTTATCGGGTCTGTTACTCCTAATAATGTGTCTATTGAGTGGAAAGGTGCTTGCTTTAATGGTAATGAAGCTCGTCTCGATATCACCGGTAGTGATCGTGACGTCCCTGGACTCGGTGGTGGTGTTCTTCATCTCAAAGTTGGTTAATTTCACTTTCTTCTTCTTCAATTTGTTCTTGTTTTTGCTCCCTAATACTATGATTTGTCTTCTTGAGTCTAAAGTGTTGTACTTTCAAATCTTCTATGCTCAGATTTCGTAAAGTTTTTGCCTTTTTTTGGTAACTAGTGAAAATTCAAAATTGGGAGAATGTTGTGTAGTTGCTGTTTGAAATTGAGTTGTTTTGATGATATTTGGGAACTTTTTTGCAGACGTCCAAGGCACATAGCTTGACATGTATGGATCTTTATGTGTTTGCAACGCCATATAGGATCACTTGGGACTACTATTTCTCTGCTCGAGATCATACTTTGAACTTTGATTCTTGGGAAGAGAAAGCTGAACTGGAATATGTAGGTTTTTGTTTTAGTTAATGTTCTTTATATCGTCTTTAGAGGGTTTGTGGTGTTTGTTTTCGTGGTGATTTATTATGTGGTACTTCGATGAGTAGGTGAAGGAGCATGGAGTTTCAGTGTTTCTAATGCCATCAGGAATGCTTGGGACGTTGCTTTCGTTGATTGATGTGTTACCTCTTTTCTCCAATACTGCTTGGGGACAGAGTGCGAATTTAGCGTTCTTGACGAAACATATGGGTGCTACGTTTGAGAAACGGTCTCAACCTTGGCGGTCAATGATTAATCCGGAAGATGTGAATTCTGGCGATTTCTTGGCGGTGTCAAAGATTCGAGGTAGATGGGGTGGTTTTGAGACGTTAGAGAAATGGGTGACTGGGGCTTTTGCTGGTCATACTGCTGTTTGTTTGAAGGATGATTTGGGGAATCTTTGGGTTGGTGAATCGGGACATGAGAACGAAAAGGTAGACTTATCTTTGGAGAAATTTCCTAAACATGTTGTGGTTTTTCGATAGAGAGACAGATATATTAACTCTCTCTCTCTCTCTGTGTTTTCTCATAGGGTGAAGAAATCATTGTTGTGATTCCTTGGGATGAATGGTGGGATCTGACGTTGAAGGATAATTCAAATCCTCAAGTTGCGTTGCTTCCTCTACATCCTGATATCCGGGCAAAGTTCAACAATACTGCTGCGTGGGAATATGCCCGTAGCATGTTGGGCAAACCGTATGGATATCACAACATGATATTCAGCTGGATCGACACTCTAGGCGATAACTACCCACCTCCCCTTGATGCTCACTTGGTACTTTTTAATCTCTGATATTCTTAAAGATATATCGTCATTAATTCATTATAATTCATAAGTGACATTGAACTTTCAGGTTATTTCTGTCATGTCTATGTGGACTCGTGTACAACCCGCATATGCTGCAAATATGTGGAACGAGGCACTGAATAAACGACTCGGTACTGAGGTACATATCTATACATTACAAAAACCAGTTTCTACTGGATTAGGAAATACAGGCTAACTAATAAGTTTCTGTTGTACAGGATCTGGATTTGTATGGGATACTTGAAGAAACAGCGAGGCGTGGAATGTCATTTGATGAATTACTCACCATCCCTGAACAGGATGAGTGGGTTTATAGCGATGGGAAATCAACAACATGTGTTGCTTTCATCCTTGCAATGTACAAAGCCGCTGGTGTATTCGGCCCTCTCGCTGATCACATTCAAGTCACTGAATTCACTGTGCGTTTCTTTTTGTCCTTTCCAATATCAAGTCTTTCCATTTAACATTACTCTTGAGCGTTTATCTTCTTTGGTATTCTCAGATCCGAGATGCGTACACTCTGAAGTTATTTGAGTCTAACCAGACTCGGCTACCGAGTTGGTGCAACACAGAGGAAGAGAAGCTTGACTTCTGTCAGATTCTAGGTGAATACAGAATGGAGTTACCTGGTTATAACACCATTGACCCATATCCAAACATGAACCAGAATTGCCCTTCTTTGCCTCCTAATTATGAGAGGCCTTCTAAGTGTTAGCAAAATTATTAATTAACATGTATGTCTCTCTCTCTGTCTGTTTGTGTTTGTATACTTTTGGTTTATTATTTAAGTTTACCCTTTTAGTTAGAGGGAAAGTAATCCACGTTTTAAGTACAATCTTGTGTGAATGTGAATATATTATATGATGCTCTAATCATATTCAATGTTATCTCCTTAGTCTCTTCGTTGGTACAATTGTAAGAATTTGTCAACAAAATCTTTGGAAACAATGTATTTAAATGGACCAACGTTACCTTACCTATGATTATGTATTAATTACCAGGAAGCTATCAACTTATGACGTCGTTAAAAACGTGTAAGTCGAAGATTCGTTGATGACTTTTCCGACCAAACTAACTCCCACTTGAAAACTAAAAAACACAAAACTTAGTTCAACGCCTTTGTTTGACTGCGCCACCTTCAGTTCCATCAAACCGGTTAACATAGTAAACCGGATCCAAGTCTTTCTGTGGCACAAGTCTTCTTCTCTTTTGATGACCTCTGCTAAAGTTTGAACGTGACTAAGACCAATAGATGTTTCCATTGGAATCATTCACCATTTTTATTCTTATAAAAAAACACTAGAAAATTGACAAAACACGCAAACGATTCCCAACGACCTCTCACCCGCCAACACAAAACGCAAACGTAGTAGCTGACCTCAATTTATATATCTTATATTTAAATAACATCTTCTAAACGGATTTACCTGTTTTTAGCTTTAATCTCTCTTCTCTCTCTCTCTCTCTCAAATTCTCTCCTAAAATCCTAAATATTACCTTCTCCATTTGTTTCTTTTCTTCTTTTTTGGGTGGCTACCTATAATCCGAAAACCACCATGAGGTTTTGTGTTTTCGGGTTTTTATCGCTTTTCTTGATTGTTTCTCCTGCCTCCGCCTGGTTCTTCCCTAACTCCACCGCGACACCACCGTCTCTACGTAACACTACACGTGTTTTCTGGGACGCTTTCTCCAATTTTACCGGTTGTCACCACGGCCAAAACGTTGAAGGTCTCTACCGCATCAAAAAATACTTCCAACGTTTTGGTTACATCCCTGAAACGTTTTCAGGAAATTTCACCGATGATTTTGATGATATCCTCAAAACAGCTGTTGAATTGTATCAGAGGAATTTCAAGCTTAACGTTACGGGAGAGCTCGATGCTATGACCATTAAACACATCGTGATCCCGCGTTGTGGTAATCCCGACGTGGTCAACGGTACTTCTTTGATGCATGGCGGGAGAAGAAAGACCTTCGAGGTCAACTTCTCCCGCACGCATTTGCACGCGGTTAAACGCTACACGTTGTTCCCAGGCGAGCCACGGTGGCCAAGAAACCGCCGTGACTTGACCTACGCGTTCGACCCGAAAAACCCCTTGACAGAAGAGGTCAAGAGCGTGTTCTCACGCGCTTTCGGCCGTTGGTCGGACGTCACCGCGTTGAACTTCACGCTTTCCGACTCTTTCTCGACGTCCGACATCACAATCGGATTCTACACCGGCGATCACGGTGACGGCGAGCCTTTCGACGGCGTTTTGGGAACCTTAGCTCACGCTTTCTCTCCTCCTAGCGGGAAATTCCACCTAGACGCAGACGAGAACTGGGTGGTCTCCGGAGACCTAGACAGTTTCCTCTCCGTAACTGCTGCGGTTGATCTTGAATCGGTAGCGGTTCACGAGATCGGTCATCTTCTCGGTTTAGGACATTCGTCAGTTGAGGAATCCATCATGTATCCAACGATCACGACGGGGAAACGTAAGGTTGACTTAACCAATGATGACGTGGAAGGAATCCAATACTTGTACGGCGCGAACCCTAACTTCAACGGCACAACATCTCCACCGTCGAGTACTAGACACCAGCGAGACACTGGTGGCTTCAGTGCCGCCTGGAGAATCGACGGTTCATCGAGATCGACAATTGTCAGTCTCTTGATGTCAACCGTCGGATTGGTCTTGTGGTTCTTACCGTAGATAAAGTTTTTTTACTTACTTGAATTCTTTTAGTTTGATTTAATTTACCTCATATCTTATTCTTTTTTTATTGAAGGATGAGGATATATATACACACATATTCAGACATTGGTTCCTTTAATTTCTATAGTTTTCGATTTCACATATACTACTTGTATATAAATTACTTTATGTCCTATATACCAATGTTTGATCTCGTGTTTTACATTTTCTTAGCTTTGTTTATTATATAGATTACCTTATGTCCTATACCCAAAACGTTTCAGCGTTCTTGTGTGTGAATCCTTGAAGCTTGGGTGTCCTAAACTTATCACAGATCTTCCATCTTTTGTGTGGCGTCTCTCGATCCATTGTTACGTTCTACTCATCAATCATCCCCTAGAAACTTCAAAGAATGACCTTAGTCCAGTTGAAGAGTCTCCATCGATTTAACTCTATTCCATCACCCGTGTGCTTGAGTCTGTTGAGAGTGATTTCTGTGCAGCAACAAGTTAACCATCGTTCATCACTTTAGGATCTATCACCTCTATTATCGTCTGAGAAAACTTTGTTTTGTATTGGAGATACTTCTCTTGGATTTTTTTAATTTTATTTTTCCTCGTATGATTGCAAATTAGAACTTTGACTCTTTTCTTGGACAAACGGGATGGATCCCACTCCTAATCATCGTCCCTTCTTGATTACCACTTCCTGAAAATATTTAAATTTGTATTGTAAGTAATTAAAAACGTAATAGAAATATATGAATCTCATGAACTCTGTTATATACTCGTTACTAATAATATTTCACGTCGCTTCATCCTCATGTTTGTACATCCACTTCCTAACTATACAAGTGGTGTTATTATGAAGCAGAGGTAGATATATATAATATATATATATATTTTTTTTAATTCAAATTTCTTATTAAGCATCAGGAAGCAGAGGTAGATATATATAATAATCTTTTCTGAGGACATAAATCATTAAAAATTTGTCGGGATCATTTATTACAGAATAAATTTTAAATAAAAAGATTTTTGACGAAATCTATTTTCGATAATTGCCTATCCGTTTTGTCAAAAATTCGTCGAAATATATCCTACATGTAACGACTACACTTTTCCGACTAATTTCCAACCAACACCTTTGTTGGATATTAGTTGGAATGTATCTATGTAGGAAACTTGTTAAGCTAACTTAACAGTTTTTCTCATGAAATTTCTACCAGTTTTCGGTAATATAATTTCGTAGAAAATACTAACGAAATTCTTCGAACAATTATCCAACACGTTAAAAACATTTTTACTGCATATATGCTTTTATTAAAGACTAACAATTGAAAAAGAAAATCTTGAAAAAACTTGTATACAAAAGAGAAGGAGAATATTATATAATCTGAAAGATTAGCACAAAATACATAGATATTAAATGAACCCATATTTTATTACATTTTTGTTGTATATTCCAACACCAAAATAGATAAATGATTTACCTCATAAGAGAAAACTATATATTAAAATTTAATCCTCCTAAATAAAGTTAGTTTGAAGAAAAACATATTATGTTTTGTACCAATCATACATGCGCTTACGCGGCCCATTGTTTTTTTCTAAGTAGATGCCATCAACTTTGGCAATCCATAAGCGTATCTGACTATGACGTCTGAACCTGGCTCCTCTATATGCTCTCCAGTCTCCACAAAATATGATGAAACTCCATTTTAGGACCTTGTCTCAAGAGACAACGCCATATTGTTCTTGACATTTTATGCTCACCGAAACTCCATTCAGCATAACTATTGAATGTCACATCGTGAACACCCGTAGTGTCGCTTTTGGATGTGCAATTAACTTTGAGAATACTCCCAAGATAGAGTTCATTTTTAAGTTGTAATTTATTATAACTTGGTACCCCTTCATTCAAACAAAAATACATCAAAATGACTAACATAAAAACAATGAGTTGATTTTTTGAATCTAATTGTTGGTGTAATATTAATCTATAAAGGCATCAAAGTGTCTATATATAGTTTTGTTTGTGACACTTTCATTTGTTTTTTGAATAAATTTCTTAAGGAATTAGCTAAATTTAAACATAAATACTAACCAATTAAGTCTCTGGCTGGAGAATCATTTATTGTCGAGAAGTAAGGTTGGCCAATAAAATTAAAGCAAATGAATTAAAATTAAAAATTTAATGCTTACCACTAAAACTAAATAAACCAAAAGTTAAATGTCTTACAAAAAAAAAAAAAAAAATTAATCCCAAGTTTCTTATTGCAGTGACGCTCATCTCTTTTCCACCAAATGTAACTAACTCTGAAATTGACGGTTAAAATCAAATTTCAATAAACAAATGTAATTAGCCATTGTTGTAGTGTTTGCACTAAAAATCTCAAATCTGGAAGGCATACCTAAAGTATAAATGTTCACAAACCGTAAGTGTAAATACCAAAAAAATTTGAGGAAGCAAAGATGGGTGGACGAAGCTTATCAGATAGTGAATGCTTAGTTAAGTTATAGGACCTATCGGGGTGATAGGACACATAAACCCACATACTTGTTCTCTTTTTTTCCTTAAGTTTAAAGCCATCACACATTTTGAGTTTGTTAAACTTGGCCTCATATCTCGTCAGCCTCGATGTTCCTTGATGCAAATCCAAGAAAGAGCTCTCTTGATGTGTCTTGTAATTTGGTGGTTTTAGTCTTGCACTGGGTTCTTTGTTTCGAGAATTTTGTTGTGTCCAAGTGGACCGGATTTAAAATTTTTAGAACATGAGTTAGATCGAAAAAGTGTGAAGGATTAAAAGTTGAAAATCGAGACAAAGAAATCGTTTAACTTTGTTTGTGATAGATTGATCCCTTTTCTAAGATGCTATATATAAATCAACACATTTTCTCGGTTCTAAAATCGATTTTTCGGATTAGTTTATATATCTATACATGAATAACTTTATAGATTAATAAAATATCACAATCTTATTTTTATTAGTTTTAAAAGATTTTATTATGCTTGGATTTGCTTAATTGTTTTTGATAGATTCCCAAATAAAAAAGGACATGATGATTATAAAAATAAACTATGGGGTCAAACGTGTAAATACTGTATAAATCCAAACCTATCTCGTAAAATTTTCGTTCCGATTGATGAGAGCATGTGAAGCCACTAGATGAGTCAGGTCTCTTTGGTTTCGCACTGCGCAGCACTTTCAAAGCCAAGAGTCCGTCACGAACGTCGTCTTCGTCTCCACCGATTCTTCACGTATTTTAAAACTTTTCCGATTTGTTTTCTCTTTTCCGTTTAAATCTCATCGGAAATTTTTCCCCGGAATATCTGAATAATCGTATCTGTCGATTATACCTTTTTACTCTCTGTGATTTTGAGTAGATTCGGCTTCGTATGATTAGGGTTTGAAGGAGGTGATTGTGGTGTCTTTGGTTCTTCGTGGTTTTGTTTCACTGTAAGTTAGAGAATTGGCTCCAGTTGATATTCCTAGGGTTTTCACAAATGTCGGAAGCTTCGAGACGGAGTAGGGTTACTATAACTCTAGGGCGTAGCGGTCAGGTACGTTGAAGGTTTTTTTTTTGTTCATCTCACTGTTTTTGTGTAAGCTAATTTGATTTGGTGAATCTGGAAAATGAAATCTTTAGAATTGTTTTATTTATGGAGATGAGTTGGTGTAGGATTTATGAGTTTTTGAGTCTAGAAAAGTGCTTATTTTGGTGATGTTTTCTTTTGCAGGTGGTGAATCGAGCTGCAAGTGATTTAGATGATGGTTATGAGTTGCCTAGAATTGGGACTAAGCGGTCTGTCAAAGAAAGATTAGGGAAGCAGTTAGATAGTTCTGTTTATGGTGGAGAAGAGGTGGTCAGTAAAAGGTGTTAACTTTATCCCTCTTATGTGTACTGCTACTGCATATTGAATGTCAAGAGCTTCTTAATTTGTGTTGTTGCTCTTATTGTCATGTAATCTAGGACCTTGTGCTTGGGAATAATTGAGATTTGAGAACTCTGGATGAATGAACTGATGGATTATGCTCTGTGCTTGCTTGTTGCTGCTTGTTGATGAATGACCCTTTTCTTTGTTTATGCAGGCAGAGAGGGGAAGCAAGTTTGAGTGGAAATGGTATAGATGTGAATTACTGGATACACACTAGCACATGTTTGCTGATTTCTGACCCACCCCTCTTTGTTACTAAGATTTGCAGATCAGTCAAAATGATCTCCGATTCAAACTGATGCAAAAGAATGCCCAGAGGCGAGCTCAGAGCGATGAAGGCAGCACTATGGATCTTCGTGAAAAGCTCTCAAGGAGTGAGCAGCCTCCTCGTAGCCTTGATATTAGACCTCGTATGGCTGAGCCGAGGGATCTTCCTTTACCTTCATCAAGAACTGCTCGTGGTTCCTCTCAGATGATTTCATCACGTAGTTCGCATTCTGCATGGGATTTGGAAGATTTAAGACGAAGGTCTCCAGAGAGATTTGTGGATACTTCCAGGGGTCTATCGCCGCCAAGAAATACTGGACGTATCATTGGCATTCCAAGGGCTCCATCCCCCCCAAGAAATGCTGGAAGGGTAATTGGCACTCCAAGGGATCTATCAGCGCCAAGAAATAGTAGAAGGATCATCGCCAGTCCAAGGGATTTATCCCCACCAAGAAATGCTGGAAGGATAATTGGCTCTCCAAGAGACAGATCACCTCCAAGGAATGCTGGAAGGAGATTTGGCGCTCCAAGGGATCAATCACCACCAAGGAGCACCAGAAGCTTCAGTAGTAATTCTAGGGCTCTGTCCCCAGCTAGAAATATTGGAAGCTACATGAGTTCTTCTCGGGGTTTTTCCCCTCCTAGGAATCCTGGAAGCTACATGGGTTCTTCTAGGGGTTCTCCTCCACGTAGTAACATTGAAGATTTTCATGGACGAAGCAGGATGCTTGATGATATGAGAGCATCCCCGTATCCTGTTAGAGGTGTACTAAATGGTCAAGTGCCAGCAAGTGGTGCTCCTTTCGCCAGGCCAATGTTACCTCCTCCAGTCCCAAACCCACATCCATTGCCTCCATTGAGCCAGCTTCCTCCACTTGGAAGTATGATGCAGACCAGTCCCTTCTCTGTAAGATCTTTATTCTTCTTCTCAATTTTTGGATGAATTTACTCTCTTCTTGTTCTTTCTAAACATTGGGTGAGTACTTCATATTTACCTCGTGTCATTCTTAGACCCATAAACCTTTTGTAATCAGATAGTCGAAACTTTATGCCTTGTTCTTATACATATGTTATAATATGGCATGTATATCTGCTTGGTGCAACAACAGGTGGAAGAGCCTCTATCAGTTGATGGCTTTCTAAATTCAATTGGACTTGGAAAATACTCCCTTGCCTTTAAGAGAGAGGAAGTAAGTGTGCCATTATTTTCTTATCGTAGAGCTTTGTGATTTTGGCTATTGTACTAGTGTATGGGTTCTTTGTTGTCTGAGCTCTGTTTTGTCATTGTTCTTCAATAACAAACTTGACTAATATGACAACAGGTGGATATGACCACAATAAAGCAGATGAAAGAAAGTGATCTAAAAGATCTCATCATACCAATGGTACTTTTTCTTTTGTTTCTTATCGATCAAAAACAATTTAGATTGATCTGTTCTTTTAGCAGATATCTTGAACTTTGTATCATTGTATTGATGCAATGCAGGGTCCAAGGAAGAAGATTCTTCAGGCTATAGCGTCTCTTCCAACAAGGTAGCGATGACAAGACGGGTTTGGCCTCTCGCTGCTTCTCACTCTTTTTTGGTCTTGTTAGCGTCTATGCGGCTCGCAACTATGATAATTTTTTGAGATCCAACCCGAAACTTTTCTCTCCGGATAATTGTAGGCAGCAGAACTTTCTTTTGTAATTCTTCTCTGTTATGGATTTTTGTTTTCTTTTTTCTGGTATACAATCTGTTAAACAAGCAGCCTAATTGTGAAATGCGACGGTGTTTTGGTGTAATCCAAACACACTCTTTTGGTTGGTATATAAATCAGTGAATCTCACCCTGAAAGTAAAATAGGTTTTTATCTGTCGTTTATGTCCAACTCCATTGATTCTCGTAGTAGACTATTAGGATTCCTAATAAGAAGATTTAGAACTTGTGAGAGTGAATTATAAAGAAGATTTGTGAGAGTGTGAAAAACAGAAGTAGAACTTGAGTCAGAAATATTTGTAATTAGAAGTGAAATGGATATTACCTGTTGTGGAATAAAACAAAACAATAGAGAGAAACGACAGCGTAAGAGTAAAAGAAGTAGTTTGAGAAAAGTCCCACATCGCTAAGCTGAGTGGTTGTTCCAAGGGAAAGATGCATATAAAACAAGGCCTTGGTCCTTAGTTTCAAATCACGCAGCCATGTGGTGAGCACAAAGCGAACTATTCTTTCGCCTTTTACTAAAGAATACCGTGTGCTCTCCACGCTAAGTGGCATACGCCTATTTTTGGAGGGTTCTACTTTCGAGTGGGCCCAACAATTATTTAGTTGAAAGTTTTGGGCTCTATTATGAGTTGAGTTAAGCAATAGTTAAATGTTTGCCTTATTAAACATTTTCTCATTCTTGTATATAGTTCTTATCGTTCTATTTGTTGTCTTAGCTTGTCCCATTTTTTTGCAGAGGATAAAAGAGCTTAGCTTTGTGAAATCTCATTGTCACTTATCACGATGACAAGCTCTTCCCATTCCTTGGAGAAAGCAGTTCTCAGCAACGTCGAAGCCAATGTTTCCCCAAACCTGAGCCGAAAATTGACAAACAAAGAATAGAAGATTCCTCGATTCCTCTTGGTGTCGATATAGCACACAGTCCGAGTTCAGCCCTCTGTTCCATCTCCGCATTCCATCCCCTGTTGTCAGACGATTTTGAATGGCAATCAAAGTAAGAAAAGAGTATTTTGGCGTTGCGTGTTGGAACCAAATGCCATTGTACCAGTCAGTCTTTCCTTGGCTTGCTTTCCCTTAAGTTCCCCTTGGAGCTGAACTTCTTTGAGATTTTGTCCTCCCCTGTTCTCCAAAGTGAAACATCATCGCCTTGCTCACCCGGATTAAGTTTCTGATCACCTCTTTTATTTCGTTCATTGGTACAGACATGTGGTTTCTGCTTCGATGAGATCCCCATGTCAATGTAACCTCTTGCACCCGTAATGTCAATGAGAAGCGTTAGGCTCCTTTTTATAGCGTCGCCTTTGATGTTAATTTATTTCTCTATCTCCTTCTTATCTCGGTCTCGGTGGAGAAGTGTTACTGTGTTAGGGCTCAAGTTCTTACATCTACCCTATAAAACAAATCATCTTGTTTTGGTTTTAAGAGCTTTCACAAGCTAGCAGCCTTTTAACAACTGAACTATAGTTTTGTATTTTTGATCAATCTGAGAAAATGGGTACAATAAAGTGTAGAAGGTCAATCAAAGTTACTACTAGACTATATCGTATGAAAAGATCTCAGACTTGTGATGATGGAACAGCTCATATGGACGTGAATGTAATGGAAGTTTGGTCCCTTTGGGACAGTTTCAAAGTCACTTCATAATTTTCAATGAATTTAGATACTCAGATTCATTTCTTTCATCATACATATCTCAAAAGCTTCTGATGGAATGGAAACTAAGTAGGATGGATCAATCGTGAAGTTTAATATATTTGAATAACGCCACAAATTCAAATTAACTCTCTATCTCAATCTGAGGGCAAAAAATTGGAGATGAAGAAGATTTGTGAGGATGAAGATGAAACTGAGAGTGGGACAAATAGAATTTGAAGAAAGAGAACTGAAATGGATATTTTTGTTTTCGTGAAAGACGAAACAATAGAGAAAGTCAGAAGGTAACGAAAGCGTAAGAGTAAAATAAGTAGTTTGAAAGAGTCCCACATCGGGAAGATGAGAGTTTGTTAGTAGTGTGCGATGCATATAAAGTAAGCCCTTGGTCAGTTGTTTCGAAGCACGCAGCCATGTGGTGAGTACAAAGCGAACTATTCTTTCGCCTTTTACTAAAGAATACCGTGTATTCTCCACGCTAAGTGGCATACGCTTATTTTTGGAGGGTCCTACTTTTGAGTAGGCCCAACAATTTTTAAGTTGAAAATTTGGGTTTATTTATTCGTTATAGATCCTTCTAAAGTCAGATATTTATTAATAATCTCAACGACATTTTGTTGTGTTAGCTTTTTATTATATTTTATGAGTTCTAGATTAACTTTCTAATTTGTATCAATCACAATAAGCTCTTGAAGATAATTTAGTTTCGATTATATTAGACAATTTTATCTTATATATTGGCAAGATTTATTTGAATAAGAAATACTTAGTTTGTTATTGTTTACAATTATTAGTTATTACCAATAGAAATTTCTTATAACTCATATTATTTGTATATATTGTTCAAATTTTTAAAAGTTCATACTTTACAAAGAGTTTTGATAACTTTTATAAAATCGGAGAAAGTAAACAAATGAAAGATTCTAAACTATTGCTAAAGAGTTTTCTATAATCTTGTTGATTAGATTTTCATAATCTTGTAAAGTTTACCAAACAATCTCTCTATTTTAATGATACTTTCATGACTTTATTTTGAGAAAAAAAAGTGTAGAAAGTCATAAACCAATAACATAATTGTTGGCGTCGGATCCCGCACCAGAGGTCCAGGACCAACCAAAGATTGCCACGTAGTCAGGGTAGCGGCCCATAAAGGATAAAGCCCATCAGACCCACGAGTCAAAAGAACAATCGAAGTGGTAACCACCATAAGGAGAATTCGAAGTGACTGCACCTCGACACGAGTCCGGAGACGAGGTCATGGTTAAGTCGGTCCAAGGACATTTGGGCCGAAAGGCGAGGCCCATAATGACCAGAGTCAACTCAAATTCAAACGTTGAGCATTAAAGTCAAGGAATCAAAACGGACACATTTAAGAGAGAATAATTGTACTTAATTAGCCATTTAAATGTCATTTTTCTATGTATAAGTATAGAGGCCAATGGCCATGTAAAGAGTATCTCTCTTTTGAGCAAGAAATACGATAGCAATTTTTGTAGCAATTCATAAGCCTTTTACGTTCTTATTTTTTGTCTCTCAAGAATAATCTTTCCTACTAATAAAAATACTTGAGTGTGTGAATCCGACATCCACAATAATAATTTGATGACAAAAAAAAATAACATAATAATTTAATTCATTAACAATCATAGATTTTTTTTGTTTTAATTGAATAACACAAAACTTTTATTGACTTTATAAAAGTATGAATCCAATAACTCTAGATTTATGAAGATTTTATATTACTTTTTACAAATCTTAAACTAATAACATCAAACTTTAACAAAATTTAAAAAATCTTGATTGAATAACAACAGATTCTACAACATTTTAAGTAACTGAAACTCTAATTAAATCACAAACCAATAACACAACACCCTCTAATATTTGATTTATTTAGAAATATGAAAATATTTTTATGATTATTGAAAATATTTTTTAATACATAGATTCTAAACCTTAAAGTCTTGGCAAATACATAAATAAAAATTAATGACATAAGGTTATTTAAAAAAAAGAAATAGAAAACACAACATAGTTAAACAAAATTAAACATTGTTTTTGAGAAAAAGTATTGGGCCAAAAAGGGTACTAATTGGGCCTAGCCTATTTTTAGTGGGCTTTTAGACATTTTTATCTGATCATAGACTCTTCCCAATGTCTCTGTTTAGGGCATCTTCTCCACATGAACCAATAACCCCATTTCGTTGCCATTCCTCTGTTTCCGTAATCGGTGAAGTAGTAGAGAGCTCTGAAACAGTGCTTAAAGATGAGCTTAGTTCTCAGATTCAGGCAGCATTTATCTCAAACCTCCTCCAGATTATCACTCATTTCTCGAATCGGCGGTTACCGGAGTTATACCCAACCGGCGAAGATTGAAGATGAAGAAGAAGAAGAAGAATTCGATCAGAGAAAGCTCCCAACAGATTACGATCCAGCGACGTTTGATCCAACAGAACATCGAAGTCCACCAACGGATCGTGTATTCAGACTCGTAGACGAGATCTCATCTCTAACATTATCAGAAATCTCCGAGCTTGGTAAGATTATAATGAAGAAGAAAGGTATGACGGAGTTACCAACAGTCGCTGTTATGAAACCTGGAGCTGGTGGTGGTGGTGGTGGGATGGTGAGTCAAAGTGGTGGTGGTGGTGGTGTGAGTGAAGAAGCTAAAGTGGAGAAGACAGTGTTTGAGATAAAGTTGGAGTCTTTTGAAGCATCTGCTAAGATTAAGATTATTAAAGAGTTAAGGAGTTTTACTGATTTGGGTTTGAAAGAAGCTAAAGCTTTGGTGGAGAAGACTCCTGCCATTTTGAAAGCTGGTTTGTCTAAAGAAGAAGGTGAGAAGATTCTTGAGAAGTTGAAAGCACTTGGTGCTAAAGTTGTTTTGGAGTGATCATCATCATCAATTTGTTTCAAGGTTGGATTTTTTCTTCTTTTGTTCCATCTATGAGGTCAAGATACAAGGTGATTATGGTTTTGTAAGGTCATAGGTTGTTACACTTGCTCTTTCTTTCTCATTGCTAAATTGGGTTTTGAGAGATGAATCGTTGCTAGTTCAAGATGTATTGCAGAATAATACAAGTGTAGACTTTGTTTTAGTTTGTTATTATTTTTCCATGGCTTTGATCTTGACTCAGAACTTTGTTCATTTCTAATGAAAGCTTGTTTCTTTGGCTCCATGAAATCAATTTTGTTGATATCAGGATCTTTGAGTATGAAATGTTCAGCATATATTCGAACAAATTACTACCATTTGATAAAAAGGACCCTTAAAATGGTGAGACGATTTGCAGGGAATACTTGAAGAAACAGCGATCAAAAGTTAGGTTTTTGCTTAGGCTTAGAGTTAGGCATTGGCATTGGCTTAGGCTTGGGCATTGTCTTAGGCATTGGCTTAGGGATAGTCTTTGCCTTATGCATTGGCTCAGGCTTAGGCTTAGGCGTTGGGATTGGCTTAGGCTTGGGCATTGTCTTAGGCATTGGCTTAGGCTTACGAAAAGGCATAGTCATACGCTTAGGCATATGCTTAGACTCACGAAAAGGCATAGTCATACGCATAGGCTTAGCAAGCTTTTCCAGCAAAGCAACTGGCATGGAAGCTGAAGCTTCCACAGACGCAAGAACTTGATAGATATCGACCCACTTGGAGGAAGTCGTGCAGGAGGTTATGTTCTATTAGATATTACCTGCAAAGTTTCAATTTTAAGTTTGAAAGTGAAGTTTATGCACGTTGTTGTCTCCACAAATTGAGGAAGTAGTAGAAGGAAAAACTAACAGATCCTCACGTAACTTTAATACCCTATTCATGTAACACTTTTGCAAGAACAAAACGAAGATAGCTCACTACTAGCAGCAATTGATAAAGATTATATCAAAAGAAAAACTGATCACTTGTTAATGATCGATCATTCATTGTTTGAGGTTGAAGCAACTTTAGCCGCATACTTGACTAAGACGCCGGTTAAGAGAGCCTTCTCCTTCACCTTTAATCTGTGAATCATAATTGTAGAAATCAATCAGTTTAAGTATAAACTCTACATTGGTAACTATTTCTTAGCAAGATTGCTATAATGCATTTTTTACCTCTTTGAAGATCCAGGGATTTCTATCTTTGAGCTATTTTTCGCTTGCCCTTTCACAAGAATCTTTGTCTTCTTCTTTTTCTCCTTCTTCTTCCCTTCGACTCTAGCGGGTTTCGCTTCTGGTTTATCAAAGCCAACTCCTCCACCCAAGAGTTTTTCTTTACCGAGAAGCTTTTGCTCCAGCCTGCGGATTCTATCTACTCGATTTTCTTCTGAGGATGACAATAAATTGTTCAGAGGTTCAAGATTCTCTTCAGCGACTTCTTCTACATCATCCCCACCAAGTTCATCATCCAAGAATGTTTCTGCTACAGCTTCCTCGTATTGTTCATCATCCAAGCGTGTTTCCGCTACAGCTTCCTCGGATTTATTCGCCTGGAATGAAACTAAACGTGTCTCTAGTTCCTCATGCTCTCTAATCTCTCCCTTCACAACTTGTTTCTCAAACTTTAACTCGGTTTCCGAATCACGTCTCAGTTCAACGGGAGGAGATTCAATGCTACTAGAGATATGATTTTGCACATCTTCTACCACTTCCGTTTCATATAGCTCTTCTTCTGAATCATCTGATTCTTCCCCTGAACTCAAGAAAGCCTCTTCTTCAACAACATCAGCATTAGAATCTCCTTCAAGACCAGAATACGGAAGCCTCTGCACCTTGAAACCGTTATCTATGTACACTTCCTTCGACCCCGATTCATCTGAAGTAAACTCCACAACCTGACATTTGATCTGCTTTATAACCTTCCCAAATGCTAAGCTCTGTCCAGTGAACTGTTTCACAAACCTAAGAAAAACCAAAACTTTGCCTCACCACCAAAGATAGAATCATAGAAACACTAATTTACAAACACCACAACTCTCATACCTATTTGCTTCAATCTCACTTTTGAAATCAACATGAGCAAATCCCTTACACACAGGATCCTTAGTCTTTTTATTCCCAGACACAGCTGGTGTTATACACAAAATGCCACTTACTTCTTTAAACGCAACCTTAAGATCTCTATGAACATTCTTCTTCTTAGGAAGATTAGTCACACGAACACGAAACCCTATTTCAGTTTCTCCAGTTCCTTTTCAACCCAACAATCCACAACAACTAAATAAGATTCCAAATTATAACTAAAACGAATTCAAAAGAGTGGGACAAAGAAAAGTTGAAACCTTTGATGAGATTATTGTCACGCTTAAGTTGTTGAGACTTGAGAGGATCATTCTTAAGCTTATTGAGATTAGCAGCTTGAGCTTTCCAACTTTGCTGAATTTCGTCGAGCAACTTATCTTCAATAGAAGTTTCGTACTTTTTACCTAACCCAAATCCACGAGGCTTTTTCTCTAACCATTTCTTCATCTTATCCATTGGTAAAAACTCTCCTTCATCTTCTTCTTCTTCATCTTCTTCATCAAATTCACCCCAATCCTCATCATCTTCTTCTTCTTCTTCTTCTTCTCCATCATCGTCCATCAGCTCGGAATTACGCTTTTTGACAGCGAATGAACAAAACCCATTACTTCTTTTTTCGATAACTGCTCGAAAGCTTTGTCGAATTCTATGAGAAATTGAGGTATACTTAGATGTAGTAAGCGAAGGAGAAATCAGATATGCAGAAGAAGAAGAAGAAGAAGAAGACTTAAAGGAAAACGATGACTGAAAACGAGAATGGAGCAAAACGGAATTGCAGAGCGTAGCTCCGTTCATAGCTTTGTGTTTTCGTTTTCGTTATCTTCTTCTTCGTCTTTCGCCGGAGAAGAAACTGCGTAGTGAGCAAACAAAGCGTCATCAAGAAAATTCGTTAATGGGCCTATTTGGGCCTCATTAAAAGCCTATTACTTTGGAATCTGATCCATTAGGCCCATATGTTAATATCTGGCCTCAATCATACTCTGTCATAACTTGATGTAGCACCATAAATGATATGTTTGCTTGCTTACATCATTTAGCATGACTGACCAATAATTATTTATTGAAATATGTATGAATATGTGAGACAACATCTTTCAAAGGCCCCATGTTTTTATGAACTTCAAGGTCACATTGATATACACCTTTTTTTGTGCTAATGCTGATTTGAAGGACCCACTGCAATTCATGGATGGAAGTTGTGAGAACTTCTTAAGAATACAAAATGACAGAACAAAAGCTGAAGATAATAAGAATTAAAAGTAATTTTGTAAAGTTATTAAAAAATAAAAACAGAGCAGAAAATACAAAAAATGCTAGGCTGTGTGTAGACCCATTGGAGGGATGGGGATTATGCTTTGTATATATTTACATGTCTATTTTGTAAAATGGACCATTCTTGATTTGAAGTCATTAGATCTCTTCTCAATGGGACCATTTCTTCATACATGTTGGTCCGTTACACATGTGTGTGTTTCTGTAGTATAATACGTATCTTATACTTAAAATTAAAGATACGGGTTATGACTTTAGATTTTTTGGGTTACATATATATATGTCGTCTTAGGATTTGGTCTTAAAATATCACCAACGAATAATCACTCTACTACTTAAGTTCAAGGAGATACAAGTATTTATATCAAAGAAATAAATGCAGCTATATGTTATTATATAGTCAAACATGCACAAGACTTTTTTCATTTTAAGAGGCGCCCTATCATTGTTGTTAATTAGTCTTCATAAATATTTAATGTTAGGTTGAGTTGGCCTACACTATTGAGTTTTAAAGTCAGTCAATAGTCAATACAATATAGTTTTTCTGGTTGCTATTTCTATCATCTTTTAGGAAGTTTAGTAACTTTAGAACTTTAAGGATATGAACATGTTTATATAATGTCATCTATATACTATATAGATTTAAAGTTGAAACCACGATAGATATCCATAAATCTAATAACTACGAAAACTTAGAAAAATGATTATACATTATAGAGATTTTCATTAAAGAATAGACTCAGTCTGTCAAGCCGCCATAGTAGTTAATTGATCTCGATTAAAGTTAATAGAGCTCTAAGATATAGACCAAACTAAAAAAAACTTAGTGGGTAGTTAGATAAGCAGCAACTTAGGCACTATGACAATGATAATAGGCTACACGAAGCTTTTGAGTGTACTGTGTACATAATAAAAAAAAAAGGTGTGTTTATAAGATATGATTTCATAATTAAAAAAAAAAAAAAATCAGTATCCCTAAATTGTTGAAACTAATTCACTTTTATTAGGTTGAAAAACATATGTGAGATCATTAATTAATGGGGCCACATCTTCACTCTCACATTAAACTTAGTTTCACATGTTGTATATATATATATATATATACACAATTGTATATATATTATGAAAGAATAGATAAAATATATACAATTGTAAAATATAACTAGATAAAGTAAAAGAATAGTATGTACTATAGTCGGTTTTTAACTAAGTGTTTGAAGTGATATTACAGTCATATTTTTTTCATTGTAATATCCTACGAATTCCATTTGAGGCTTTTTTTTTGTTTCTTGAAAACAGCCCTCAGTTTTTTTTTAAAAAATTTTCATTCTTCTATGCATGTCCCATTATTATTATTATTTTTGGTGATATGTGATGTATGTCCTAATATTATGTATCTAAGTACGGATTATTTTAGTACCATTTAACTATTTATATAGTTTTGACGACGTGATAATGTGTTATACATTGAGAAATACATGAACCATCGAAAACTATTTCCTTACAACTCTAAAGCAAATAAACATCCATAATATAAAGGATGATTGAATTTTGGCATATCTACATATATATACGTATAGGAAACCAAATTAATACTAAAATTTGTAATTTAATGATATCTACTTGGGTTTTCAAATACGCTGCACGTTGTTGAAAATAGTTTATATGTTTATTATCACAGAATATATATATACACACACACACACAAAAACTAACTGAAATTAAATTAGTTGTTGACGTCGAAACATATATCTTAGAGAAATGATGACATGTGATTGAATTTGATCGGAGCCTGTATTCCACAAACAAGAAAGATAGAGAGGTTACTTGAACAAAAGAAAAAAGAGGATCGAGACAAATAGGAATATATATATATATATATATATATATATATATATAACAAGGGACATAAATCGTGGTATA